GGTCCATGGAGAAATGAGAAAAATTTTTAAAAAGCCTGAGTTTTTTCATCAAGTTAGAAATTTTCCACTTAAAGAAGCACCAACCTATGAGATTATGGCCTATTAATCTATTGGTGTTATGATGTATAAGATTCTTTGAAGACAGAAAGATGATAGTTGCCAATGCCTTGTTGGCAAAATAAAAAGTGGGCAAGCCTATGTTTTATCCCTGCAATGTTTTGGGGAAATATTACTAGTCATAGAACCACCTTTGAAAAGAACTTTTTTTGCAGGGAGGGAGATGAAGTTTCGCTCTTGTTGCCCAGGCTGGAGTGCAATGGGGCAATCTCAGCTCACCACAACCTCCCCCTCCTGGGTTCAAGCGATTCTCCTGCCCTAGTCTCCCAAGCAGCTGGGATTACAGGTGCTTGCCATAACACCTGGCTAATTTTGTTTTTAATAGAGATGGGGTTTCTCCATGTTGGTCACGCTGGTCTCGAACTCCTGAACTCAGGTGATCTGCGTGCCTTGGCCTCCCAAAGTGCTGAGATTACAGGCGTGAGCCACCACACCCAACCTGAAAAGAATTTTTAAGAGGTTTTCAAAGTTCTTAGGCTGGGAGGTAGAAAGAGAGGGGCCAACTTAGACGTCTTCTAGAAAATTCTAGAAATGTCACCTGCGATTAAATATCTTGGACTCTGACTGGAGTCCAGCCCCAGTTGCTCACAGCCAAACAGACTGACACTTACATGTCTGCATCCTCATCCCTTCGGTTGGTTTCTGCAGAAAATGACGTCCCCAGGTGCAGGTCCTCCTCGTCACTAATCCTGAAGGGAGAGAACAATGAGGCAGAGCTTTCAAGTCACAACTCAGTGTGGCTGAGTCTTATGTTCTGAGAAAACAAAGACAACAGGAATTTATATCGTATTTATGGTTGGCAGAAAAAATATGCTATAGTATAACATGTAAATAAAAGAAACTCTAGAAATATATGCAAACAAACTGGTGGCTGCTAGTGATACCTCCAAAGATTGAGAGGATACAGTCATACTTAGGTATCCATGGGGGATTGGTTCTAGTACCCCTCAAGGATACCGAAATCTGCGGCTAGTGAAGTCCCTTATATAAAATAGTGTAACCTATGCACATTCTCCCATCTACTTTAAATCATCTATAGGTTACATATAATGCCTAATAAATTGTAAATGCTATATAGCTGTCACAAAATAAAAATACACAGTGTACTTTTATTTTTTAAGCTTTTGAATTATTTGAATGTATTAATTTTTTTTTTTTGAGAGGGCATTTTGCTCTTGTCACCCAGGCTGGAGTGCAACAGCGTGATCTTGGCTCACTACAACCTCTGGCTCCCAGATTCAAGTGATTCTCTTCCCTCAGCCTCCTGAGTAGCTGGAACTACAGGTGTGTGCCACCTTGCCCAGCTAATTTATCTTTTTTTTAATTATAATTTTTTTTCTTTTTAAAGACAGGGTTTCACCATGATGGCCAGGCTGGTCTTGAACTCCTGACCTCAGGTGATCCACCCACCTTGGCCTCCCAAAGTGCTAGGATTACAGGCGTGAGCCATCACGCCCAGCCAATTTTCTTTCTTTTTTTGTTTTTTAAAGATGGGGTTTCACCATGTTGGTCAGGCTGGTCTTGAACTCCCAACCTCAGGTGATCCGCCCACCTTGGCTTCCAAAGTGCTTGGATTACAGGTGTGAGCCATTATGCCCAGCCTTGCCCAGCTAATTTTTTGTATTTTTAGTAGAGACAAGGTTTCACCGTGTTAGCCAGGATGTTCTCAATCTCCTGACCTCGTGATCCGCCTGCCTCAGCCTCCCAAAGTGCTGGGATTACAGGCGTGAGCCACTGCGCTCGGCTGAATGTTTTATTTATTTTTTTTTTTTTGAGATGGAGCCTTGCTCTGTCACCCAGGCTGGAGTGCAGCAGCGTGATCTAGGCTCACTGCAACCTCCGCCTCCTGAGTTGAAGCAATTCTCCTGCCTCAGCCTCTCAAATAGTTGGGATTACAGGCGCCTGCCACCCACTAACATATATATATATATATATATATATATATATATATTTTTTTTTTTTTTTTGAGACGGAGTCTTGCTCTGTTGCCCAGGCTGGAGTGCAGTGGTGCGATCTCAGCTCACAACCTCTACCTCCCGGGTTCAAGCTATTCTCCTGCCTCAGCCTCCTGAGTAGCTGGGACTACAGGTGCGTACCACCATGCCCAGCTAATTTAGAGACAGGGTTTCACCGTATTGGCCAGGCTAGTCTTGAACTCCTGACCTCATGATCCGCCTACCTCAGCCTCCCAAAGAGCTGGGATTACAGGCATGAGCCACTATGCCCGGCTAATTTTTATATTTTTAATAGAGACAGGGTTTCACCTTTTTGGCCAGACTGGTCTCAAACTCCCAACCTCAGGTAATCAGCCCACCTCAGTCTCCCAAAGTGCTTGTATTATAGGCATGAGCCACTGCAGCTGGTCTGTATGTATTATTTTTATAATTGTGTTTTTATATGAAATTTCCCCAGGGGTTCACTTATTTTATTTTTTTGAGACAGGGTCTTTCTCTGGAGTGCAGTGGTGTGATCACAGCTCACTCAACCTCCCTGGCTCAAGCTCTCCCACTTTAGCTTCCTGAGTACCTGGGACTATTCACCACACCCAAATAGTTTTTTTTTTTTTTAAATGCCACCACACCCAAATAGTTTTTTTTTTTTTTTTTTTTTTAGAGACAGGGGTCTCATTATGTTGCCCAGGCTGGTCTTGAACTCCTGGTCTCAAGCTATCACCCTGCCTCAGCCTCCCAAAGTGTTGGGATTATAGGCATGAGTCATCATGTCTACAATATACGTTTACAAAAGGAGTCTACCAACTTGGCTCTAGGTTAACTTTTAAAGAGTTTTTGCTTTCTTTTGTTTTTAAAGAACATACCCTTTGCAAAGCACAAAACCTGCTTCAAGATGTCCCAGCTCTGCTACAGGCCCCAGCTCTCTGAGGGAACCCAGACCCAGGCGGCGGCTAAAGGTGAATTTGTATATCAGCCTGTTCTGCACTCACTTATCTTTGCCCCTTTCCTTCAGTTTCTTCATATCCACCATACCACCTGTCTTCATCTGAAATGGATCATCCTGTGGAAAGCAAACACAGTTAAGAGGAAGCATCTAAGTAAATGGTAGTGGAATATATTTTTTAAAGCACAACCACTCACTGAAGAGCACTGCAGGGAGGGCTGCCATAAAACCCAGGGAAGACCCCATAACTTACCACTAGAGTGGTCTCTTCCTGTACCTTCTCTCCCACCAGCAGGGCCACAGCACTGAGCAAAACCAAAAAAGGAGAGGGAGAGAGAGAAATGGCATCATTCAGAGATAAGGAAGAACCCTCTCAAGTTTGTGGATTGCAACATTTGAGGGATTTGGGGGGTGGGCAGGCAAGCCAGCTGGAAGAGCCTGTAAGCATAAAACAGGGCTCAACAAGCACCATAGATGGTGGAAGAAGGGTGGGCTGGTGGTGAAGCAGTACACTTTCCCACTTTCCTCTAAAGCCATTTGGCATTATCTTGGCCCAGAAATCTCATTTCTAAGATATTCTCATCATGGAAAGTGCAGCTAAAGATAATTTTAAGAGAATATCCACTGCAGCTTTATTTGATAGTAAAAATTTACAAAATCACCTACATGTCCCAAAATAGAGAATTTGTTAACAAATTATGATACACACGTCTGGTAGAATATTATGCAGCCATTAAAAAGGTTTTCTGAAAAATATTCCACAATACGTGTGAATGCCCACAATGCCATAATGAGTTGAAAAGAGCAGGGAATAAAAGTACTTAGGAAGTTGTTTACAATCTGAGAGAGTGAGAGAGAGAAAACAAATTGGAAAGAGTATTAAATATTAACACCAGCGCATTCTTGGGTGGCTTTGCAAGGAAAAAATATGTTAACACTGGTTATTTCTGGATGGGAGAATTACGGGTGCTTTTTATTGTATTGACTATACTTTCCTAAATCATCCAAACTCTTAACGATCGATACGCATCTCACAATTAATTGGTTTTAATAAAAAATGCGAATTAGTGACCTGTTTCTGTACCTCTGGAGCACACCCCAAGACGACACAGCTTAGGGCATGTCCTGGTTAAACATTTGCAAAGAATGCTGTTCTCCTCTTTGGGCAGTGGCAGTGGAAGGTGTATACTGTGTCAAGAGAAGAATCTACGTCTCTGGAGATAGTTGTGACAGCAACCCCGGCGCAGGTGTGTCTGTCGTCCCCGCCTCCTCCTCCTCCTCCCCCTCCCCCCGTGGTACCCACCTCACCCCGTTGGGCCTCTTCCTCAAGTTCTGTACCTCTCTGGTCTCTTCCAGTTTTAATCTTAAAAAATAAAAAAAGAATAAGAAGGAAAGCATAGGCTGAGTGACTTCCCGCGGAATCCAAAACCAACAGAGACAGCAAGGCACCTTCGAGGGCATCCCAGCCCGGCTGCTGAGCCACCACCACAGGGGTCCAGAGGACGACCTTGTGCCTAGACCCACCCGGAGTCAGAGCCACTGCGCATCCCAGAAGCATGTCGCCCAACTGTGCGAGCTTGCGGAGGTGGCCTCACTCCTTCAGCCTCAATTTCTGCGTTAGCAGAAGGAATAACCGCCCCGGCTCACTTAAAGTCAGCGAAGCGCCCGGCGGGTGGTGAGTCCCCCAAGTAAGTCTGTCTCTTCTAGGCCCATGGGAGCTCCGCCCCAAACGCACCGAACCTCCTCTGAGTCCTGCTCATCTTCCTCTGACTCCGAGTCGCCCCGGCGGCGACGGAAAATCTTCCTGATGACCGGCATGTTGACAACGTCCCGGCTGTCCAGCCGCCGCGCCGCGGCCCAGGCTGCTTCCGGCGCGCCGCAGCACTGTCAGAGCGCCAGTCCCGCCTGGCCCCGCCCCCAGCCGGGCGTTCCCCGCCGTAGGCACACACTGCCCGCGTGTCCACGCCCCCTCCTCAACGTCAGCCTCTTCCGGTTGGACAGCAGAGGGAAGGAGGTGGGGCGTCATCGGACGGCCCCACAACCCTGTGCGGCGCAGCGGAGGGGGCGCGCTTGACTGACAGGCGGCGGCGGCGCCGTTGCTAGTGCAGGTGAGTTCAGGGCCGCCACCGGCCGCTTCTGTGGGCCGGGCCTCTCCGAGCTTGGGCGACCCCAGCCCAGCTGCGGGCTGACAGGGCCTGGTCTCGCCAGGTGCGCCAGACGCCGCGGCCAGGTGAGCCCGGGAACCCCGGCCGCCGCCCCTCTCCCCTCCTCGGGTCGGCGTCCAGGGGGTCCTCAGGGCCCCAGCACCCGACTCTGAGCCCCGTGGGGGCTCGTGCCTTCTCCAGAACCCTGGCCGCCCCCCTCTCATTTCTGCCGGGGCCTCACCTAGCGTTGAAAGCATCCGCGTGGCGTCTCGCGGCTGGGGCGCTGACTTTTCTTTCCTCGGGCTCTGAGCCCTGACGTGCATGTTTTTCTTTAGGAACAAAGGATGACCACTTCCCTGCGGTGCTGAATTAGAGTCCCAGCGCCGACAGCCCCGCAAATAATGGCCTCCAGCTTCTCCGCGAGGAGAGGCGCGTCTGATGTTTTGAAGCCAGCCACGCAGGAGGGTTTGAGGCCAGGGAGGCTCCTCCTCAGTGCTTGCCGGCCACCCCTCTGGACCTTCATGGGTCTCATTTTCCTCCTTTGGTCAGGAGGTCTGTCGCTCTACCCTCCGCCCCTTCCACCCCGAAGATGCAGTGAGGATAAAGTTTATTCGAAAAATTGGTATCAGCAAACGCTTAGGAAATACCAACATGTATAAATAATGGCTTCTAGGACTTTTAAGAACCCCTTAAGCAACAGTAGTTTTCCTTTTCTCAGTATCATCCCTTTGAGAACTACCTCTTATGAACCAGTTACTATGTGGCAGGCCTTGGGCTAAGCATAATCTCATTGAATTCTCCCAGCAATCCTTTGAGGTAGCTTGTTTTTTGTTCACAAATGAGAATGCGGAGTCTCGGAGGGGCAGTGCGCGCCTCAAGTTACACAGCTGGGAGGTGGAGCAGGAATTGATTGCAGGTCTGTGTCTGCCGCACGGTTTGCACAGGGCCTTGCACAGAAGGAGTGCTATAGGTGTTTGCTGCTGCAGCTGCTGTTACATCTCATTGGCTGGGGAGAAGGGGCGATGGGGACTGTTTGGGGTTCCCTCCTCTGGAAGACCACTCCGAAGCAAGGCAGCTTTTCTGGAATGCCTTGTGTTTTCTCTGGCACAATCTCCACTGAGATTGTTCTTCTCTTCTTTGGACTGGAAAAAATAGACTCACGACTTCCTTCAGCAGCCTTTTATCTTTGGTCAAAAGCCATATATTAAAGTCTCAAAGCCTTGCCCTCTGCAGACTGGTTCAGCCAAAGCCAGATGCACGTGCACTCACTGGATGTGGAGTCCCTGTCAGATGATGGAGACTCCTTGGGCATTGCTGCAGGAACCCAGGAAGTCAGCATCTGCAGCTCTCACGCTCTCAGAGGTGGCTCTGAATCTGCCCATCCAGCAGCCCATCCACCAGGGGTTACCAGACACTACTAAGGAAAGGGCAAGAAGGCCAGGGGCATTTCTGGACCCTCATCATCATCTGTAGTCCCAGGTTACAGATGAGCTGCCCACACCCTTGCTCCATGAGGCTAGAGTACCCAGTGATACCCACCACTTGTGCTGTGGCAGATCTAATTGAGTGCTGTGCAGCAAAAGGAAGGCTGAAAAAGTGGCAGCTATGAATCCGGCAGTAAGTGACTTTGCGGAGAGACTGCAGCCCAAGTCTTGCTGGGTTCTTTTTTGTTTTGTTTTGTTTGAGATGTAGTCTTGCTCTGTTGCCAGGCTGGAATGCAGTGGCGCAATCTCTGGTCACTGCAACCTCCACCTCCTGGGTTCAAGCAATTCTGCCTCAGCCTCCGGAGTAGTTGGGATTGCAGGTGCACGTCACCACGCCAACCTAATTTTTGCATTTTTAGTAGAGATGGGGTTTCACCATGTTGGCCAGGATGGTCTTAATCTCCTGAGCTCTTGATCTACCTGCCTCAGCCTCCCAAAGTTCTGGGATTCCAGGTGTGAGCCACTGCGCCCGGCCCTTGCTGGGCCCCTTTGAGGGTAGGGTGAGACTGCCTCTCAAAAAGACCCTCCCAGAAATACAGGTTCTATGCAGTTCCAAGACGAGTCCTAGATCTTAGTCTTGTTTGGGAGTTTAGTTGTTTGTACAGGTGCAAACTAGGTTTGGATTGGTTTCCTAGCTCCTTTCTGGAGCCAGATGAAATGTGGGTTGTTTCAGGGTTCAGGGAGCATTCATGTCTGGGTGGATTTGGGATCCAGCATCGTGTTACAGTTCACAGCCCAGCTAGAGTCAGGATTCAATAAATGCATTTATTGGATCAATGTATTCAACAGATGCTTAGCATTTACTATATGAAGCAGGTGCTGTTCTAGGTGCTTGAAATAAATCAGTGAGCAGAAGACCCAAAAGATCCCTGATTTAGTTGAGTGTGTGTTCTGATAATAAAGTATATAAAATATGTTAGAAGATGATAAGTGCTATGGAAAAGTAAAAAATAGGGCAAGGCAAGGGAATTGCCTCCAGGAGGGAGGGAGAGTGGAGCTGCAAATTAAAATTAGCGCATTCTCGTTTGTGATTTGGCTAGGAAGTGACGGACACAGCAGAGGATGGACTGATAGGCCTTGGGTTCCAGTCGCTGCCTGGTGGTTTTAAGGGTCTGTAAGCTTGAACTTTATTTTACAAAAGCTTTTATTTAGAATGTACACCTTGAACTCAGGTCCTGATTGTGGAGTATTTAAGGTTGATGAAAGCCAGGCTTTTCTTAGCTTTTCACCTTAACAAGACAAACAAATATCCAGCTGGTTCTTATTAGGATGAAAGAGGACACTTGGAGAAGTCATGTGAGTTGACAACAATTTTTTTTTTTTTTTTTTTTTTGAGATAGTCTCTCTCTGTCACCCAGGCTAGAGTGCAGTGGCTCAATCCCGGCTCACAGCAATCTCTGCCTCCTGGGTTCAAGTGACTCTTTTGTCTCAGCCTCCCAAGTAGCTATGACTACAGGCACCTGTCACCATGCCTGATTAATTTTTGTATTTATAGTAGAGACGGGTTTCACCCTGTTGGTCGGGTTGGTCTCAAACTCCTGGCCTCAGATGATCTGCCAGCCTCAGCCTCTCAAAGCGCTGGGAATACAGGCATGAGCCACTGCTCCCGGCCTAGTAGCGTTCCTATTGATGGAATCATATATTTGTTTCCCAAACCTGCTGTAACAAAGTACCATAGACTGGATGGCTTAAACAACAGAGATTTATTTTCTCACAGTTCTGGAGGCTGGAAATCTCAGATCAAGGGAACGACGGGTTTGGTTCTTCTGAAGGACCTTTCCTTGGCCTGCAGATGGCTGTCTTCTTGCTGTGTAGTGGCTTGGTCTTTCTTCTCTGTGAATCCACATTTCTCATCTCATAAAGATATCAGTAAGATTAGATTAAGGCCTGCCCTAAGATCTTATTTTAACTTAATTACCTGTTTAAAGACGTTATCTTCAAATCTGATTACATTCTGAGGTACTGGTGGTTAGAAATTTGGCATATGAATGGGGGAGAGAACAATTCAGTCTATAACAAATACTGTACTGCAATAGGTAGTCCGTACTCAGACGTGCTGGTTGTCCCAGTGATGTTCTTTGTGGCATCCCCCCACTTGATCCACCACCCAGTTTTGTCATGTCTCTTAGTGTCTTGCCTGGAACAGTCAAACCTTGTCTCAGCCTTGGTGGAGAAAGGGAATCTTCAATTTGCAAGGAAGCAGAAGTGCTCAGCAGGAATGAGGGTTCAGGAGCACAGGCTGACCCAGGACAGGAAAGCAGTTGAAGGATTTGCTCTTGTCCATGAAGTTGCCTTTCCTGGCTTTTTCTTTGATGTCAAAAGCACCAGGAGGTGAGTTTGGATCTTAAGTGCACCAGGACTCCGTGAATGAGTCACCTGCTGTGTGTCTGACTCCATCACCATGGTGCCTGTTTGTTGCCGGGCTGGTTAGCCTGCAGAGCCCTGAGTGGCCTCATGGAGGGCTTTGAGTGACTTTGAACATGTGATTTCCATTCCTACGAATTTCAGTGTCCTAATGTATAAAACAGCCAGTGACAGCCAGGCGCGGTGGCTCACGCCTATAATCCCAGCACTTTGGGAGGCTAAGGCGGGTGGATCACGAGGTCAAGAGATCGAGACTATCCTGGTCAACATGGTGAAACCCTGTCTCTACTAAAAATACAAAAATTAGCTGGGCGTTGTGGCACGTACCTGTAGTCCCAGCTACTCGGGAGGCTGAGGCAGAAGAATTGCTTGAACCCGGAGGCGGAGGTTGGGGTGAGCCGAGATCATGCCATTGCACTCCAGCCTGGGTAACAAGAGCGAAACTCCATCTCAAAAAAAAAAAAAAAACCAGCCAGTGACACAAATTATAGTAGTAAACATTTTTTGAGCATTCTTGTCATGCAAATCAGTAGAAAATCTGAGCCACCCAGAAAGTCATTAAACAGTGTTTACTGTGCATTGGGTCACTTCATCTTCTCAGGAACCCTTGGTGCTGTCATTGTCCCCATTTTATGGATGTGGAGACCAGGCGATGTATTTATCTAAAGTCACAGACTTGCAAGGGGCAGAGTGAGGTGTTGAACCCAGGGCTACTTGTCTCTGTAATTTCCTTCCATAGTGACCGTCACCTCCTGGGATAATGTATGTACAGCAGCTGACCCTCAGTGAGTGTAGGAAAAGGTGGTGCTGGTGGTGATTATTACCTCCCTAGTGGCTGCTTGCAAGTACCCTGAGGTTGAAGTATGGGACTCTGTGCCCCACAAGAGCAGGACCTGTGCCTGGCTGTTTCCCAGGACCCCAGGTCACTATTCTTGAGGAGGTTACATGGTCAGTATTGGTTGGGTACCAAAAGAAAGCAAAATGATAACTTTCAGACAGCTGAGATGTGCACCCTCTTGTCGACCCACGTGCTTCAGATATTTTAGGTCCTGTGTGTGGGATTTTTTTTTTTTTTTTTTTTTTGAGATGGGGTCTCTTTCTGTCACCCATGCTTGGAGTGCAGTGGCATGATCTTGGCTCATTGCAACCTCTGCCTCCTAGGTTCAAGCTATTCTCCTGCCTCAGCCTCCTGAGTAGCTGGGTCTACTGGCATGCACCACCACGCCTGGCTGATTTTTGTATTTTTAGTAGAGATGGGGTTTCACCATGTTTGTCAGCCTGGTCTCAAACTCCTGACCTTGTGATCCGTCTGCCTCGGTCTCCCAGAGTACTGGGATTACATGTGTGAGTCCCCGTGCACAGCCCTGTGTGTGTAATATTAAGTACCCAGTGTTTTCCATGCTACTGCTCTTTCCCTTTGTATAAATAATTTTTAACCATTAATTTAAAAAATGTTAATAAACCCTTAACTTTCTATGTTGCACGTATTCATATACTGCTGATAGGCAGATAAATTTATATAATCTAAAGGGAAGCTTATCAGTATCTATGTGGAGCCTTCAAAGCACACATTTTGACCTAGTAATTTTTCTTTTGGTCAAAGATGTAGGCTGGGCGTGGTGGCTTACACCTGTACTCCCAGCACTTAGGGAGGCCGAGGTGATTGGATCACTTGAGGTCAGGAGTTTGAGATTAGCCTGGCCAATGTAGTGAAACCTCGTCTCTACTAAAAATACAAAAATTAGCTGGGTGTAATGGTGGGTGCCTGTAATCCCAGCTACTCGAGAAGCTGAGGCAGGAGAAATGCTTGAACCCTGGAGGCAGAGGTTGCAGTGAGCTGAGATCATGCCACTGCACTCCAGCCTAGGTGACAGACTAAGACTGCGTCTCAACAACAACAATAAAGAACAGGCTGGGTGCAGCCACTCATACCTGTAATCCCAGGACTTGGGAAGCTAAGGTGGGCAGATCACCTGAGGTCAGGAGTTCAAGACCAGCCTGGGCAACATGGCAAAACCTTGTCTCTACCAAAAATATAAAAATTAGCCAGCCTCATAAACTGGTCTCTAAATAAATAAATAATAAATAGGTAAAAATTAAAAACAAAAATACAAAAAAACATGTTGTTGAGTGCACATCTTGACCTGAGTGAGTCACGTGGAGAGGTGTGCTTGGGAGCCATCCAGGTAGCAGCTTCGGGGACTTCTGGGACCACTCAGATGCTGCTGCCCCTTCTCTGAAAACCACCCTGTGTAGGCCCAGGGCCATATCTGGCACAGGGACCTGGAGAACTCCAGGGGACAGAGGGTCTGTCCCCTATGGTGCCCTCGGGAATTGGGAAAAGCAGCATACGTAGGAAGCCAGATACACACTCTTCCTATTTCTTATTATGGAAACTTTAAAAACCATTAAAAGTAACCAATCTTGGTGTTCTTTTTTGTTTTTGTTTATAGGAGCAGAGGTTTTACAGGCAAAAGAAATAAAGGAAAACAGCTCTGTCTCTAGTGAGAGTGAGGGAACTGCAGAGAGGAAAAGCATTTGTTGTTTTTGGATGCTGGTTTTTTAGAGATGGGGCCTTGCTCTGTCGCCCAGGCTGTAGTGCAGTGCCACCATCCTAGCTCACTGCAGCTCTGAGCTTAAGGGAGCCCCCCTCCTCAGCTTCCCAGAAGCACTAGGATTACAGGTGTGAGCCACTGTGACTGGTGTTACTAGATTATTAGATTAGAATGATGATAGCACAGTCATTCAGGAAGCAAGTATAGGAAGAAAAAAGGCAACACTAGTTCACTGTAGAAAATGCAGACAAGCAAAAGGAAATAAAAATCACTTGGCTCTATCCTCCAGAAGTGATAATAGCATCCTTTCCTTAGGCCCAAAACACAACATTATTTCACCAAAATAAGAGTTTATTATAATAAAAGTTCTTTCCCCCACCTTGATAGGGCCTTGCTGTGTTGCCCAGGCTGGAATGCGGTGGCGCCATCATAGCTCACTGCAGCCTCTTACTGCTGGGTGCAAACTATCCTCTCGTCTCAGCTTCCTGAGTAGCTGGGACTACAGGTGCACGCCACCATGCCCACCTAAGTTTTAAATTTTTCCTGGTGATGGGGTTTCACTGTGTTGCCCAGGCTGATCTCAAACTCCTGGGCTCAAGCAATCCTCCTGCCTCAACCTCCAGAAGTTCTGGAATTACAGGCATGAGCCACGCAACATGGTCTAATAGTGTTTTGTTAACTGTATTTTTGAACCATTCAGCAAATATTTTCTGAGAAGTTACTGACTTGTTCTTTTTTTTTGAGATGGAGTTTTGCTCTTGTCACCCATACCTGGGATTACAGGCATCCGCCACTGCGCCCTGCTAAGTTTTGTGTTTTTAGCAGAAATGAGGTTTCACCATGTTGGTCAGGCTGGTCTCGAACTCCTGACCTCAAGTGACTATCCACTTCAGCCTCCCAAAGTGTTGGGATTTCAGGCGTGAGCCCCCGCACCCAACCTGACTTGTTTTACTGAGCAGATGTCTTTAAGGGGCATCTGTGTTGTAGCATGTGTCAGAATTTCCTTTTGTGGGCTGAATCATATTTCATTGTAGGGATATATCATATTTTGTCTGTTCATTTATCGATGGGCATTTGGTTTGCATTGTCTTTTGGCTGCTGCAGTAATGCAGTTGTGAACATGGGTGCACAGATATCTCTTTGAGTTGCTGCTTTTAAGTGCTTTTGGGTGTATACCCAGATGTGGATTGCTCAATAGTGTGGTACTATTTTACAGTTCTTGAGGGACCACCATACTGCATTCTGCAGCAACTGTACCATTTTACATTCCCACCAGCAGTGCACAGGGCTCCAATCTATCCACATCCTCGCCAACACTTTTTTTTTAGATAGAGTCTCGATCTGTTGCCTAGACTGAAGTGCAGTAGGTGATCTCAACTCACTGCAGCCTCCGCCTCCCAGATTCAAGTGATTCTCCCACCTCAGCCTCCCGAGTAGCTAGAATTACAGGCACCTGTCAGCACGCCCAGCTCATTTTTGTATTTTTTTTAGAGGCATGTTTCACCATGTTGGCCATGCTGGTCTTGAACTCCTGACCTCGTGATTTGCCCACCTCAGCCTCCCAAAGTGCTGAGATTACAGGTATGAGCCACTGTACCCGGTCTCATTCTGATTTAAAGAGCTTGTAATCAATTTTTTTGAGGTATAATTTACATGTAATAAAATACACGCACTTTAAAGATACAGTTACACGATTTGACAGGTGTATGCACCTGATTAATCCCCAACCCAGAGAAGATCTAGAACATTCCAACAACATAGAAAGTTTCTTCTCGTCTCTGCAATATAGCTGTGCCCTTTGTCCCAGGCAACCACTGATCCTGTTTCTATCATCATAGGTTAGTTTTGTCTGTTTAGAAATTTTATATAAATAGAATCATACAGTGTGTTTTTGTATCTGATTTTTTTTTTTCTCTCAGTGTAATGCTTCTCTAAATTCGACTCATGATTTAAAGCAAGACTGCACCAGACAGATCTGATCAGGGCTACACCTGTTACAAACTAGCCAAGTGATCGACCTCAGCCGAGTTCCTGAGTTAGTTAAGTTCCAATTCTGTTTCTTCATATGTAAAATGAGAGTAGTGAGAATACATTGAGGGTTGTTAGCTACAGGACAGAGTTTTCTATCTGAAGTTGCAGGAATGTAAGTCCAATTGCACTTGCAAATCAAGAATAGGCCTGTTAAATTAGTCAGGCGTGGTGGCACACGCCTGTAATCCCAGCTACTTAGGAGGCTGAGGCAGGAGAATCACTTGAACCCGGGAGGCAGAGGTTGCAATGAGCCAAGATTGTACCAGCATACTCCAGCCTGAGTTGGCAGAGTAAGACTGTCAAAACAAACAAACAAACAAAAGAACGTGCCAAGTTGTAATCTGCCCCTCCCACCCCGCCATCCGCCTGGAGAGATGAGCACGTACCAAAAATGCTACAAAACCCGCACCTTGCAGCTTACAGGGTAGGACCAGTACCAGCACAGGGCACGTGGCCTCAGCAGAAACAGCCAAGAAAACCAAAACACTTGGCTTCAAGTGAGGAGGTTTGGAATTTGGAATCTTGAACCTGTCATTGTCATGTGACTATTTTAAATGGTAGCTTCTAACTGCCTCTCCCTCTTTGAGAGTCTGCATCTGGGAGATGGTGACCTGCCAGTGAAGTGTGGGTAGTGGCAATGTGTGTATGAACCCATTTGCCTATGGCCTGGGTTTGCTGAACACTTAAGGGTTGGGGGTTCTCAGGGATGATCTGAGGGACCTGGTGGGCATGTATGGAAGGGGCTGGGCTTTTATGTGTAGAAGGTTGATAGGTTGTGGCAGCCTGAGTGGATAATAGAGAGGCCCTGCAGACCCCTCCAGCCGACCTGTGAAGGTTTCGTCCTGGGGAATCACCAAGGTAATGCCCCAACAGTGACTGGTGGAGGCCAGCACTCCCTAGGAGGGGCTGCCCCGTTGCCAGCTCTTCCTGAGCCTTGGTTAGCTATTCCAGGAGTGATGTGGATTCACAGGGAGGAGTTCTAGCCTGTGGACATCCTGAATATTCCAAAATCCACTTGTTTCTCCCAGGAGGAATGCTGGGCCCTTTTTAGCTTCTAGTTGGTGGTAAGAGTGATTTTAAAATAAGGGAACTGGCTGGGCACAGTGGCTCATGCCTGTTATCCCAGCACTTTGGGAGGCTCAAGGTGGGAGGATTACTTGAGCCCAGGAGTTGAAGACCAGCTGGACAACAAAGCAGGACCCTGTCCCTACAAAAAATTTTAAAGAAATTAGCTGGGTGTGGTGATGCATACCTATAGTCCCAGCTACTTAGGAAGTTGTGGTGAGAGGATCACTTGGGCCTGGAAGGTCAAGGTTGCAGTGTCCAGCCTGGGCAACAGAATAAGACCCTGACTCAAAAATAGTAATAACAGAGCTGTGTGAAATGCACTGGTTCATCCCCCAGGTTCCTTGCCAGAGGCCTCTACTCACTCCAGACCACTGGAGCCCATCGCTGTCAGCTGTCAAAGAAGGATGCGAATGCTGGCCACTTCCTGCAGGCTTTGCTTCACCCAGAGGTAAGCCCATGGCCTCCTCTCAGGTGTGTCCCTTCAGCATGGACTCAGGAGGACACATGAATTTTTCTCTTTAGGTGAAATCATGGAATTGTGATTATGGTTCTTTTTTTTTAAGTTCTTATCTCTTAGAAAAATACACAGATGAAATGTGATTGCCTGTGTGACTGGGATTTGCTACAAAATGCAAGAGGAAGCAGGAGGTTGAGATGAAGCAAGATTGGCCATGAGTTGTTAATTGATGAGTCTAGGTACATGGACACGTGGAAGTGTGTTACACAGTTCTGTCGACTTTTTTTTTCTTTGCCCTTGTCTTCAGTGTGCCAGTAAGTTCTGCCTGCTTTTGCACATTTACACTTTTTTTTCTTTGCCCCCTCACGTCAGTGACGAGCACATTTACACTTTCTATAAGTTCGAAAGCAACTGAGCAGGCCCTTAGGATCTGAGCAACTTGAGTTTTAGCTTTAGCGTCAACAGTCCTGTGAGTCCTTGGACAAGAAGGAGCCTCTGTTTCTTAGTCTGTGATATGGGGCTAATCACAGCTGCCTCAACCATCGATGGGCTGGGAGAGTTTTTCATAAACGAATGCACGGAAAGCACTTAGCTTAGTATCTGATACCTAATCAGTGCTAGTAACTCATGCACCAGCTGCGAATCTGGCCTTGACCCCGGCTGACCATTTGGAACAGGGAAGGGCATGTAAGGAGGAATCTGGGGTCCGCCTCTTAGATCAGGTGGGCACACATGTGGCTTCTGTCTTCGTTTTTGTTCTGTTTTTAAAACACATGCAGTCCCACTGTGTTCTGCATTTGGGTAAAGCAGTCTTGGCTCCAGTTACAGCTTTGGTTGGTTTGGACCTTATTTGGCAACAGTTTGAAGCTATAATCAGCAGTCAGATTCCTGGATGTGATTCTGCTAACATACTGTAGGTGAAGGATTTATTTAGTTACTCATTTTTTTTTTTTTTTTTGAGACAGAGTTTCACTCTTCTTGCCCAGGCTGGAGTGCAATGGCACGATCTCGGCTCACCGCAACCTCTGCCTCCTGGGTTCAAGCAATTCTTCTGCCTCAGCCTCCCGAGTAGCTGGGACTACAGGCGCACCACCATGCTCAACTAAATTTTGTATTTTTAGTAGAGATGGGGTTTCACCTTGTTGACCAGGATGGTCTCGATCTCTTGACCTTGTGATCCACCCACCTCGGCCTCCCAAAGTGCTGGGATTATAGGCTTGAGCCACCACGCTGGCCAAGACAAGGTCTTGCTCTTTTACTCAGGCAGGAGTGCAGTGGCATGGTCATGGCTCACTGCAGCCTTGAACTCCTGGGTTCAAGCAGTCTCCTACCGCAGCCTCTCAAGTAGCTGGGACTATAGGCATGCACCACCATCCCAGTTAATAATACATCTTAGTATGTCTGTAGAACAATCAGTAAAGTGACATTGACTTAATCCATGGAGCTTTTCCAGTTTCACTAGTTCTGCAGGCACTGGTATATGTTCAGTTCTTTGCACTTTTAACACACGTGTAGATCATGTAACCACCCCACAATCAAGATACAGAGCTGCTCAGCACCACCACAGCACTCCCTTGAGTGAAGCATTTATCTTCTAAGGCAGAAATCTTTTTTCCCCCCCCGTTTTAAAAGAAAGAAATGCAGAAGAATGTCGGGAAAGATGTTTGCTACATGTTAGCAGTGATTTATTTCACTTTGTGCTTTCTTGTTTGAGTTTTGTTTCTGTAATGAAAATCTATCAGTTAAACAAAAGCAACAGAGCTTTTTTTTCATCTTGAAACCCATCACCCAGATGCACCACTGGTGATGTTTTGCAAACAGGATTTATTTATTTACTCATTTGTAAATGCTTCCAGACTGCTTTCTAGGTTGTTCTCCTGCTTTTCTCTCACTTTCTCCATACTCTCAGAAGACATTCTCTGGAGGCAGTGCCACATGGCCTGTCTCCATGGTGGTCTGGTGTTCAAGCCCCACTCCCTGTGGGGCTCCCACAAGAAGTGGGATAAGTGGCCTGCCAGCACATGGCCTCCCAGAGGCTCTTAAGAAGACCAGAGTCAACATCAGCTGCTTGCCTTTTTGAAACCCAGCCTTTCTACACTGCCCCTCCTCTGCCTGCATCCTTGGATGGACATGGATTTGGCGTCCTTCTAACAAAACATCCGTGGTTTTAGATTGTCTGGTGTGCAGCTCCCTGCATGCAGGCAGGACTCCTGTGTCTTCCCTACCAATAATTTCAGTCATGATACCTGCCACCTGCCCTGGGCTTTTCCTCTATCAGGGACTATGCCAGGCATTTGACAGACATTGTCTCCATGAATCCTAGGAGTGGCCCACTGGGAAAACTGTTACCTTCTTAGATAAGGGAAGTGATACTCAGAGAGGTTAAGCACTGTCCCCAGGTTACCAGCTGGTTTGTGGCAGACCAGGACTTAAGGGCACAGTCATGTACTTAACCACTCACCTCCCCACCTCCTGTCAGCACTGGCTGCCATTAACCCAGGATTGCTTGTGTCTTCTCATAGGTGAGCCCAGGCCAGGATGGGGGACTCCAGGGACCTTTGCCCTCACCTTGACTCTATAGGGGAGGTGACCAAAGAGGACTTGCTGCTCAAATCTAAGGTAAAGGGTCAGACCTTAGGGGCCAGGGCCCACACCCAGGGCCACCTCTTTCTTGGGGTGTGGACATTTTTGAAGGAGTAGAAAAACTGGCTCCCTGACAGTCTGTGCTCAGCCTTCTGTGTAAATGGAAATGCTGGCTTCTGCTTGTGAGGCCACCTTCCGGGTCTCTGTCCTAATAGCCATTAATTATAATTTATACCAGGCCATTTGGGAACCACTAATGCTCTCTGTCCATTAGCTGTTGGGGCAGGTGCACAGAGCCTCTCCAAAGCAGGGAATGAAAGCTGCTTTCAGAATCCAGGAGTGTTTTTATAAATGTGGCCTGAGGAGAGCTCGGGGAGGCCTGGGCAGGAAGCTGGGCCTCCTCTCAGAGTAGGAGGATGCATTGCCATCCTTTTTGTGTTGTTAAATCAAAGTTTTTGAAAAGGTAATACTTGAACATGGTTAAAAGTGAAACAGTATATTTCTGTTCTCACTTAAAAATAAAAATGAAACAGTATAAAAAGATAAATGTCAAGAAGTCCTCCTCTTACCCCAGTGCCCCCTCTCCCCAGCCCATCCTCGGGTAACCACTTATTCTCTTTTGTATCTTTTCAGAGTTTCTTAATGTGAATACAAGCAGATAAAGTCATTTTCAGTTTTGCCCTTTCTTACATAAAAGGTGGTATACCACCCTCTCTGTCTTGAAACTTGCTTTATTTATATGACAGTGTATCTCGGAGCTCTTTGGACGTCAGTGCATAGAGACAGCTTTCTCATTTGTTACCTTGAAGCTGCATCATATTTTATTGTGTGGCCACAGTGACTGATGCACTGTGGATAGACACCTGGACCTTTTGCAACCTCTTGCCAGTAAAAAGATGCTGTGATGAATGACCTTGTAGAAAAGTCAGTGCATCCATGGGCAGAACTGCAGGCAGGCATGTTCCCAGGAGTGGAATTCCTGGGCATGTTGGCACCTAATGCTGCTCCTGTGGCCTCACTGCACCAGCAGGTCCTTGGTGGCCTTTGGCCTGAGCTGGTTTCATCATGGGGCCTGACATGGGAGCGGTTCTTCATAGTGTTTATAGCTGCTTTTGAAGTGACATTGCCTCTTGCAGCATGAAGTGGGGCAGAGTGAGGCTTGGGTGTATTTGCACTGTCTGATGATGGGTTTCTCTCCACTTCTTAAGCAATCTGAGAGCAGGGACAGTATGAAGCAGGTGGGAGAAGGGAGGTAGAGCACAGAAAGGTTTGCACTGGGACTGGCAGCCGTTCAGAAGCCTGTTAGTGCCTCTAGGGCAGAGACTGGGCATGTTTGGGGTGCTCTGGGCCTGTGTGTCAGAGAGCACAACTTCAATTCCTCTCTGGGTATCCAGAAAGTTACAAAAGAAAACCAGCACTGTTCTAAAATACTCATAAAGGGTAAAGATATGAGCAGGTATTTCTCAGTAAAGGAGATGGAAATGACAAACTTTTGGAAAAAGATGGCTGACCTCACTCTCGTGCTTATGGATATTACTAATGAAACAGGATGATAACCATTTTACAGATGGGTGGAAAGAGACTGATCCCACTCATAGCTGACAGGGAGAAAATGAGCCACTCACGTTGTGGAAGGGCTGGGAGTTACTGTAACTTTTAGGGAAGCAATTCTGCTTCTGGGAATTTATCCCGTAGAATGTAATCACATTTATAAAGATATGATACAGCAGTGATTTATTGAGCATTACTTGTAAAAGGGAAAAACTGATGCCACCTGAATATTGCTCAAGAAGGGAATTGATTGCATGGCTGTGTCCAGGGTGTGCAGTTATCACACAGAGGAGATGCAGTCTTTATGTACAAGCTTGGGTGATGCTAAAAGGAGACACAGGTACATTCATTATAGAGAAATATGTATTAGGTGATCTTATTTTTACTAAAAGTCAACCCTTCAAGATCTAGGCATCCATGTTTTATATAAGAAGAAGGTACAGAGGGAAATATTTCATATCATATACAGCATATAGATGTCATCTGAATTGTTAAGTAAGTATAGTAAAAATATATAAGACACTTTTATAAATCAAATAACTGAAATGGAAAGAAAAACCTGAGAAGAGGTGGGTGAATTGTGAAATCAAAAAATCACAAGAGACATGACAAATTCTGGAAGGTTCATGGCAGCAGCTTTGATTTTTGCTAAGCAGGCTGATCTCTTGGCACCCCTAGCATCTTCCATGAGAGACCCTAAACCACAGACTGCAGATCTCAGCTTCATCTATGGGATGAGCTGCTTCACTTCAATCCCTTGTTCAGGCTTTTTACAAACACGACTGGGATCTGGGTGTAGTGAGCCGACATGGCCACCGTGGGGGAAGCCAGGCTTTCTTGTTGGGAGATTTGGTGACCTTGCTGCACTGGGGTCCAGGCTCCTTGGCTGCATCTGCTGATCTTGTTCTGTGACAAGGGTGTGACCTCTATGAGTCCCCATCATCAGTGAAAGGGGGATGTTGGTGGGCCCTGCTACAGAGACTGGAGGGGATTATGTGAGCATTGTGTAAAGAACTCTGCTGGAGGCCAGGTGCGGTGGCTCACACCTATAATCCCAGCACTTTGGGAGGCGTAGGTGGGTGGATGACCTGAGGTCAGGAGTGTGAGACCAGCCTGGCCAATATGGCGAAACCCTGTCTGTACTAAAAAATACAAAATTAGCTGGGCATGGTGGTGCACACCTGTAGTTCCAGCTAATCAGGAGGCTGAGGCAGGACAATTGCTTGAACCCAGGAGGTGGAGGTTGCAATTAGCCAAGATCTCATCACTGCACTTCAGCCTGGGTGACAGATTAAGACTCTGTCTCAAAAAAGAATTCAGCTGGAGGCCTGGCTTGTTGTAATCTCTCTTCAAGAGTCCACTCCCACCATGGTGGAGCCTGATACTATAGCTGCTGTCGACCAGCACCCGTAGTTCCTCCCACAACTGATGGAAGCAAGACAGATGCTGTAGGGCCTCAGCTGGGAACTGCTGTTATAGAAATGCAGATACAGTTATTTGGGGTACAACTTGAGTTGCTGTAATAAAGAGTCCCTGAAATAGAGTGGCTTAAATGAGATAGAAGTTTCTGTTTCTCTCACAGAACAGACCAGAGGTAGGTAGGACTGGTAGGGTGCCTCTGCCATTCTCAACATGGGGCTTTCATCTCCGAGTCCAAGGTGGTTGCTTCAGCTCCTGCCATCACATCTACATTCCAGCCAATGGTAAGAGGAGAAGGAGCAAGGGTAGCACACAGCTCAGAAGTGGCACACATCATTTTTGCTGTCATCTCATTGACTAGAACTGAGCCATGTGATCATGGTGGAAGCTGGAAAATATCATCTGCAGCAGACTAGCTGTGTGCTCAGCTCAAATCCATGCATCTGCTTATTAAAGTAAGGAGTAGAAAGTATACAAATAGACACAGAGCAGGCCCTGTCGCCCAGACCACCAGAAACCTGGGCATATCCTGTGATTTGCCAGGTCCTTGACCTCTTCATTTATACCAGGCCCTGTGGACTCACAGGGGCTGGTAAAACAGGCCATCCCTCTTTCACAGAGCCCTGGTCTAATGGGTAGAAAGGCTGAAATAATTCACTGCAAGGAAGGAAGCATAGAAGGAATAGTAAGAGAGCATGTTAACAAGTCTCTTACATGATTTTATTTTCCAAGATTAGGTTATAGACACTAAAATAAAATGTTGATTATGTTTTTACAGGCACATGATAGAATTCAAACAGTAGCATGTACAGGGCTCCCCTGGGAGCCTGATTTGGACAGGTAGTCTGGGTAAGGCCTTCCAGGGCCAGGGCTTGACACTGAGACCTTTTCAGTGAGTGTCAGCCAGGTGGGGCCTCCAGGCAGGAGCAGCTCCAGAGCTTAGCCCCCCATGGGCTCCTCACACCTGCTCTTTCTCTCTCCTCTCAACCCACACAGGGAACCTGTCAGTCGTGTGGGGTCACTGGACCAAACCTTTGGGCCTGTCTCCAGGTAAAAGATCCTTGTGGGTATTGGGGGTATGGAGCTGCTTCTAGACTCTGGGCTGGGAACTTCCATCCCTGGTGGGCACTGCCAGGAACCTTGGGCAGGGGCACAGGGCTCCAGAGTCAGCGAATCTGAGCTGGCCATTCTGCCAGCCATTAAAAATGACAGAAGAACAAAACAGGTTGGAGAAGGCTCTGGACCGAAGGCTCCTGTCTTCATAGGACACATAATTCTAGCTTGGCATGTGTATGTGAGAGTCGACGTGGGCGTCTTGGTGTTGAGGCCTGGCACTGCTGCTTAGTAGCATCTCTCCTTGGGCCAGTCTCATTTTTTCCCTGAACCTTCATTTCCCATCGATAAGAGAGGGGATGCAACACTGACAGCTGACAGCTGTCCCCACCTCATGGGGTTAGGGTGGAACTGGACAAGGCAGGTGCCTGTGGCTGGCCTGTAGACTGCATCCAGGAGAAGCTGGAAGGGTTTGGATGATTACTGGTTACTAAAAGGAGTGTATGAAAACATGACAGTTTCCCCTGAGTGGTAGAATTACGGGTAATTTTGATTTTTTTTCTCTATAGTATTTTAAAAATGTTTTCAAGTATATATTTTTATGGTCATACCAAAAAGGACTGTTACTTAAAATTTCTTTAAAAGAAACAAAAACCCAGGAGTAGAAACAACAGATAGCCTCAGCGGGTGAAGCCATCTAGTCAGTCTTTGCAGAAGCACAGGGGCCTGGGTGGGACTCTGGCCTCTTCTGCTCTGGCCTGTCACTCAGCACAAAGTAGATGGCAAGACACTGGGGTATCCAGGGGGCAGCAAGGAGTGCCAGATGTTATCTCCTGGGCTGTTAAAAGTGCAGGACGTGGTCCTCCCTCATAGGAGCCACAGTCCCCTCAGACAGATGTGGGAGCCCGATGCAGAACATGGTACGTGCTTTCTGAATCAGCCACATAGTAAAGATCCAATTATTCCACCGTTTTCCCCAAAAGGCCCTCACTAGCCTGTGCAGTGCTGATCCTGTAGAGAAGCCTTGGCCATTGGCTCCTGGCTGGCATGGAGGCCCACAGTGGAGGCACTGAGTGGGCCTTGGAGGGTAGGTAGATTTGGATAGGAGAGTGTGAGGGCAAAGGCAGCGTCTTCAGGGACATGCAGGCCCTGCTGTGGGGCACTTGGTTGATACTGGGCTCCCACTACCTGTGCACCTTGTTTCAAACACCTGGAACCCATTCAGCATCCCCCACTAGAAAATGGCTGTGAGGCCTAGCATCCCCACCAAAAACGTAGGTCCCAATAACTGCCCCCCTTCCACGTAGGGTTTTCCTGGAGGGAAAGGATCTGGGTTCCGAGCAGCCAGTCCTCATCTGGGACCCCGTCTGGGCTTCTTGCTGGAGAGCTGCAGCCCAGGACATACTGCTTATTTCATGCAGACGGCGGTAACAGTGTTTATGAATTTTTATAAAAAAGGCTTCAGAAACATGAAATACCTTGGTTTTGTTTACCGTCCCTCACTACTCAACAGAACTTCAGGTGTACAAACCCACAGGCCCGTGTTCCTTTGAGATGGCAGAGCCTCAGTCCCTTGTGGTCCCTGTTCAGGAGGGGGTGGGCACTGACTTTGGGCTGGAACCAGAGACACTATGTTGACACCATCCTTTTGGCAAGCTCCAGTCCACTCTCCTCCCCTGTGTCCACAGGTCGCCTGCCCCTATGTTGGCTGTGGAGAATCTTTTGCTGACCACAGCACAATTCATGCACAGGTGAGTGTGGTGGCTGACAGTGTGGGCCCTACAGATGGCCTGGGGTTCAAACTCCAACTCCACCTTCCTGCTCTGGGCCTAAATGCTAGGGCGATAAATGATGTCATACTAGCATGGCTTCTGCAAAGAAGCAAGAGATGATGCAGGTAAAAACATTTTGCACCTGCACCATTTGATAAACAGTAGCCCTCAGGGTAATCGAAATTCAAGCTTCCAGCCTCTGTCCTGACAGGGCCACTTACCGAGAGTCTGGGGCGTGGAGCAGCCATCACAGGTTGGGGCACCTGTCAGGCCAGAGTACCCTGGACCTTGTTTTGGATATCACCCTCTAGACAAAAAAGCACAACTTGACTGTGAACCTGACCACGTTCCGGCTGTGGTGTTATGCCTGTGAGAAGGAGGTGTTCCTGGAGCAGCGGCTGGTGGCCCCTCTGCCGGGCTCCTCCTCCACGTTCTCTGAACAGGTAAGCTGTGTGGTGGGCTCTGTTTGGTTGTTGGCAACACTGTGTTGAGGATGGGGTGGTGTAACTTAAGCATTCGTGGAGCTTGGGTCAGTAGGTCTCAGAGGTGTCTGTTCCTGGGTCAGCATGTTTTCAGGTGACTTTGAGGAGCTCACACCCACACGTGCTCACTGAGCCCACTCTGTGCCAAGGTGTGAGTGAGGCCCTGAGGGTGCAGAGGTGACTGAGAGTAGGGCCTCCCTTGAGGAGCTCAGGGGCCATGGGGTGGCCCTGCAGAGTACAGGGGTCGGGTGGGCCCAGGGCTGTGGGGTAAGTGTAGACCCTTCCAGGCCTTATGGAGAGGGTCGATAAGGTCACAGATGGCCTGGGCCATCCCAGATGTGAAACCGTTCCTAAGGGAATTCCAGGTAGTTACTACAGCACACTTTTCTATGGGAAATGCCCAGAAACTACCTCGGTAACATCAACCAGAGAATGGGCCTTTCATCAGCAGTACTGTGCAGCTTTAGAGGTGGCGGGTCACCAAGCCCACACCCTGGAGGTCCCAGCCCCAGGCCTGTCCTCAGGGAATGGTCAGTCACCCTGGATGGCAGAGCTGCCTGCTAGAGGAGAAGCCAGGACATGTGTGTGCAGATCTGCATGGCTGTCTCCTCCATATTTTTAATATTTTGTTTTAGTTTAGTTTAGTTTTAGTTTTTGAGATCAAGTCTTGCTCGTTGCCCAGGCTGGAGTGCAGTGGTACAATCTCAGCTCACTGCAACCTCTGCCTCCTTGATTCAAGTGATTCTCCTGCCTCAGCTTCCTAAGTAGCTGGGACTACAGGTGCCTGCCACCATGCCTGGCTAATTTTTGTTTTTAGTAGAGTCGGGGTTTCACCATGTTGACCAGGCTGCTCTTGAACTCCTGACCTTAAGTGATCTGCCTGCCCTGGCCTCCCAAAGTGCTGGGATTACAATCGTGAGCCACTGCACCCAGCCTGTTCTGTTTAGACAGTCACATAATAGGGCTCAATAAGTGCTTATTGAATGCATCTGTGAACTTGGTAGATGTTTATGAATTTGTGTAGAAAAGGCTTTAAAACAGTATATGCAATATCTTGTTTTTATTGTGCATGTGTATTAACAGTTAAATGTCTGTATAATACAGGCTGGGCGCAGTGGCACATGCCTTTAATACCAGCCCTTTGGAAGGCTGAGCAGGAGGATCACTTGAGCCCAGAAGTTTGAGACCAGCCTGGGCAGCATAGTGAGACCCTGTCTCTACAAAAAATCAAATGAGCCAGGCGTGGTAGCATATGCTTGTCCCAGCGACTTAGGATGCTGAGGTGGGAGGGTCACTTGAGCCAAGGAGTTCAAGGTTGCAGTGGGCTATAGTTGTGCTACTGCACTCCAGCCTGGGTGACAGAGCAAGACTCTGTCTCTTAAAAAAAGTCTACATAGGCCAGGCGCAGAGGCTCACACATGTAATCCTAGCACTTTGAGAGGATCATTGGAGCCTAGGAGTTTGAGACCAGCCTGGGCAAGATGGTGAGATTCTATCGCTACAAAATATAAAAATGTTAGCTGGGCGCTGTGGCATGCACCTGTAGTCTCAACTACTGAGGAGGGTGAGGTGAGAGGATCCCTCGAGCCCAGAAGTTGGAGTCAGCAGTGAGCTCTGATTGTGCCACTGCACTCCAGCCTGGGGGACAAATCAAGACTCTGTCTAAAAAAAACACACACACACACAAATCAAGGAGTTCCCAGGGAAAGGCCACCAGTCCTCTCTCTTTTCACAGTGCCTCCTGCACAGATAGACTGACTCAGCCCAGCAGGGGCTTCTGGGCAGTGGAACTGTATTTCCAGCCCTTAGGAGACACCTGGGCCTCTGACCCCAGCTCCTGTGTTCCCCATTTTCCTCATTTTGGGTCTTTAACACAGGACTCCCCACCACCCTCCCACCCTCTGAAAGCTGTTCCTATTGCGGTGGCCGACGAAGGAGAGTCTGAGTCAGAGGATGATGACCTGAAACCTCGAGGTAACGGCCTGGAGGCTGGAGAGTGCCACAGTCTTGTCTCTATTTGCACCTGCTATCTGGGCAAGGAAGGGTGGGGTGTGACGGATGAGCTGTGTAGCATGATGGCTTCCCTCTGGAAGCTGGCTGGCCCAGCCAGTGTTCTGGAGAGCTAGCCATTTTGTTCCCTCTCCCAGTTGTGTGACCCTGGGCAGGCGGCCTGGCTGGGCAAAGGGGCAAAGCAGTTCATCTGTTTAAAATGCTCAGGTAATCGCCACTGTTGTGAGCAGGAAGCACGTTAATTTACTGGGAAGATTCCTGGGGTGGAACACTTCCACCATGTCCTCTTCTTGGGTCCTGGGCAGTTGAGAGCCACATTGTGATAAATGTGAATTGCAAGGTGTCCTTGGCGGGCTGGGTGCTCACCTGCTCCTCCCCATTGTGTTTATTTGCCAGGCCTCACGGGCATGAAGAACCTTGGGAACTCCTGCTACATGAATGCGGCCCTGCAGGCCCTGTCCAATTGGTAAGTCGATGCTTTGTCAGAGAGCAGAGAGCTGCCCCTGGCAAAGCCCTGGAAACAGTATCGGTAGCACCCCCAGGCAGTTGCCCACAAACACATGCTTAGGACGCACAGCCAAATTCCCAAAAACACCCAGGCCCTTTGACCCAGCAATCCCCAAAGTGGGAACGTACCCTGAGGAGATAACCAGAGATGCTGGGGAGGTTGGACGTGCCAGGAGGCTCCATGCTCTGTTGTTTATTGGAAGCGGTTGAAAGGCCCATCTGCAAGAGAATGTAAATTCTCATAGCCCAGCCTTGCAGGAAGTGCAGGAAAAATGGCACAAGACAACATACATGGAAACAAGAAGGAGTTCAGAATCTGGTGATGGGGGGAGAAAAAGGAGGTTATAAGGCATTGCATGGTACAATCCTGTTTTAGGGGAGAAATGCAATTTTCCATTAGGGATAGGCTCTCAGCTCCATGAGGCCAGGGATGTCTCCTGTGCCGGACATGCTTCTACGCAGTGGAGATTAGAGATGGCAGTATATGTATTCAGGAAGCAGAGAGGGAATGAGTACAGATGCGCAGACAAGTATGGAAGGCTGCGTTCCAAAATGTTCCTAGTAACATCAGGTGGCAGAATGAAGGTCAATTATTGTTAATAATTGACCACACCCAAACTGGGCACAGTGGCTCATGCCTGTAATCCCACCACTTTGGGAGACTGAGGAAGGCAGGAGATTGAGACCAGCCTGACTAACAAGGTGAAACCCCATCTCTACTAAAATTACAAAAAATCAGCTGGGTGTGGTGGCATGTGCCTGTAGTCCCAGCTACTTGGAAGGCTGAGGCAGGATAATCTCTTGAACCCAGGAAGTGGAGGTTGCAGTGAGCCAAGATCATGCCATAGCACTCCATCCTAGCCAACAGAGTGAGACTCTGTCTCAAATAAAACAAAATAAAATGAAATAATTGACCACACCCAGGCTCACCTCTTTAAAAGCCCTGTCTTGGCTGGGCGCAGTGGCTCATACCTGTAATCCCAGCACTTTGGGAGGCCACGGTGGGTGGATTGCCTGAGGCAGGAGTTCACCAGCCTAGCCAACATAGGGAAACCCCGTCTCTACTAAAAATACAAAAAAATTAGCTTGGCGTGGTGGCATGTGCCTATAATCCCAGCTACTCTGGAGGTTGAGGGAGGAGAATCACTTGAACTCAGGAGGCAGAGGTTGCAATGACCTGAGATTGTACTACTGAACTCCAGTCTGAGCGACAGAGTGAGACTCTGTCTCAAAATAAAAGAATAAAATAAGATAAAGTAAAAATGCCCTGTTTGTAGATACAGCCACACTCAGGTACTGGGGGTTAGGGCTTCACAGATTAATTCTGGAGAATCCAATTTTGCCCATAACTGGTAGGATCCTTCTAGTCGTCTTCAGATGTTTCTGGGTCCAGGTCCACTGTGTTCTCTGTGCCAGCGCTCATGGCTCCCCACTACACAGCCTTTTCTAAACCATGCCATGTCCCTCATTTGCTCTCCTGACCTGGTTCTCTCTCCCCTGCCCCCAGCCCTCCACTGACTCAGTTCTTCTTGGAGTGTGGAGGCCTGGTGCGCACAGACAAGAAGCCAGCCCTGTGCAAGAGCTACCAGAAGCTGGTCTCTGAGGTCTGGCACAAGAAACGGTGAGCCATTGCATCCCTAGCCTCGGGTGGTGTGTGGGGCAGGGGTTTCTTGTCAGCACCCAAGATTGAGCACTTCCTGTGGATTCAGCCCCCAGGGAGCACTTGCCTCACTTTGTCCCGGGTAATTCTTGCAGCAAGCCTGTGGGGTGGAAGTTGCATCCAGTCCTGTTGTGCAAATAGGGAAACTAAGGTGCAGAGAGCTTTAAGGATCTTGCTCAGGTCATGGAACCTGCGAAAGGTGAGCTAGAATTTGACCTGCTGTCAACCCTAGCCGGCAGGCACGGGTAGGTGTCTTTGCCAAAAGACACGGTGACCTGGCCTGAGCCACAACTGTGTGTGTGGAAGGAGGTATGGGGCAGGGGGCGCAGATCAGATGGAGCTTCTGGCACAGAATGAAATGAATTGAAAGACCAGAGCCTGGGATTTGACCTGTTTCTCCAGGAAAAGTCGAAGTTGGGAATTAAAAATGAGCACATAGAAGTATGTATTACATGTAGAAGCAGATTACAAACCAGCGTGGGGCCAGGCATGGTGGCTTATGTCTGTAATTCCAGCATTTTGGGAGGCCAAGGCCAGCAGATCACAGGTTGGGAGTTCAAGACCAGCCTAACCAAAGTGGTGAAAAACACCGTCTCTACAAAAAATATAAAAATCAGCCGAGCATGGTAGCAGGTGCCTGTAGTCCCAGCTACTCGGGAGGCTGAGGCAGGAGAATAGCTTGAACCCAGGAGGTGAAGGTTATAGTGAGCCTAGATTGTGCCACTGCACTCCAGCCTGGGCGACAGAGCGAGACTCTGTCCCGGAGAAACAAAAACAGAAAACAACCCAGCATGATAACAGTGTAATTCCTCCCGTGTCAGGAGCCAACTTTCAGTGTCTATCTATATGTATTTTTATATATGCATTCGGAGTTTCACAGAAAAATCCAGAAATCTAATGGTAAGTATCTGGTGCCACTAGTGGTAGTGTTTTTCTCCTGCGCTTTTCTGAAATTTTAGATTTGTCAGTAATGAACATTGAAATGAGAAAACCACAGTAAGCATTTTAGAACAAAAACAAATCATGTTTAGGTGAGTTTGTTGTGCGCCAGCAGGAAATGGTGCCATCTTACTTGAGCTCTTTGCTTAATTGAGGCAGCTATGACTTCACGTTTTCTTCTTGTCTGTAGAGATGTGTGATCCTCTTGGGGCTTCTGGCTGGGTAGGCGCCTCCCCAAATGTCAGGAAACAAATGTCAGTCCAGCCTGGCTGGCCAGCTGCCTGCTTCTCTCAGGAATGAGCAGCTCAAAGCAGCCTCCCTGTACTAATGGGTTTGGCCTTCCTACAGGCCAAGCTACGTGGTCCCCACCAGTCTGTCTCATGGGATCAAGTTGGTCAACCCAATGTTCCGAGGCTATGCCCAGCAGGTAAGCCATCTGAGCTTCCCAGGGAACACCTAAGGCTGTGACCCATTAGGCCTGGCTTTGATGCCAAAACCAGAGTGGAGAATCGCAATGGCAGCTGAGCACTGGTTGGTAAGTCTCATGGACCAGGCTGTCACTCCTAAGCCCTTCATATGTGTGGGGACAGTGGTGCCTCCCAGCAGCCTGCTGATACTTAACCCCACTTCACAGACAGGCAGACTGGGGTTCAGGGGGCCCGAGTCATTTGCACAGGCCGCACAGCTGGCAAATGGTGGAGGGAATTCTTTTTTGTGGGGGCATGGTACAGGGTCTCACTCTGTCATCCAGGCTGGAGTGCAGTGGTGCAGTCATGGCTTACTGCAGCCCTGACCTCCTGGGCTGAAGCAGTCCTGCCTCAGGCTCCTAAAGTGTTGCAATGATTGGCATGAGCCACTGCACCCGGCAGAGGGGAGATTTGAACCTGGGCAGCCTTGCTGCAGGGCCTTTGCCCCTCTGCATTGAACCCGAAACGGCACGGGGTTTCACTTCCCCAAACTACAGGTGAAATTGCACTTTTATTAAAGCAAAAATTTTGATTAAGAATTTTTTTTTTAACCTAGAGAGCCCCTTTGAAACCAACCACACTTTTCTATTTTATAAGATCATAAGACCAAGACAAAGAGTGCAGCCACACATACACCTCAGCCCTGGGCTGATGGCTCTGCCCTCTAGCCTCCTGCCCCAGATGGCCCACGGCAGAGCTGGACCTGGCGGGGTCCCCTCTTTTGCTGCCTGAATGAGAACCATGGATGGAGAAGCAGTCATGTGGGGACACTTCCACCCTCTCCTTTACCCTCTACCTTCGAGCTCACGGGGAGGGAAAAAGGCGGTACCACATTCAGCCCAGTGACCTTTCACCCTACAGGAGAGGCAGTGGAGGTGGGCAGGGAGCTGGCAGAAGGACCTCTGGTTCTACGACGTGATGTCAAAAAGGAGGGCTCACCTGAGTCCTGCCCCGAGCCGTGCCACCCACAGGCCAGGCCACCTTCGTGACTCACCTTTCCTCTGGCTCCCCCTGCTCCCTCACTCCCTGTGCCAACCCCCACATACCCTCACTCCCTGTCTCACCTTCCCACAGACCTGGGCATGACTCAGACTAAGCTGCCCCTGCAGGCAGTCCCAGGGTGAGGGCTGTGGGGCCTTTGGCTCCTGCTTGAGAGGTTCAGCACTGCCTGGACACCTCACTAACATTCCTTGTGCACCATTTAAGTGGCCACGACTTAGTCCTCACAGAACTCTCACCAAGTGGGCAGTATTGTCACCCCCATGTTATAGGTAAAGAGCTGAGGCTCAGAGAGCTTATTCCCTTCACCCGTGTCACACAGCTCATCCTGGCAGAGATGGCATTCAGGCCTAGCCGAGCCCATCCCTCAGCACAGTGCTGCCCCGACTCTGTGCAAGGTGTCCTGCCGGTTCTCAGCTCTGGGTCAGGATGCTGTTACGGAGGGCCACGCGCTGCTACAGGACTCCACTTGGATTCCAGCAGAAGCATCCCTTCCTCTGGTTCTACGACATAATGCAGAGGACATTTCTGAGGCTGAACTGTAGAGGCAGCTGTGGGCCCCTCTTAAGGGCCAAAGGATGCTTTCATGCTTCCACATGGATTGAGATTTTGGCAAGGAACACAGTACTTTTGTTGAAAGGAAGAACCAGAAAGAGAAGTAGATGGTGTATTGAAAGCCTATTCTTGAAAGGGCCCTTGATCATGCCTGCCACAGGTCACGTGTCCCCACCCTGATGCAACATAAGCTAGTGGTTCCTTCCTCTGATCTTGGAATCTGACACTGCCGCGGGGAGTCCCACTCAAACCCCCCTTCCCTGCACCTGAGCGGAGATAGCCGGGCTCCTCTCTCCAGATGTGTGACATAAGGCTGGCTCTGGTTGCTACATGACTGCTGCCTCCTGGGGGTCAGGGCCTGGGCTGGGGGCTACTTATAACATCCAGGTCAGGGACTGCTGGGGCTGATTTGGGCCTGGAACCCAGGTCCTTCTCCATTGCCCAGCACCACTCGAGCACCCCCCAGTTGCCAGGGGTCTGCTGCTGCCACCACGTTCTGACCTCCCAGCGCACCTGGTGAGTGCACAGCTCTCAGTGGGGCTCACTGGGCGCCTCTGCCTGAGCCCCTGCTGCCTTGGCTTCCTGCTGTGCTGGTGGCCCAGTCACAGAGTGGTCAGGACAAAATGGTCATTTTAGACCCAGGCAGCCTGCAGAGGCAGCTTAGTCTGAGTCATACCCAGGTCTGTGGGAAGGTGAGACAGGGATCGAGAGTATGTGGGGGCTGGCACAGGGATTGAGGGAACGAGGAGCCCGAGGAAAGGTGGAGCACGAAGGCGGCCTGGCCTGTGGGTGGCATGGCTCGGGGCAGGACTCAGGTGAGCCCTCCTTATTGGCATCACACTCCCTTGTCTTTCTGCCAGCTCCCTGCCCATCTCCACTGCCTCTTCTGTAGGGTGAAAGGTCACTGGGCTGAATGTGGTACTGCCTTTCTCCCTCCCTGCGCTGAGCTCTCAGCAGAGGCAGGCGATTCCGAGCATGAACCGGGAGTTGCACTGACCTAGGTGCATACTTGGCTCTGCCACTTGACAGCTGTGTGTCCTGGTGGGAGTCCTTTAGCAGCTCGGAGCCTCAGTGTCATCCACAGAAGAATGGGATTAGGACAGACCACTCTGGGAGGCCACTGTGGGGATGAGCAGCTTCTCTGCAGGGGGCACCCATGAGGCCCTTTTAGGTGGAGGCTGGTGCTCTCTCATCAGCCGCAGGGTGTTGCAGTCTGCTTCCTCCTGCCCCCAGTAGATCCCTGTTGACACAACCCCGGGTTCTAGGACACCCAAGAGTTCCTTCGCTGCCTGATGGACCAGCTGCACGAGGAGCTCAAGGAGCCAGCAGTGGCCACGGTGACGCTGATGGAGGCACGGGACTCAGACTCAAGTGACACGGATGAGAAACGGGAGGGCGACCGGAGCCCGTCAGAAGACGAGTTTTTGTCCTGCGACTCGAGCAGCGACCGGGGTGAGGGTGACGGGCAGGGTCGTGGCGGGGCCAACTCGCAGGCAGAGATGGAGCTGCTGATCCCAGAAGAGGCGGGCAGAGCCATCTCCGAGAAGGAACGGATGAAGGACCGAAAGTTCTCCTGGGGCCAGCAGCGCACAAACTCGGAGCAAGTGGACGAGGACGCTGATGTGGACACCGCCATGGCTGCCCTTGATGACCAGCCTGAGGAGGCCCAGCCCCTGACACCACGGTCCACCAGCCCCTGCCGGACGCCAGGTATCAGTATCAGCTGGCCAGGGGCTTCGGCAGGAATGTCAGCCTGTGACCCAGTACCTACTGGGTGCTGAGCATTGACATGCAGTAGTCCCCGGGGGATAGGTTCTTCCACTAGACTCAAATGACAGTTGGGAAGTCAGCTTCCAGGGGACTAAGTGATGCGCCCAGGTTCCCCCAAGTTAATACTGGAGCCTCATTCACAGCCCTCTCCTGGAGCCCTGAGCCTTCAGCCAGAAATGGGAGTGGACAGCTCTGCTCTGGCCTGTGTGCTGGGGCCCAGAGTGGGCATGTGACGGAGGAGATACATTGGGGTCAGGCCTTTGTCCCTTTAGGAGGGGCTGGCAGGCCCTCTTCCTGCCCACTTATGGAGCTGGCGTGGCTGTCCTGGTCCAGCAAGTTCCCCTCTCTGCCCCCAGAGCCGGACAATGATGCCCACCTGCGAAGCTCCTCTCGCCCCTGCAGCCCCGTCCACCACCACGAGGGCCATGCCAAGCTGTCCAGCAGCCCCCCTCGTGCAAGCCCCGTGAGGACAGCACCGTCGTATGTGCTCAAGAAAGGTTCGGGGGGCAGAGGGGAGGGTCGGTCAGCTCAGGGCTGGGAGTGCGGATTGCGCCTGTGGCTGCCTTTCTCATGGCTCCCATGTGGCTGAGGGACAGGCTATAGGTTCCTCTCAGGCACAGCTCTGAGATAACAGTATGGGGAGCCCCATTTTGCAGAGGATGACATGGAGACACAAGGAGGTGAATTGCTTATCCAGTCACATGACTCACAGATGCCACTGCACATCCTGGCAAAGGAAGCCCCAGTGCCTGCACCTTGCCCCGGCCAGGCTGGTGGAGGCTGGGCTAGTCCTGCACTGTCTCTCTAGCCCAGGTCTCGAGTGCTGGCAGCCGGAGGCGGAAGGAGCAGTGCTACCGCAGTGTCATCTCCGACATCTTCGACGGCTCCATCCTCAGCCTTGTGCAGTGTCTCACTTGTGACCGGGTGGGTGCCCCAGGGATGGGGGAGCTGGGCCTGGCTGCCAGCGGCCTTGGCAGCTCTTGCCCTGACTGGGTGCAGGGTGGGCTCTCCATGGGTGCTCCCTGCTTTTGTTGAGGCTAGGGCCCTTCCTGTGTGGATCCCATGTCTATGGCCTGGGGAGCAGGCCCTCTGCCCCTCACCTGCGGGCTGGGGGTTGGGGTGCAGACATTGCCAGAGAGCGGGCACCAGACTGACCTTCAACCCCACAGGTGTCCACCACGGTGGAGACGTTCCAGGACCTGTCACTGCCCATTCCTGGCAAGGAGGACCTGGCCAAACTCCACTCAGCCATCTACCAGAACGTGCCCGCCAAGCCGGGCACCTGTGGAGACAGCTACACCACCCAGGGCTGGCTGGCCTTCATTGTGGAGTACATCCGACGGTGCGCCCACCTTGCCATTAGTGGTGACATGGGCCAGGCCTTGCCCTGGTTTTCCTGGGTGGGAGATACTACACAGCCAAGTCCACAGAGTTGAGGGACCAGGAAGATCCTGGAAGGAGCTGGAGGCCGAAGGCTGGAGAGGAGTTGGCTTAATAAGCAGGGTATTTCTTGGCTACTTTCAAGTGGCCAGGATTGGATGGTCCCTTGGAGCTGGAGGGCAATAGCAGGGAGGTGACCATGTGGCAGGTTGAAGGGAGGACAGCAGCAGGACACAGGCCTGGTGGGCAGGAAGGGCAGCAGCTTTCCCCGGACCGCCTCACTTGTCCAAGGTCATGGACCCATACTGCCCCAAGGAGGGGGCAGCATAATCATGGCCCCATCACAGATGAAGGCCAAGCTTGGGGAGAGGTGATGTCATGTGGCCCAGGACATGGAGGGGTCTGGCTCCAGGCCTCTGCCCCAACCCACCATGCCCAGCTGCCTCTGGGCCTCAGGTCTGACAGAACTCAGCCAGAGTCCCCTCAGCTCCTGTTCTTGCCCAGGCCCTGGTAGCAGCTGCACTCTTCTTCTCTGTAGGTTTGTGGTATCCTGTACCCCCAGCTGGTTTTGGGGGCCTGTCATCACCCTGGAAGACTGTCTGGCTGCCTTCTTTGCCGCTGATGAGCTGAAGGGTGAGTGGCCTGGCTGGCAAGGGTGCGGGAGGTGGGGAGTTACAGGGACAGGGGTATGCAGACCCCTGCAGGCCAGCATGCAGCCCAGGGCTTGTGGGACACATGGCCAGGCTAGACTTTGCCTCCAAGGTTGAACCCATCAGATTCCCACTCCCTCTGCCAGCCAGGCTGGGCCGGGGCCACGCGCCCTCCCACTCCGACCATCTTACTACAGCTCTTGGGTGTTTACTTATTTTTTATTTTTATTTTTTTACCAATTTGGTGGGCAAAAATGATATTGTACGTTAATTTTGCATTTCCTTGATTACTGATGAGTGTCTACATTTTTTGTTAAATATACTGACTATTTGTATTTATTTAAACGTTGCCCATTCCTGTTCTTCCCCTTTTTCTCTGTTGGCTACTTGGCATTTAAACCTTTGAGAAAAAAATTTTTTTTTTCAATTTTCAATTGTGGTAAAATACACAGAATTTAAAATTTACCACCATAACCATTTGAAATGCTATTTTGAGCAGAAAGTGCACAGTTCATTAGTGTTAAATACATTTACATGGTGGTACAGCCCATCCTCCCCATTCATCTCCAGAACTTTTTCATCTTGCAAGCCTGAAACTCAGCATCCTTGAAATAGCTCCTAGTCCCCCCTTCCAGCCCCTGGCAACCTCTGCATTCGAGTCTCTGTGAATATGACTACTCTAAGGACCTCAGATAAGTGGAATTAGACAGTACTTGCCGTTCTGTGACTGATGGCTTTTACTGAGTAGGATGTCCTTAAGCGTCATATGCGTTGCAGCGTGTGTCCAAAGGTCCTGCCTTTTTTCGGCTCATAATTGTCCTGCTGTATGGGTACCTGGGGTCATTCTGCTTATTCGTTCATCCATTAGCGGCCGTGGGCTGCTTCCGTTTTAACTATTGTGCGTATGTTGCACCCCTCTCTCTTTTCATCCCTTTGGGTATATGTGCATTTTTAATTTATTGAGGAGCCACCGTACTGTGTTCCACAGTGGCTGGCCCATTTCACATTCCCACCAGTGACACACAAGAGTTCCAGTTTCTCCACATCCTTGCCCACACTTACTTTCTGTTTACTTTTTTGATAGGAGTCAGCCTCATGGGTGTGAGGTGGTGTCTCATTGTGGTTTTGTGTTGTTGTTTTGTCTTTGTTGAGACGGAGTCTTGCTCTTGTTGCTCAGGCTGTAGTGATGATGTGATCTTGGCTTACTGCAGCCTCCATCTCCTGGGTTCAAGAGATTCTCTTGCCTCAGCCTCTCGAGTAGGTGAGGCTACAGGTGCCTGCCACTGTGCCTGGCTAATTTTTGTATTTTTAGTAGAGACGGGGTTTCACCATATTGGCCGGGCTGATCTCAAACTCCTGACCTTGTGATCCACCTGCCTCCCAAAGTGCTGGGATTACAGGCATGAGCCACTGCACCTGGCCTCATTGTGGGTTTTTTTGTGTTGTTTTATTTTGTTTTTGAGACAGAGTCTCGCTCTTGTCACCTAGGCTAGAGTGCAATGGTATGATCTTGGCTCATTGCAACCTCTGTCTCCCGGGTTCAAGCAATTCTCCTGCCTCAGCTTCCCGCCTCCCTAGTAGCTGGGATTACAGGCATGCACTACCATACCCGCCTAATTTTTGTATTTTTAGTAGCACAGGATTTCACTATGTTGTCCAGGCTGGTCTTGAACTCCTGACCTCAGATGATCCACCTGCCTCAGCCTCCCAAAGTTTTCATTGTGGTTTTGATTTGCATTTCCTAATGAGTAGTGATGTTGTGTGTCTTTCCATGTGCTTGCTGGCCATTTGTAAATCTTTGGAAAAAACATCTGTGTGAGTCCTTTGCCTGTTTTGTTTTTTGTTGTTATAGGAGGTTTTTTTTTTCTTGAGACAGAGTCTCACTCTGTCACCCAGGCTGGAGTGCAGTGATACGATCTTAGCTCCCGGCAACCTCCTCCCTCCGCCCTCCAGGTTTGAGCAATTCTTCTGCCTCAGCCTCCTGAGTAGCTGTGATTACAGGCGCACACAACCACGCCCTGCTAATTTTTGTATTTTTGGTAGAAACGGAGTTTCACTATGTTGACTAGGCTGGTCTCGAACTCCTGACCTCAGGTGATCCGCCTGCTTCGGCCTCCCAAAGTGCTAGGCTTACAGGCATGAGCCACCAGGTTTTATTTCTTAAGCAGAAATCATTATCAGTTTTTCTGCTCCCCCATTTCCCATCCCTGCTAACTTCTGACTCTTGTTTTAATACCCTAGGTGACAACATGTACAGCTGTGAGCGCTGTAAGAAGTAAGAGCCTTCCCGAGCCTTTTCCCTAACTGTCCGTTTCTGTGCCCTACATACTTCCCTTGGGTTCTTGGAGAGAGCCCACCCCCCCCCCAATCCTGCCTTCCTGGAAGGGACCTGGGTGGAGGGCTGCTCCCCTTAGCCCTGCCCCTGACTCTGGCTCGTGCTTCCTTCCCAGGTTGCGGAACGGAGTGAAGTACTGCAAAGTCCTCCGGTTGCCTGAGGTGAGGGCCGGCCTTGGCAGCCTCCTTCTCAGCTATCTTAAGGTGCACACTAGCACACACTGGGTGGGGGCTGACCCTGCTCCACTGCTCGGGAGCTTCTGTGCCGCAGGGACCATGGAGATTCCATAGCTTTGGTTGAGAGACCTCTGGGAAGAGTGGGCATGGGACACATTTTTCTGACTGTGACTTGGTGCCCTCTCTCGGTGCCTCAGCACATATGTGGTCATGTTGTGTGAGGGCCCAATGGGAAGCAGATGTGTGGGACGCTGAGGCCCCACCCCCAGTGAGACAGGTGTGGCCCCTGCCAGCTGCAGAGTGGCCAGAGGAGAGCTGGCCTGGCCGGGGCTGTTGTCTTGGCCTTTCTGAGGAGTGACATCTGAGTGAGGCCTGGAGGGTATAGGCTGGGGTCAACGTTGACAAGGGAAGGAACAGAAGGAGCAGACAAAACCCCAGTGCAGGAGCAGGCCTGTCTGCACCAAGGAAGGCATGCATGGCTGGAGCACAGAAGAGGGCCTCAGGTGAGGGGGTGCAGGATGGGGCTGTGCTGCCTCGGGGAAGGTTTGTGGCTTCTCAAAGGCAGTGCTGACAGAACTGGTAAACTTGATGGCCCAGTCCAGCTGTCAGGGTCCGGTTCTCAGCAGTGGATCTGGGAGTGATCGGTGTGACTTAGAGCGAGCCCAGTCTGGCCCCTATGTGGAACTCTTGTATTTGTTCCAATGGAGTCAGCTTGCATGATCCCATCAGGTGGCCTGGGCCCGAGGGCAAGGCTGCAAGGGTCCACGTCGTTTCTGCCTAGATGACCAGCACTCCCCTGTGAGGAGCCGTATTGCTTCTGCCTAGATGACTGGTGCTCTCTCTCTGTCCCCACAGATCCTGTGCATTCACCTGAAGCGCTTTCGGCATGAGGTGATGTACTCGTTCAAGATCAACAGCCACGTCTCCTTCCCACTCGAGGGGCTCGACCTGCGGCCCTTCCTTGCCAAGGAGTGCACATCCCAGATCACCACCTACGACCTCCTCTCGGTCATCTGCCACCACGGCACGGCAGGCAGTGAGTCGCATCCCCTTCCCCACCGTCCCCATCTGCTGGGTTCCCTGTGACCCATCTGCTCTGTTGCCACAGGTGGGCACTACATTGCCTACTGCCAGAATGTGATCAACGGGCAGTGGTACGAGTTCGACGACCAGTATGTCACGGAGGTCCATGAGACCGTGGTGCAGAATGCCGAGGGCTACGTGCTCTTCTACAGGTGGGCACCAGGCCTGGCCTGGTGGAAGAGCCTCCCCACCCCTGTCGCCTGGGACCTGTGGGCCTTCTGCATGTGTGTAGGGGACAGCGCCTGGAAGGGTTTTGAGCCAGGGAAGTAAGGACTTGAATTGTTAAGAAAGAGCCCTCTGGCTGCTGTGGGGAACCGGAGAAGTCAGCTTGGGGCCTTCCGTAGGGCCCTGGCTGGTGGCAAGGGCTGGCTGCTCACATGTCGAGGACCCCTGGGGGACCCAGGAGGTGGTAGACAGGGCCAGTAGCTCCAGGTGCGCTGGGATGAGGGGCTCTGCATGTATCTGGACATGGCAGCCATCAGGCACAGCTCCTTGCCGCCTCCTCATCCTGCAGGAAGAGCAGCGAGGAGGCTGTGCGGGAGCGGCAGCAGGTGGTATCCCTGGCTGCCATGCGGGAGCCCAGCCTGCTGCGGTTCTACGTGTCCCGTGAGTGGCTCAACAAGTTCAACACCTTTGCAGAGCCGGGGCCCATCACCAACCAGACCTTCCTCTGCTCCCATGGAGGTGAGGCGCCTCCTTGTGGTGGGAGAGCAGGGTGGGTGGGAGAGCAGGGTGGGTGGGCAGCCGAGCCCCAGCTTCCCTCCCTGTACCTGCTTCCCAGGCATCCCACCCAACAAATACCACTACATCGACGACCTGGTGGTCATCCTGCCGCAGAACGTCTGGGAGCACCTGTACAACAGGTGAGAGCCCGGGAGGCTGTCCTGCCTCCATCCTGTCTGGGCCCTGCTGGCAGGAAAGGAGGGGAGGGCAGGGAAGGAATGCTGCCAGGACCCCACGCTGGGCACCCCCTCCTGGCTGGCCTCCTCGGGCAGCACAGAGCTGCCTTCATTTGTCCATGTCGTCTGTGGGAACCCGTTTGGATTCTTCCAGTCGAAAGGGACAGGAAACTGGCTGAAGCACAGCCGAGTGCATTGGCCCGTCAGCCCCTCAGCCTTGAAGCAGGGTCTCCTGGGGGCTGTGGGTGCTGCTCCCTTGCAGGCTCCATGGTGCTCACAGGGCGTGAAGAAGACAGAGGTGCACGCAGGCCTGCAGCAGGCATGAGGGGGAAGTGGAAGGTAGTGATCACTCTCCCCTCACCGGTCCTGCCTCAGACCGTGTCTCTCTCTCCCTCCAACCTGGGCAGATTTGGTGGTGGCCCCGCCGTGAACCACCTGTACGTGTGCTCCATCTGCCAGGTGGAGATCGAGGCACTGGCCAAGCGCAGGAGGATCGAGATCGACACCTTTATCAAGGTGTGTGTGGCGGGACAGCTCTGCCAGCCTCTGCCTAGGGCGGCTGGGGACTTGGGGACAAAAGAGCCCTGTGCAGTCCCTGAGGAAGTTTGAAAGGAGTCTTGAGGCTAGGCGTGGTAGCTCACACCTGTAATCCCAACACTTTGGGAGGCTGAGGTGGGCAGACTTGAGGCCAGGAGTTCGAGACCAGCCTGGCCAACATGGTGAAACCCCATCTCTACTAAAAATACAAAACTTAGCTACACATGGTGGTGTATGCCTGTAGTCCCAACTACTCAGGAGCTGAGGCAGGAGAATTGCTTGAACCTGGGAGGCAGAGGTTGCAGTGAGCTGAAATTGTGCCCCTGCACTTAGACTGGGCAACAAAGTGAGACTCCATCTCAAAAAAAAAAAAAAAAAAAAAGGAAAGAAAGGAGTCATCTGCAGGAGACTAGATGGCCAGGTGTGTAAGAGACTTTTCCTGGTGGGAGGGTTGGCTTGAGTAAGTGAAGGCTCAGCTTTGGCTGTGTTATTTTGGGCCGAACCATTCTTTATTGCGGGGCTGTCCTATGCATGGTAGGATGTTTAGCAGCATCCTTGGCCTCTACCCACTAGTGCCAGTGGCAACCAAAATGACCTCCAGACATTGCCAAGGGTCCCCTGGGGTGCAGCGTACCCTCTGTGCTCCGGGTGAGAACCACTGGGCTCTCCAACTGCCCGAGATAAGCAGGAAGTGAAAACAAGGTGCAAACAAGGATTCACGTGTGAGTGTGTTTAGAAGAGGGACTTCTGCAAGGGAGCTGAGTGCACTTGAGGCTCCTGGCACACTCCTTCCCTGCCACGCTGCTTCTGACAGGGACAGGACACGCTCCACTCACAGGGAGGGCCGGGTGACAGACACTGAGGGCCGCCCATGCTTTGTGGCCTCTAAGAAGGGATTCTGTCAGCCCGGCGCTACGGCTCATGCCTGTGATCCTAGCAATTTGGGAGGCCGAGGCAGGAGGATCACTTGAGCCCCAAAGTTCAAGACCAGCCTGGCCAATATGGTGAAACCCCATCTTTACAAAAAATACAAAAACTAGCCGGGTGTGGTGGTGCACACCTGTAGTCCCTGCTACCTGGAGGGCTGAGTGAGGTGGAAGGATCACCTAAGCCTGGGAGATTGAGGCTGCAGTGAGTGGTGATCGTGCCACTATACCCCAGCCTGGGCAATAGAGTGAACCCCTGTCTCAAAACAAAAAAAAGATGCTGTCAGGGCTGGGCATAGTGGTGAGCACCTGTGGTTCAGCCTCCTCAGGAGGCTATGGTGGGAGGATCACTTGAGCCCAGGCGGTCAAGGCTGCAGTGAGCCATGATTTGTGCTGCTCTGCTCCCACCTGGGTACAGAGAGAGACCCCCCCCCCGCCGCCGTTAAAAAAAAAAAGAAAGAAAATGCTTCTGTCAGAAGGAGAGTTGCTGCTCTGAGCAGATAGGAACATTTTATTCCACAGGGAGAAGTAGCATCTCCCTTGTGCTCTCAATTAGGTCAGTTATTGAAATGAGTCCCCAGAATGTCACCGCAGTCCTCTCTGAGTGACGGGTGTGTTTATTTTGTTTGAGCATATCTGGGGGTTCTGGTTTTTCACCTTGAGTATCTGATGTTTTTGTAAGAGTCTTGGGTGAGGGACTGGGCAGGGGCCTTTGGGAAATCCCTGCTGAAGGTAAATAGAGGCTGACCTGCCCTCTCTCCCCTCCTGACCCTGTCGGCCGGCCCAGCTGAACAAGGCCTTCCAGGCTGAGGAGTCGCCGGGCGTCATCTACTGCATCAGCATGCAGTGGTTCCGGGAGTGGGAGGCCTTCGTCAAGGGGAAGGACAACGGTGAGCTGAGGGGGGCCTGGCTGTTTCCCACCGTGGGGGCCTCCTGGGAGATGGGATGCTGGCAGGGGAGGGCCAGCACACAGGGGCTCCTGCAGGTCCTGGGCCTGACCCCCGGGTGCCACCCATCCAGGGCGAGGAGAGAGCATTGGGCTCTACCAGTCCCCAGCGGGGATCGCTGTCCCTCCCCAGAGGCTCGCCTCCTTGGCATGCCCAGCAAGCTGCTCCGCCCACCTGCAAGGCTCTTTCCTCAGAAGATGTTGCCCGAAATGACAGATTGTTTTCTGACCCCTTGAATTTATAGAGGTAGAGACAGGTGCCATCACGAGGAAGCTCCCAGGGCCCCCAAGTCCCCAGTGCAGAGCAGCAGAGCCAAGTCATGGTTGCCTGTGGCTCAGGTTTCCAGCAGGGTGGGCAGAGCCTGTGGTTCTGCTTGTGGGACCCTTTGTGTGAAGCCCGAGCAGCCACCTGTGCTTGGGAAACGGGAAGTCTCGCTGCCATCCTGCTTGTCAGGGAAGGTACCAGGGCCACCCTGAGGCCTCTCTGGTGTTGGCTGAGGCCTTCAGGGTGGCTGTGGTTGAGAATGTAACTGCAGAGTCCCTACCCTGGCCTGGATGCTGGCCTTCTACCAGCTGTGACCTGAGTGGTTACTTCACCTGCTCAGGCCTCAGCTCTGACTCCGTAAACCTCTGTCTTGTTCTGTGGTTGCCGAGGCTAAATGAGACAGCTGGGCACAGGGGAAGGGGCACAGTGAGTGGCAGCTGCCAACAGAGATGAGGGCGTGGCCACCCACCCCAGCTCCTGCTGCCAGCACAAACTATCTCGTGTGTCCTAGAAATTCCCTCTGCTGGGTCCTCGGACTGCTGCAGAGGAGCATTGGGTGGCCCAGGTGCCTGGCTCCCTTAGAGACTCCATGCTGATCCCAGGGCTGGGTGGCCTCACTTGGGATGGCTCTGCTGCTGTGGAGAGTGGAGGGCGTGGAGGGGCTGAACCCAAGTCTGCTGTGTCTTCCAGAGCCCCCAGGGCCCATTGACAACAGCAGGATCGCACAGGTCAAAGGAAGTGGCCATGTCCAGCTGAAGCAGGGTGAGTCCCCTGGAGCCAGCCAGACTCCCCTCTGCCCCTCCTGGCTGCCAGGTTGCTGCTCAGTCCTGCCCTTCAGGAGCCCCCTTGTCACCTGTCTTAGAGCCAGGCTGAGACGTCCACTTGAGTCCAGGCCCAGGTGGCTGAGAGATGGCCCACGGGACTTGGTCTCTGCTTGTGTCCTCCAGGCCCCACCCCTCCGCCTGCCTGCCCTGCTGTTTCTGTCAGCCCCACCCCCAGGAACAGAGGACACAGTCAGAGATGGGTTCTCAGGGACGGGCGTTCCTCTGGGAAATCCTTGTTTCCATCTGACAGTTTTGCATAGAAGTCCTGGTTGCCCTCTCCCCAATTCAGGTCCTGGGCCTCAGGAACTCCCACTGCCCAGGCTGGTGGCCTCCTCGAGGCGGTGAGGGTGAGCCCAGGGGTGTCTCTTGTGCCCTGCAGGAGCTGACTACGGGCAGATTTCAGAGGAGACATGGACCTACCTGAACAGCCTGTACGGGGGCGGCCCTGAAATCGCCATCCGCCAGAGCGTGGCACAGCAACCGCTGGCCCCAGAGAGCCTGCACGGGGAGCAGAAGATTGAAGCCGAGACCCGGGCCGTGTGACTCGCTGGGCTGGTCTGTAAGTTGCCTGGCTGCTCCCTCCATGGCACTCTGGGTCCTCTCCTCCCTCTCCAGGGATCTCCTGTGTCCCCTTGAGCATCTGAAGAGCAGGTCGCTGAAGGCACCTTCTGGAGGCCGTGGGAGGCCCCACCCGCTGAGTGCCCTTGTCCCCACAGCCCCGTGTGCCCCACCCGCAGAGGGCGTGTTTATGCCCAGAAGAGAGGCCAGGCCGCTGCAGAACCCTGCTGTGTAAAGAGGCAGTAAAGCTGGTTTGGTTCGCAGTGAGTAATGCTGCATCTAGAAAATACATGCACTTCAGGCTTGTTTAAACGACCAAGACTCTGTGATGTTAATCTGGGTCTTTGTCCTGACAGTGCCCCTGCCAGTCACTGTCATCATTGTGTCCCCTACAACTGCCCTCTTGCTAGCTCAGCCCAGCTTTATCCCTGGAGCCCAATGCCACCCCCCTCAGTCAGAGGCTTTGACCTGGGACAGAGTTGGGGAGAAGCTGCTGCTTCCACTCAGCCCGGACTGAAGACTTGGAGGGAGCTGCTCAGAGCCGGTGAGCGCAGCCAGAAGCCCCTGCCAGGGAGGAGCTCCCTGCACCCCTGCCTCTCCTGGTTGTCACCAGAAAGGCCCTGAAGTCCCAGGCTGCTCTCAGCACTTTTCCTGCAGACTCAAGACTCTGGACTCATTGGTGATTGGAGTGCCAGGAGGAGAGGTTGGATTTCCACCAGTGGGGAATGTTTCTGGAGGCAGCTGGTCCCCTGCACTGCGTCCTGCTGAGCCTGCCCTCTGGATGGATTGTAATTTGCCTCGAAGTTCAGCAGTTCATCTTCACGGGAAATTTGCCGAGCCCCCACCAGGGACCCAGATGATGAAACAGGGATACCTCACAGCACTGCCATTTGCTGCGGAGGCAGCTTCCCGGGCCGACACCAGGGAAGACAGACTTTCCCTTCCTCCCAGCTGCAGCAGTGCAGAGCCGGTGTGCATGGGGCAGCGCTCAGGTGGATCCTGGGAAGTGGCCTCTGGATGCTGAGTGGAGGGACCCACTGAGCACAGCAAGGCACCAAAGCCCCTGGAGAAACCACCAGGGTGAGAGGTGCTGCCATCATCAGGGTCAAAGCAGTCAGGGCGTGGGTGGGGAAGGGGCTCTGGGACCAGGCCCCCCTCACAACTGGTCATTAGTCTCTAGAAGCAGATGCTGGTGGAAATTCTAGCAGGTGGGTCCGTCAGAGGCCCTGAGGCCTCACTTTTCAGATCTTCTCTCCCAGATCCTGCTCCCTTCCTGCTGAGCCTGGGGTTCCCTGGCATCAGCCCCAAAGCCACTGCTGCAGCCAGAGGCCACAGGCTGCACTGTGGTGACACAGTGAGGCTGCTGTGCAGGCTGTGATCTGACCCCACATCTGCGCTGTCTAGTGTGTGTTCAGAATGTCAGAATAAACACAGAACAAACATTCCCATGGCCGCACTGTTGTCTCTCCTTCACTGAGGTTAATTCTGTTACTGGAGGGAAGGTGAGCCTCTGTGCCATGGGGATAGCCCGCCGAGCCCCGGGGCTCACATTGCAGGTCACCAGGCCCGGGAAGGGGCTTTCCATGTGACTTTCTGAAACCAGAGACCACCTGGAGGCTGCAGGGGCGAGCGGAAGAGGGAACCCAGTTGCTTTAAAGGCCCATTGTGTCTCCTTTCCTGGAATCAGCCCCAGCCTCAGAGAAGTAGGACCAGATATGGCCAGCACATCCCACCAGCACGCCTTGCCCCACCCGAGGTAGCTCCTTGGACGCAGTTCCCTCATCCTCCTTTTTCTTTTTTTTATTGCTGAAAAAAGCGTCATTTTAAAATTGAGCTTTCTGACTGTGCTTGTGCCTTTAACACCTTCCCAGCAACTTTCTGCTCCTTGATGAGGAAAGCACACTTGATCCTGTCAGGAACACATTCACATGGAAGCACCAGACACTTTGCTGACGGGTTGGTTTGTTTGTACACAGGGTCTCACCTTGTTGCCCAGGCTGGCCTCAAACTCCTGGGCTCAAGTGATCCTTCTGCCTCAGCCTCCCAACGCGGGGTATGACTGGGATGACTGGTGTGAGCCACGACACCCAGCCGCTTGCGGACGTGCTTTTGGTCTTGGACAGTCTTACAGGCACATTAGGTCTCACAGCACAAACCCCTCGAAGTCAGCCCAGCCCACGCCACGTGCAGACTTTGGCTCTCTCCCAATCTTGGTATAAAGGTAAATGTTTCTTTTCCCAGGGGTGCAGGATGGCCTAGCATTGTTAGAGGCTGCATTCTAGGAAAGTCTGTGACGGTTTGTGAAACTGGACCATGCTGAGTGCCTGAGGACAGTGTCCCCAGAAGAGGAAAAGGCAACCATGGTCTTCATGGTTACATGTATGTGGGAATCTCTAAGCAGTATTTTTGGCTTTGTTCACATTTGAAGGTTAGCTACATGTCAATGTGATTGATGTTTAACATGGAAAATGAGAATGAAAGAGCTTTGTCTGGAAGACAGGAGGTTTGGAGACAGTTCTTGCACTACTGGAAGGTGAACTAGAAGTAGGTACCAATTTGCCTTAAAACGCTTCCTTATATCTTCCTTTAAAATACCTGGCTTTCAAGGATTTCGGTCAAACTTAGATGCTGGGATCTGTAGTCTGTGATTGATTACTGAGCAGGGACAGGGAGTGCCCTCTGGCTGGGGAGGCTGGGCTCAGGCCTCACTCTGAGTGTGCTGCCCACGGTGGCTGCTCCTCTGCACTGAGCCAGGGTGTGGCTCCAGCAGCGCCTCTTAGAGGAGTCGGAAAGCCGCCCCTGCACAGTGTGGGGTGTTGTAGGGGCACCTGCCGCCTGCCTGTGGTTCTGTCAACCATGGCACTGCTCACAAACCTGCATCTGAATATATTTGCAAGGTGCAGCCCCCAAAAAGTACAGCTTCCTACCTTCGTTCTGTTTTAAATTCAGTACAAACATAAATTATCCTGAGAGTCTTAATGCTACCTAATGTTGAGCCACGGAGAGCCTTGGGGGAAGTGAGCATGGGTTTCGGAATCACAGCCATCTCTGGCTCCTCCCTCCTCTAGCTCCAGTTACACAGAGACACCTGCTAACTGGAGGGAGCAAGGGTGAGATGGGTGCAGAAGAAATGCATGCCTTTGGGAAAGCTAGGAGCAGTAGATAGCCTGGACAGTGCATGCTGTGGAAAGGTGTCCCAGTTTCTCAGGGTGCAGCCTCCATTCCTTCCTTTGATTTGACCCCAGTGACCAGCCTAGATGGGGGGGTGTGGAGAGCTGGAGCTGGGACAGGTTCTGAAGGGCTGAGCTTGGCCCAGCGCAGCAGCCAGAGGCTGTGTGGACTGAATGCCACCCGTCCTGGGTTCCAGCAGGTGGCGCAGGGCAGAGGGGAGCCTTTTCTCCATCCCCATGGGGAGAGTGGGGTGTGTTCCCTCCGCAGCTTCTGTCCCCTTAGCTCTGAGGACAAAGATATGGTAGTTTCTCTGCTTCTCTTGTGGTCCGGAGATGTGCCCGGGCATTGTCACTATACCATCTGGAGGCCTAACAGGAGGCAGGAGGGCGCAAGTCAAGGCCAAGCCCTGGAGAAGCAGCTGACACACCAAGGGACCGCCACGTGCCTGCTGGCAACCTTCAAGTGCTCATGCCAGGTCTCAGAGGGCGCTGGCAACACAGATCCCAGCCTTCCCTCTCTGGAGGGGGCTGCAGGGGCCAGGGAGGAGGAGGCCGTCCCCACACGGGTGCACAGAGCTGGGGACCAGTCTGGAAGGTGGCTCTTTCCCACCATACATCTCTGGCAGCAGCAGTTCAGAGTTGGGCTTCCAGGCTGTCCCATGAATTTCATGATTTCTGAGTCTTTCGCTTCAATAAAACAACAAAAAAAAATAGCAGGGGGCATGCCTGAGCCCCAGCTCTGCCCACTTCCATCTCATTCCTCACCTCAAGGTGGCCTCCTTGCTCCCCTCCACTGCTGCAGTGTGTTATCTGCTCCCGCCAGGGGTCCCCACCAACTCTGTGCACGGACGAGCTGCCTCCGAGGCCCAGGCGTGCCCAGGGCGGGTGGAGGGCGTGGGGTATGGGGAGGGCCGGTATTTCCTGACCCGCCTCACGAGCCGGCCCCACAGGCTTGTGGCCTCGCTGGAGCCTGTGAGTCAGGAACTTCCTACTTGAAGAGGCTTCCCCAATGCAGCAGAAAACAAACTAGTCACCCCCACTGCTCCCGACCTCTGTGACATCCACACCCGCGGAAATGGGGGCCTCAAACCAGCAGGCTCAGCTCTGGTCGCCTCAGCGCTGGTGCATCTCTTGGAGAAGGAAGGCTGGGGAGGAGGGGCGGGGGCACAGGTGGAGGCTGTCTCCACCACACAGATTGCTGGGCACAGTCCCGAAATATTCTTCCCAAATGGACTTTTTACTGACAACCTAGAGGAGAGGGTTTGGGGTAGGTTGACAATAGACCCACCTTGTTCCCTTTTGCCATGCTGTGTCACACTGGGAACCAGGAATTCTCAATGGTGCCTTGAAGCCAGCTTCCTGTGCTAGTGGGTGGAGGTTCCCAATGGTCCCTCATTGATGCCCTCACCTCCTGCCCTCTGTGAGGACACTTGGCATCAGCAGAGCTGCCAGGCCTGCACTTGGTGTAGCTGCTAATACACCATTTCCTGGACAACTGTTTTCTTAAAACGGTGCTAAAAAAAAAAACCCCTTAGGACATAGAGAAGTGTGGGCACAAACCAATCGCATCTTCCCCCAAAAGGCCGGGGTGCAATTTTCAAAGCTGGCTGTGGAAACAGGGCCTCCCTCTGCACATGTCCAGTGGGTGTCAGGCACAAGGCTGCTGCCTCTCTGAGTTGTCCACATGAAACAGTTCTGCACTGCCTGCAGAGTCACAGAAATGAGTGATTCCAGCCACACGACCAGGCGTACCGGCTTGAGCACTGCCGATACCAGATCAGTGAAACTCAGGCATGCCCTCATTTCACCACCTCCCCCTGCCCCGGCCCCAAGCAGTGGGGTCCCCAAAGAGCTAGAGTAGCAAGTTAAATACTCCTAGCCATAAGGAGCCTCTTGGAATCCCTGCACTAAATCAGCCTGAATTTCCTGTCACCACCGTCTGGTGGGGATGGAATTTAGAACTATCTAGGCCTCCAGCTCCTCCCACAGGCCAGCCCCCCAGCCCAGGGGGCTTCCAACGACACCAGAATGCTTTCACGACTGACTAGGCTTCTCTCTTCATGCAACAAAACAGTCCCGTGACACAATGCCACAAGTTATACTTTATTTTAACACTTAGAGGATTAACACATAGTTGCAAGGTCAATGGAAGCACTTTATTTGGTTTAATTCCATCTCCAGAGACAAACTGGCAACTCGAGGACCTTTACAGTGGCGACGGGCCGCACAACAGCAAAAGGCCTCAAGTTTAGAATTAGTGCAACACACACACGAACGTTTTACAGGTGCTGAACATCAGGTTAAAATAGAATTCTGGACCTTTTTTAAAAGAAGTTTTTGGATGATGTAAGAACAGAAGGCGGAGCCAATAAGAAACATGAAACCAGTATTTCTGGAAAAACACTTAGCATGAACGTAACTTTTTGACGTCGTGTAAACTTTCTTCTGTAATGACAGATGTTACCAAAAGGCATGGAGAGCTTTGTGCTGTGCCGGTCAGACAAGCCGCAGCTCATCTCCACGGCGAGCGGGATAAAAACCTCCGAGGAACGTTTCATGACAGCCCTCCATGCCCTTTTCTACTTTCCCATCCTGCAAAGGAAAAACTGGGTAAAGGACAAGTTCCTCTCTTCCATTCGTTTCTAAGTCATTTTCAGGGCAGGTTCTTTTAAAATTAGTCATCTTACAACGCAACGGTATCCTAGCACGGCGGCGAAGTGACAGGCGGCAGCGACAGGGGAGGAGGGAGACGCTCATGGGAAATTCCATGTTCTACTCTAGGCAAACTGCTCCGTAAAAATGCAGGCATGATTTCACAGTAGGATTCCCAGAGTAAATGACACACCTCAGCTTTCATGGGACTACTGACCTCTAAGAAGCCTGGCTGGGCAGCATTGAGCTTTCCACGGAGCCATGCAGGCTGGCCAGGAAGCAGCACCCAGGTTCAGCATTTAAGAGCACTCTTTTGGAACACAGGTGGTGGAGAGGTTTTTAAAAAAAGGCAGAGTTGTTACAGAAGGATACAAGCATATCCTGTACTGGGGGTGACAGTCATTAAAAGAACAAATTACTGCAGCTTAGACCTTTTTCACTATGATGTGAGAAATAAATGTACCCTGACAGATGCAGTGTGCATGCATTCCCGAAGCTCCAAAACCAGATTTTAAAGAACCATTTCACATCCTCATGGAGTGGAGAGTGGTCAACTTGGTTTGGTGAGGTCAGAAATTCCTGGCAATCCCTGTCAGGCCTGTGGACGGAGGCGGCCTTCTCGGAGCTGTGGGGGCCGCCGCACTCACCATGCACCTGTTGGTTTGCAGGGACAGAGGTGCGGCCCTGACTCTGCCCACTCTGTCGTCTCAGCTTCTCTTTCGACTGTCAAGCTGGTCCTCCCGCATGACAGATGTGTTGTGCACCATGCTCAGGTCGCCTGTTGCAGGGACCGGAAGCCCACGGCTTTGCCGAGGCCCTGAGCCTTCAGCGGGTGGTGTGCAGCCCCCCGGGGAAGTCAGGCTCACACTCGCCCACTTTAAAAACCCGAAGCCACTTCCTCTTCACCTGCCAAGCGGCGTCTCCTTGCTTGCAGTTTCTCGTCGCCGAGGGCTGACTGAGCTGCTCCGGAAGGGTGGTGTGTGGTCAACCCTGGTTGGCTGAGAGGAGCAATTTCCTGGTTTCCCTTGGGACCGGTCCTTTCTGTCCCTGTCTCTTTGGCTCCTACAGAACTTCCTTGTCTTAGATTTATAATGTCAAGAGGAACTAGGATGCTTGAGGGGACTACCTAGTTACCAAAGCCAAGCAAAGAATAAACCTGGCTGATGCCATCCCCAGCTTCTGTGGCGCTCTCGGTCACAGGGGCCCTCAGCCAGTGGTTCCTCTTGACTGTTTCTGCAGCAAATGAGAAGGGGCTGCTTTGCTCTAAGGTTTGGGGGGGGCGGGCACAGGTTAGGAGATCCCAGATTTTCCTAAAAAACCCACTCAGGGAAAGAAACAGCCGAAAAAGCAAACTCAGCTCATTCCACATACCCTGAAGAGCTCGTCATAAAATACAGGGGTAGTGGCCGTGGGATCCCTCAAAAGACCAAGAGAGGCACGGGGTCTTTGGTGATGAAAGTGCTAACCTCAGCTGGGTGCAGTGGCTCACGCCTGTATCTCAGCACTTCGGGAGATGAGCGGGCGAATCACCTGAGGTCAGGAGTTTGAGACCAGCTTGGCCAACACGGTGAAACCCCGTCTCTACTAAAAATATAAAAAGTAGCCAGGCGTGGTAGTGCATGCCTGCAATCCCAGCTATTTGGGATTGGGAGGCTGAGGCAGGAGAAATGCTGGAGTCCGGGAGACGGAGGTTGCAGTGAGCCGAGATCCCGCCACTGCACTCCCACTCCAGTCTGGGCAACAGAGCGAAACTCCGTCTTAAAAAAACAAAAACAAAAAACACCAAGAAAGTGCTAACCTCCTCAGATGCTCATCCTGGGGCTCGTGGAAAGAAGACGATGGTCGCTTTGCAATGAGTCGGTGCAGCGGGGATGGCCTCACAAGCGCATGATCTGCCATTCTCAGGGACAGGGAAGTGACAGGGAGGGCAAGGCTGGCCCTCGAGCTGGAATCTGACTTCCAGAGTGGACCTTCCCAGGCCACTGAAGGCAGGGTGCCAAACCAAAAGCTGTGTGTGTGTGTGCACATGGGTGTGTACTGGTGAGGGTGCATGTGTGCCTGTGGGTGTGTGTGCCCCTGCCCCCTGCCCACCAGATGCTCTCAGGTCGAGGGGATGGTGAAGAGTCAACGTTTAGTATGAGGTGCAAGCCTAGAATCAGAAAACGACCACTGAGGACTTCACAGACCAGGGAGAAGAGGAAGTGTTTCCTGCAGCAGACAGTCGGGGACACACAGATGATATCAGAGCGCTCAGTCCGCCTGGTGTGTGTTGGACCTGCCTTGTGTCCTCAGGGGACCCGTGATGACATTTTCACAAAAGGCACTGTGTGAAGCGCGGAAGGGCCGCAGGACGAGCTCGGGTGGACCAAGGGCCCAGGAAGGAGCTGGCAGGGGGTGTGTGTCCCATTGTCTTGGTGGCCTGTGGGGTGGGCAGGGGAAGCAATGAGGACTGACCAGAGCCGTCGGGGGGGGGTGCTGGCGAGACTTGTCCCCCAAGAGGCGGCCTGGGCCGGGCAGGAGGGCAGGACCTCAGGGAGCATGCCGTAGAGAGCGAGAGGGGCTGCCCCTCAGGGATGGGGCTGCAGAGGGGTGGGCCATCCACACGGCAGGGCGCTGGAGGCCTGTGGGGACAAGCAGAAGGAGGCTCCTCCAGGAAGGCTCATCCAAGGCTCGAGGCTCGCTGGCACTCCCCTCTAGGAATCTACAACATAAAGAGAAACAGAGAAACTCTCTGTTAGACAGGAAGGCGCAGGTTCTAGGCGGGCATTTTGCTCTTGGCTACAAACTGCACCGCCTTGTGGGGGAGGGTGGTGGGAGGGGAGGGAAGGGGTGGGAGGCGGCATCTTAGAGCAGTTGGTTACCACAGGGCAAGTCTGAGATGAGGAACTTTCACGGTTTTCTCTCTGGCCTTCAGCCGGTCTTTCCTTCAGGGAAGGAGAAGCCCAAACAGGACACTGATGAGGCCATCCGCCCCAGCTCATCTTTCTTGTAAGTTTAGTTTTGAGAGAAAGTAAGAAACGGAGGCTGGGGACCAGGCATGGTGGCTCACACCTGTAATCCCACCACTTTGGGAGACCAAGGCAGGTGTATCACGAGAGCAAGACCATCCTGGCCAACACGGTGAAACCCCATCTCTACTGAAAATACAAAAATTAGCTGGGCGTGGTGGCATGTGCCTGTAGTCCCAACTACTCGGGAGGAGAATCACTTGAACCCAGGAGATGGAGGATGCAGTCAGCCAAGATCACGCCACTGCACTCCAGCCTGGCACCAGAGCGAGGCTCCATCGCAAAACAAACAAAAAAACACAGAAACAAAGAAACAGAGGTTGGGGCCAGACCCATGGCTCACACCTGCAATCCCAGCACTTTGAAAGGCTGAAGAGGGAGGTTCTCATGAGCTCAAGAGTTCAAGCCCAGCCTGGGCAACGTAACAAGACCTCATCTCTACAAAAAATTTTAAAAAATTAACCAGTATGTTGGCATGTGCCTGCAGTCCTGGCTATTTGGGAGGGTGAGGTGGGAGGATTGTTTGAGCCCGGGGAGATCGAGGCTGCAGTGAGCCAAGATTGCGCTACTGCACTTCAGCTTGGGTGACCTTAACTTTGCAGTGAGACGGCAAGGCCCCCAAAAAAGAGAAAAAAACACATCCGTTTCTTAGAATGGTGCAAGGGACATGAAGGCCCGATTCAGAAGGAAACTCTGGGCTCTTCGGCAGTACAATGTAAAATCTTTGGAGAAAGGAAAATCTGTCATTCAGTGTTCATTCAGTGATAAACAGTGAAAAGTTCTTCATCTCAAGGAGAGAGAAAAGAAAGAAAAGAAACAGACTTCCCAGGCCCTGAGTGCACGCAGGATCAGAAACAGGGGAGGTGCCATCATTTAAAGGAGGAGGCAGGGGTAGGAGGCAGAATTTTAAAAAAAGCATTTGACTAGACAATCCCCTATTACTGGAGAGGAAAGAGTTAAATATTCACATTACACAGAATAATTTTTTTGGAAAGATGAAAAATCACTTAAAATACACAATACTGAGAAAAAATATAACATTTATTAGAGAGGCAGATACGAGGGTACAACTAAACGATGCCAGACAGAGTCTTTCTTTTAGGATAAGAATAGAAAGAGACAATCATGTCGCTGTATTCAAAGGAAACTTACTCAGAACCCCAGAGTTTATAATAAACTCAAGTGCGGAGCCGCAGCGGGGGCTAGCTCCCCATGCGAGAGGCCTCGCGGCTTTCCGGCAATTATAAAAACAGAAAGGTCATGAGGCAGCAGGACACCCATAAAACAAACAGATAAAAGTACAACATTAAAACAACGCATTCAAGTACTCCTTTTAGTTTTTAAGTTGCAGTATATACACGTCTTCCGTGGGGGGAATTATGGAAATATTTAACAGACAGCAATTTAAAAAAAACACAAAAGAAAGTCACAATGCAGTTGTCCCATCAGAAGTCACTCTAGTCTAAATATTTTGGCAATTATTAAATAAGCACATTGTAGGAACACACACACACACACACACACAAAAGGTGCACTGGCATTATTAAAACAGCTGTACTGAGTTATGGGCCTCATAACACGTGGCTTTGCTCACATCAGATGGGTTTAAGGAGGGCAGTGTTTGTGGGGAGGTTGGACGGACTTATAAACAGAGTAGGGAGAAAAGGCTTCTCTGTACATATTAATCTCTAAGTGTAACTTTCAAATAAAAGGAGAAAACTGTATAAGTAGCTGAGATTTTGCTTCTTTTAACAGTCTTTTATTTAACTACTAGCAAAAGATAAAGTATACTTTGGGTGGAAATGGAGATTCTCAATTCTATGGGTATTGTTTTCTATTATTTCACGCATTGATGAGATGGACCTGAAATTTACGAAATATCTTCAACTGTTTAGTCAATATTACAGATTCACCTGTTAGAGTACTGAGGCATACAATGTAATGATCATAAATTTAAAATTATCATCATAAATATATGTGCCCAAACCCCTCCCACCCCATTCCCCCTGAAACCAACTCAGCTAGTTTCTGAATTAAATTTGAATAACTAAATTTGAATAATTAAGAAAATACACAGCTTGACAGAATGCCTTTTTGCAAAGCAGGCTTTTACAAAGTTAATGTTGTCTTGCCCTATTTTTGTTTTTTCAGTGTTTTAGTTTGCTTTGTCCAGGAGTTAACAGATTGGAAATGAGTTTGTCATTGGATAGAAAGGTCAGATTTTAATAACTTAGAAGTTTCCCATTTACTCGATTACTTGGGTGAAGCTGGAAACTTCCTACTGCTCATTTAAACAGATCCCTGTGGTTGAAGAGTCAGCTTATTTTCTTGCTGCAATCCTTACAAAGGAGAACTGAAACAGTTTTCCTAATGAGGCCCGGCGCCAGATGGGTGGCTTTATTGATACTATGTCAGCAAAAGTATCCAAAAGAAATGTGGGCTTGGCATGGTGGCTCCCCCTGTAGTCCCAGCACTTTGGGAGGCTGAGGCAGGAGGATCACTTGAGCCCAGGAGTTTGAGATCAGCTTGGCCAACATGGTGAAAACCTGTCTCTACTGAAAAAAAAAAAAAAAAAAATTAGCCGGGTGTGGTGGTGGGCACCTGTAATCCCAGCTATTTGGGAGGCTGAGGCAAGAATTACTTGAACCTGGTAGGCGGAGGTTGTAGTGAGCCAGGATCACGTCACTGCCCTCCAGCTTAGGTGACAGAGTAGGACTCTGTCTCAAAAAAAAAAAAAGAAATTTGAATTACAAAGTTAATATATATTTATTTTACTACTCAGGCTGATAGTATGCTGTATAATTGTGTAAGAAGAAGCCACTGGGGGATGGTGGGTGAAGGGTGCCGGGGCCTCTCTGTCCTATCTTGGCAACTTCTCGAGAATCTTGTTACTATTTCAAAATAAAAAGTATGTTTTTAAAAAAATCAGGCTGGCACTAAGTAAAGGTTAACTGGCTGTGAGAATCTTGAAACAGAGTCACAAGCAAATGTGCGGCTACTGCTTGGAAAAGCAGCTTTAAATGGACGTGAGCTGATCAAATGAACCCACAATGTAGAGGCAGGGGCTAATTTCCTACTTGAAAGTAGGAGGGACACAAGGAAATAATTTTCAAAAGAGAATCTGAACCTGACCCCTTCATTCTGACCCATTTGCAGTAGGTTCTCTATGATCTCGGGGTAGACTCTCAAAATGGGCACAGGGAGATGCCTGGCAACCATCTAGGCGTGTGACCAATTTCACTATCTACCCTCCCACGGCAGTGCCAATTTAAAAATGCAAATTCTCATGTGGCCTAGATTCCTTTCGATGTGGTGAGACATTTTATTTCTTTCTGGCTATAGTTAATTGTGTAAAATGAGCCAGACATTCTAAAATAATTTCCAGTAAATCCAAACTTTGCCAATGATTGAAAACAAAAAAGCCAAAAGCAAACCCCAAACTCTGAACAGCAACGTGCGGAGACCTGTGTCTGTGGGTGGAGCACTTGCTGCCACACCATGTTCTATTTATAGCCCCACCTGGGCAAGCGTGAGCGCAACAGAAACAGAACCAAGGGTGAGAGAAAATCACAGCCAAAAGGAGCTGATGCGTGGATACACCCTGCTTTTAACCACTGCATCTAAACAGCACTAGCACATCTGATCAACTGTCAATTTGGACCAGGCACAATGGCTCGAGCCTGTAATCCCTTTGGGAGTCAGAAGCAGGCGGATCACCTGAGGTCAGGAGTTTGAGACCAGCGTGGCCAACACAGTGAAACCCTGTCTCTACTAAAAATACAACAATCTGCAGGATGTGGTGCAGACGCATTTAATCCCAGCTACTCCGGAGGCTGAGGCAGGAGAATCGCTTGAACCTGGTAGGCGGAGGTTGCAGTGAGCCGAGACCGAGCCACTGCACTCCAGCCTGGGCAACAGAGCCAGAGTCTGTCTCAAAACAACAACAAAAACACAAACACACACCACAAAACCTGCCAATTGATGAGATTTGGAAAATCTGTAATCCCATGTAAAAATCAACTGGTCAATTCAGCCAACTTTTCCAGCTTTCAGTTGGTCGTCTGGGATCATACAGACCTTGCAGGCTACTCGTGATATCCTACACCAAGGGTGCTGGCCATGTTTAAGTAAAAATACACACTTTGGATGCCAAGCTAAGACTCTTTTGACTGCTTTAGTCAAGGAGATGGTCTTTACCTGTGACTTCCTCCCAAGTGAATGAGTATACCATTCAACAAACTAGCACAGTTCAGTTTGTTCAGTTACAATGTGTAACCTCATGTGCTCAATGTATGGTGGATACTAGATACAAACAAGAGAAGGGAAGTCTCTTGCACCTCCAGGATGTGCCGGCTTTTAAATTCAGAAAGATTAATTAGAAGCTACAGTGCAACTTATTTTTATCTACAGATGCAGCCAAAAGAAGAAATGTTTATCAGATTTCGAATGACACGGCTGTAAATTGGCAGTTGGCAGCTTTCCACATAATTTTCATCAGCAAGTGAAACTTGATCATAGCCCAAACGAGACAAGGCCATTCAGGTGCCCGGGCCCTGAAGTCCACCGTGAGACTACAGGAACACGGCACTGTCTTTTGAAGAACTGCCTGTAACGGTCACAGTCGTGGGGACACACAACTCCATTTTTTTTAAGTTTTTTTTTTAATGGTATTAAATATAAGTCTTAGCACCTTTGGCATTTTTGTCCAAATAGACTTCGACATAGGAAGTGGGGACATAGCCCTCTTCATCTTCATTCCTCCGGATGCGGGTCCAGCCGTCGCCTTTGTCTTCCTCTATGACGTACAGTGTTTCCCCTTCAACCACAGAAATTGTTCCTTCATTCTGACCTGAAAAAGCAAGATCGGGACATTTTAGATTTCTTGGCAAATGCGGGTAGAAAGCAAACTGTGGCCATCATGCCTGTAATCCCAGCACACTGGGAGGCCGAGGTGGGTGGATCACGAGGTCAGGAGATCGAGACCATCCTGGCCAACATGGTGAAACCCCATCTCAACTAAAATACAAAAAAACAAAATTAGCCAGGTGTGTTCTCACACGCCTGTAGTCCCAGCTACTCAGGAGGTTGAAGCAGGGGAACTGCTTGAACCTGGGCGGCAGAGGTTGCAGTGAGCCGAGACTGTGCCACTGTACTCCAGCCTGGCGACAGAGCGGAACTCCATCAGTGCACTGACCCTTCATCCACTGCTGCAAAACTTTCTCCTTCCACACAGACACGTCCAGGTCCTTACTGTCTCTCTAAGAACCCTCTCTACGTCCTCCAGGGCTTCTTTCTCCTACCTCCCGGAATGGCAAGTATCTCCCCCAGGAGAAATCTTTGGTCCACTTCTCTAGTTTTCTGTTTCCCTTGGATCTCTCTCAGGCGAAAGGTACTTCCATGGCTGCAACTGCTTCTCTCTTTTTTTTTTTTTTTTTTTTTTTTTTTTGAGACAGAGTCTTGCTCTTGTTACCCAGGCCGGAATGCTATGGCGCGATCTTGGCTCACTGCAACCTCCACCTCCCAGGTTCAAGCAACTCTCCTGCTTCAGCTTTCCAAAGAGGTGAGACTACAGGCACCTGCCACCACGCCCAGCTAACCTTTGTATTTTTAGTAGAGTCAGAGTTTCACCATATTGGCCAGGTTGGTCTCAAACTCCTGACCTTAGATAATCCACCCGTCTTGGTCTCCCCCCTTTTTTTTTTTTTTTTTGAGGTGGAGTCCTGCTCTGCTGCCCAGACTGGCGTGCAATGGCGCGATCTTGGCTCACTGCAATCTCTGCCTCCTGGGTTCAAGTGATTCTCCTGTCTCAGCCTCCTGAGTAGCTGGGATTGCAGCCACATGCCACCATGCCCAGCACATTTTTTATTTTTAGTAGAGATGGGGTTTTACCATGTTGGTCAGGCTGGTCTCGAACTCCTGATCTCAGGTGATCCGCCTGCGTCAGCCTCCCAAAGTGCTGGGGTTGCAAGTGTGAGCCGCCACAGGTGGTCACTAGGCTCATCTTTCTAACCTTCCTCCCTGTGTTCTAATTGATCCTACACTTCTGACAATGACTTTCCTAAGGTACAGCTCTCACCACATCAACATCCTGCTCAAGGACCTTCAATAGCTCCTCAGTGTTCGCCACATAAAATCCAGATGTTTCTCCAACCTTGCCCCAATCGGGACTTCCCACTTTTTAGTGCCATATTTCACTATGAGGACTTCAGACATCTAAACTCCAGCAACGCGACACCCATGCTTGGCCACACCACCTCATGCATGGCAAGTTCTCGAAACTTCCTTAAGGAAGTGACCTCATTCTCCCCTGTCCTCCCCATTCCTCTGTATCCCTCCTCTGGCAAACACTGAAAGCTGCTGCTCCTTTTGATTTTTTAAATTTTTATTTATTTGTTTATTTTTGAGATGGAGTCTCGTTCTCTCACCCAGCCTGGAGTGCGGTGGCGCTATCTCGGCTCACTGCAACCTCTGACTCCCTGGTTCAAGCGATTCTCCTGCCTCAGCCTTACAAGTAGCTGAGACTACAGGCACACGCCACCACGTGTAGCTAATTTTTGTATTTTTAGCAGAGATGGGGCTTCACCATGTTGGCCAGGATCATCTCGATCTCCTGACCTTGTGATCCATCCACCTCGGCCTCCTAAAGTGTTAAGATCACAGACGTGAGGCAGTGCGCCCAGCTAATTTTTGTATTTTAGGTAGAGATGGGGTTTCACCATGTTGGCCAGGATGGTGTTGATCTCCTGACTTCATGATCTACCCGCCTAGGCCTCCCAAAGTGTAAGGATTACAGGCGTGCACCGCCGTGCCCGGCTGCTGCCTGCTCCTTAAGTGTGTCTGGCTGATTTCCCTCTGGACAGGTGCCATATCGTATCACCTGCATCCCACTCCTTCATGGGCCTTCACAAGACAGGAGTTCTATAGATACTAGATATTAAATGAATGGATGAAACTATCATCTTCCATATCATCCACTGCAGTGAAGTTCTCTGGAAGCTGTTGAGTTATACGAACCACAAGTCAAAATACACAACCAAATAATACTCATACCATGAGCAGAATAAAAGCACAGTAGAGAAAGATTTAAAGGCTGCTTTTTTTTTTTTTTTGAGACAGAGCCTTGCTCTGTCACCTGGACTGGAGTACAGTGGTGCTCTTAGCTCACTGCAACCTCCACCTCCCGGTTCAAGTGATTCTCGTACCTGAGCCTCCCAAGTAGCTGGGATTACAGGCGCGTGCTACCATGCCCAGCTAATTTTTGTATTTTTAGTAGAGATGGGATGTCAGCATGTTGGTGAGGCTGGTCTTGAACTCCTGGCCTCAAGTGATGTGTCCCTGTCCCCCAAAGTTCTAGGATTACAGGTGTGAGCCACCACACCCGGCCAGATCTAGAAGACTTCGAAAGAAAGTTCTGGTCACAGAGAACAGTGTGGCTAGGCACAGTGGCTCACACCTGTAATCACCACATTTTGGGAGGCTGAGGCGAGAGGACTGCTTGGATCCAGGAGTTCAACAGCAGCCTGGGCAACATAGTGAGATCCTGTCTCTACTGAAATATACAAAAATTAGCCGGGCGTGGTGGTGCTCGCCTGTAGTCCCAGCTACTCAGGAGGGTAAGGCTGGAAGATCACGTGAGTCTGGGAGGTCAAGACTGCAGTGAGCCATGACTGTGCCACTGCACTCCAGCCTGGGCAAGACAGTGAGACCCTGTCCGGGGGAGAAAAAGAAAGGAAGAAAAGTGAAAGAAGAGTGACTCAGATATTATGGTTTATCAAGGGCAGGGGAATCCAGCAGACATGAAATGTCACCTTCAAACGTGTAGAGAGCTTTGCACGTCCCTATGGCAGGGAGGGGCTCCTCATCATCAAACTCGTCGTCAAAATCCGTGGCCAGCACCTTCACCTCACTCTCCTGACTCTGCTCCTCTGTGTAACTGCCATCTGGGCTGCTCAAAAAAGGAAAACACAAAGCAACTAAAGCGACTGGCCCAGGGAGGACTCAGAGTGAGTCCCTGCGACTGCAAAGCGCTTGCAACCCCCGCCCCTCACCGAGAGCTATCACTGAGACCACGGTAAATCATCCGCACACTCACCCAGCCTGTGTGGAATTATAAATCTGCATCATGGGGAAAGTGACAGGTCCATCGTCACAGGCATTTTGGGATCGGACAAGTGCTTTACGCTTATTTCCAGATTCCGAAATTTAAAAATATATATACAAAGCCAGCAGGCTCCCTTGCCAGAGGCAGGTGCTGTGCAGATACTGTACCTCTCACGGTCCTGGGCACAGCTGTTGACGGTGGGTGGGTTCTGGCTGTCGTACAGTCCGCTCTGCCGGCGCGTCTGCTCGCTGCGTGCTGGGAGCCGGCCTTCAACCTCAGCCAGCCAGGCCTGGAGACAAAAGCAATGAGAGACTCCAACCTAAGGTCATCAGGGGGCCAGCACAGAGCGTCCTAAGGTCCCAAAGGCCATCGGAGGGCCGGCCCAGAGTGTCCTAAGGTCCCAAAGGCCATCGGAGGGCCAGCCCAGAGCGTCCTAAGGTCCCAAAGGCCATCGGAGGGCCGGCCCAGAGTGTCCTAAGGTCCCAAACTCAGGAGCTATTCTTGGTCATCTAACCCCATGTGAGAAGGTCCACACGGGCAGAATGGCCACATTTTCTGCATTTGACTGTTTAAATGTACTCAAGGGCGGGTGCTTCCATTTCACCTGAAGGTGGAGACGTAGAAGCAAACTCACATTATGTGGTTGCCCATGACGAGGCAGAAAGCATACCGGACTGCGTTATTCCCCTGGGCTTTTAAGCAGTGGTGCAATCTTGGATAAGTCACTTCTGGTTCCTTTCTTTTTTTTTTTTGAGAGGGAGTCTCGCACTGTTGCCCAGGCTTGAGTGCAATGGTGTGATCTCGGCTCACTGCAACCTCTGCCTCCCAGGTTCATGCGATTCTCCTGTCTCAGCCTCCCAAGTAGCTGGGACTACAGGCACCCACAACAATGCCTGGCTAATTTTTTGTATTTTTTTTAGTAGAAATGGTGTTTCACTATGTTGGTCAGACTGGACTCGAACTCCTGACCTCATGATCCACCCGCCTCAGCCTCCCAAAGTGCTAGGATTACAGGCGTGAGCCACCATGCCCAGCCCTAGTTCCTTCTTGACCATGAGGTCACCCTGTGACACCTGAGGGTACAGCCATGCTTAAGCAGTGACTTGGTTTGAAAGCCACATTTCCCATTTTTTAACTTTTTTTTGATAGAAATGAAATTTGTACTTAAAAATTAAAGTAGATAAAATAATCTTCAGCAACATTTGAAACAGTATAAAGTAGTCAAAGGAATAAAAATGACCAGAAGCCTGGGCAGCGTGGGGCTCTGTCTCAAAAAACAAACAAACAAAAACAGAAAAGGACAGTTCTAAATTCTGAAAGCTCAAATGAACATTATTGATGGATTCTGAAAAGAACGAAAAAGTTGGCTGGGTGTGGTGGTTCACGCCTGTGATCCCAGCACTTTGGGAGGCCAATGTGGTGGATCACCTGAGGTCAGGAGTTTGAGACCAGCCTCGCCAACATGGTAGAACCCGGTCTCTACTAAAAATACAAAAATTAACCAGGTGTGGTAGAATGTCCTGTAGTCCCAGCTACTTGGGAGGATGAGGGAGGAGAATTGCTTGAACCCAGGAAGTGGAAGTTGTAGTGAGCCAAGCTCACGCCACTACACTCCAGCCTGGGCAACAGACCGAGACTCCATCTCAAAAAAAAAAAGGAGGAAAAAAGCCATAGCTGACCTTTCAGTGCTGGAAACAATCCATTCTGATTGGTGGAATCGGTTGCTGATGTATTTTTCCATGCCCTGTAGTCTTTCAATGTGGTGTGGAGAGTGGGTTAGGGAGGCTTTCGTTGACAGCTTTGAGCGTTCCTCTCCCTCCCTCAAACCTTTATGATTGATGTTTCCTGCTTGTTTCTCATTGTGTTTCCTTCTGGTTCTCACAAACACGCCCTTTCCATAATGGGCATGAAGAACAACTGCATACTTCAGTGAATTTTTTCGTTGCTTTTTTGACTCACTGGGATAATGGACTGCTCTATACTCCCAATTATATTACCATGAGACGTAGCAGAATAACTAAAATTACAAAAAATACTGGCCAGGTGCAGTGGCTCACGTCTGTAATCCCAGCACTTTGGGAGGCCAAGGTGGGAACAGAGCAAGACCCCGACTCTAAAACAAATAAAACTTAGCCGGGTATGGTGGCATGTGCCTGCAAGCCCAGCTCCTCAGAGGCTGAGCCAAGGAGATCAAGGCTGCATGAGCTATAATCATGCCACTGCTCTCCAGCCTGGGTAAGAGAGCAAGACCCTGTTTCTAAAATTTAAAAAAACAAACAACCCCCACAACCCCCACTGTATAAAAATAAAACATTAAACACTGTCAGTTTTTGTGTGTGTGTGTGTTTTTTTTTTTTAGATGGAGTCTCACTCAGCCGCCCAGGCTGGAGTGCCGTGGTGTAACCTCTACCTCTCAGGTTTAAAAGATTCTCCAGCCTCAGCCTCCCGAGTAGCTGGGACTACAGGCACGTGCCACCATGTGTGGCTAATTTTTTTGTATTTTTACTAGAGATGAGGTTTCACCACATTGGCCAGGCTGGTCTTAAACTCCCAACCTCAGCTGATCCATCCACCTCGACCTCTCGAAGTGCTGGGATTACTGGTGTGAGCCACCACACCCCGCCAACACTGCCGGTTTTTACAGACACAGTTAAGATAGGCTATGATGAGAAGCAGAAGGTTCAACAGCGAACAGTATTTTTCCTTTGACCGTAACTCATGACACAAACTGCCATTCCCACTGTCTCCCCCAGTGAGAGGACTGTCAGGGCCCTACTCCACTCTACACCGAGGAACACCTTTTCTTCTTTATTCCAACAAAGCGTTTTGACAATGGAAGTTTCATACCTCAAATTTCTGGGTCTCTAGTCGCAGTTTCTCTATATTTTGGCTGACTTCTGCTAATTTGTGATCCAAACTGGCCGGGTCTCCCATCTGAGGATTCTTTAGGTAGACATCTTTCATTTTTGTTATGGCATCTCTGAAAGGAAGAACAAGTAGAATGCTGTAAAGGTTGCTTTTTATTTTTTAGATGGAGTTTTGCACTTGTCACCCAGGCTGGAGTACAGTGGCGCGATCTCTGCTCACCGTAACCTCCACCTCCTGGGTTCAAGCAGTTCTCCTGCCTCAGCCTCCTGAGTAGCTGGGATTACAGGTGTGTGACACCACGCCCAGCTAATTTTTGTATTTTAGTAGAGACAGGGTTTTGCCATGTTGGCCAGGATGGTCTCGAACTCCTGACCTTAGGTGATATACCCATCTTGGCTTCCTAAAGTGCTGGGATTACAGGCATGAGCCACTGCACTAGGCCAGTGTTACTTTTATCAGCCAATATTTTACCACTTTGAAAAGCAAATGAGGGCCCGGTACAGTGGCTCACGCCTGTAATCTCTACACTTTGGGAGGCTGAGGTGGGCAGATCACGAGGTCAAGAGATCAAAACCATCCTCACCAATATGATGAAACCCCATCTCTACTAAAAATACAAAAAATTAGCCGGGCATGGTGGTGTGTGCCTGTAATCCCAGCTACTCAGGAGGCTGAGGCAGAATCACTTGAACTTGGGAGGTGGAGGTTGCAGTGAGCCAAGGTTGTGCCACTGCATCCCAGCCTGGGTGACAGCGAGACTCCATCTCAAAAAAAAAAAAAAGGAGGTATGAATGGAAATGTGGGAAGATTAGAGTATGGGTTATAAGGGACTACTGGGCCAGCTTCCATTCTGGCAATTCTCTATAAGAATTCTGCTCCCAAGGGCTATAAATACAGAAGCTGAGTTTTAAATTTTAGTTCCTGTCTCTGGATGGTAACTCCTCATTGTCCCCAATAAATGAGGAACATAAATTAATCCTGCCCTTCCCTTTGCCCCCAAACAACAAGAAAAACAAAACCCAAGAATTAAAAAAAAATGTTTATTTATATACTTATTTCGAGATCAGTTTATAGACTGGGTAATTTTTGTATTTTTAGTAGAGAAGGCTTTTTGTCATGTTGCCCAGGCTGGTCTTGAACTCCTGGCCTCAAGCCATCCACAGGTCTCGGCCTCCCAAAGTGTGGGATTATGTATGAGCCACCAAATCTGGCTTCAAAACCCAAGTATTTCCACCATAGTGAAACCCTGTCTCTACCAAAAATACAAAAATTAGCTGGGTGTGGTGGCATTTGCCCATAATTCCAGCTAGTCGGGAGGCTGAGGCAGGAGAATGGCTTGAATCTAGGAGATGGAAGTTGCGGTGAGATTGTGCCACTACACTCCAGCCTGGGTGACAGACCGAGACTCTGTCTCAAAAACAAACTAACAAACAAACAATAAAACAAATATTTCCACACATACATTCTTCTTGCAAACCCAAGCCACGCTGGCATCCTGGGTCTCATGGGCTGCAATATGCCCACCTGACAAGCAGTTAATTGCTCTGGCAATGTTAACACACATCCATTTCAAAGGTTAAGAAATGGAATCCACAGCTAGAATCCACGACAGGTAAGCTACAGAGCCTTAAAGCTACACAGGGTGGGTCCCATGTCCTTACCGAAACCCTGTTTGAAAGCAGCCCACGGCAGTATGGGCTGGCATCCCTAGAGAAGTTCGGGCGTGTTGGGGTTTAAGACCAAAGGGCTCTACTCATTTGGCCCTCATGGCAGGGCACCATTGGTAGGCTTTGAGTCATGAAAAGTCTAGAGCAAATGACTGCCAGGGTTAAGAAGCCAACTTTGATGAGTGTTAGCAAAAGAAAATGCAAACCAGGCCATACGATACAATCGGAAGCCAACAGACAAACCAAAAGATACATTCTGAGTCATGCGAAATAGTTTAACAAGGTACACAAGTAACAAGAGAGCTTCCACAAGTCCTCACCACCCTCCATCTTTGAGCCTGAGACCCACTTGGACTCCCAGCTGCTTTATCTTGTTTCTTTCCTCTCTTCCTTCCTGTCTTCCTCATTCCTGCCTGCCTTCTTTTCCACAGCACGCGTCATTGATTATTATTAGGCTTATTGTTCACTGTCTCCTGCTGTTAGAATGGAAGCTCTTGGAGGAAGCTCCATGAGCTCAAGTTCCATTGTTAACCTGATGTATCCCAAGTGTCAGGACCATCCCCAGCACATAATAGATGCACAATAAGTATTTGTCAAATAAATATTTAATAAACATTTAAAATTAACGTTTATAAATAATTTTTAAATAAACAGTTGTAAATAATGTTAAATGTCCTTAAAAATGTTTACAGAAACATTTATTTATTTAACAAATAATAAACATTACAAACCAAGTGAAATGGTATCTACCCTTATGATGTCCTTTTTTTTTTTTTGAGATGGAGTTTCACTCTTGCTGCAGTTTTATGATCTTGGCTCACTGTGGCCTCCGCTTCAGTGGAGCCCACATGAAGTACCACATGGTAGTACAGGCATGTGCTACCATGCCTAGCTAATTTTGTATTTTTTGTAGAGATGGGGTTTCTCCACGTTGGTCAGGCTGGTCTCAAACTCCTGACCTCAGGTGATCCACCCATCTGTCTCCCAAAGTGCTGAGATTACAGGTGTGAGCCACCGCGCCTGGTCTCCTTTCTGAAACTCCTCTCTTGACTTTATGGCCCAGACCTCCAGCTGCCTCACTATTTGTCAGCAATACTGCCCCCACAGAGTTGTCTATATCTATTATCTTTTATTTTATTATCCTCTCAGTCTTTCCTAACCAATCTCTCCACAAGTTTATCTACTTTATCTTTTTAAGGAACCAACTTTTAGATCTGTTGAATTATATATTTTATTTTATTTTAGTTTTTTTTTTTTTGAGACGGAGTTTCACTCTTGTTACCCAGGCTGGAGTGCAATGGCACGATCTCAGCTCACCGCAACCTCCGCCTCCTGGGTTCAGGCAATTCTCCTGCCTCAGCCTCCTGAGTAGCTGGGATTACAGGCACGCGCCACCATGCCCAGCTAATTTTTTGCATTTTTAGTAGAGACGGGGTTTCACCAAATTGACCAGGATGGTCTCGATCTCTTGACCTCGTGATCCACCCGCCCCGGCCTCCCAAAGTGCTGGGATTACAGGCGTGAGCCACCGCACCCGGACTTTTTTTTTTTTTTTTTGAGACAGGGTCTCACTCTGTCGCCCAGGCTGGAGTGCAGTGGCGTGATCTTGACTCACTGCAACCTCTGCCTCCTGGGCTCAAGCGATTCTCCTGCCTCAGCCTCCCGAGTAGCTGGGACTACAGGCACCTGCTGTCATGCCCAGCTAGTTTTTGTATTTTTAGTAGAGACAGGATTATGCCATGTTGGCCAGGCTGGTCTCGAACTCTTGACCTCAGATGATTCATCTGCCTCAGCCTCCCAAAGTGCTGGGATTACAGGCAGGAGACACCGTGTCCAGCCAAATTGTATATTTTAAAATTTAATTAATTTATGATTTTTAAAAATTATTATTTTTTTTCTTAAGACAGGGTATCGCTCTGTCACCCAGGCTGGAGTGCAGTGGCATGACCTGGCTCACTGCAATCTCAACCTTGTGGGCTCAGGTGATCCTTCCACTTCAGTCTCCCAAGTAGCTGGGACCATAGGTGTGCACCACCATGCCCTGCTAATTTTTCTATTTTTTTTGTAGACAGCATCTGCCACATTGCCCAGGCTGGTCTCAAACTCCTGAGCTCAAGCAACCCACCCACCTCAGCCTCCCAAATTGCTGGGATTACAGGCGTGAGCCACCATGCCCAGCCTCTTCTATTTCCTTTGGGCTTAATTTGCTGTTCTTTTTCTGACTTCTTGAGATAGATCCTAAGTGAGGTTCTAAGTGAGTAAGGCTCACTGGTTTTTACCTCTCTGCTTTTAATATGCATTCAGAGCAACAAATCTCTCTATAGGGATGCTTTAATGACATCCCACAAACTAGATATAGAATGTATGTTAAAGTTCAGTTCTATTTCATATACTTTCTAATATCTACTATGATTTCTTCTTTAGTTTGTGGCTTATTTAAAGGCATATTTCTTAATTTCTTACTATTTCTTATTGGTATCCAGCTTAATTGCAAAGTGATAGATATCACTCTGATATCTATCCTTTGAATGATACATGTCCTTGGATGTTTGTTGAGATTTGCTTTATGAAACCAAGATATACTCAACTTTTGAAAATGTTCTTATGTAGGCTTGAAAAGAATATTGATATGGTTTGGCTGTGTCCCCACCCAAATCTCATGTTGAATTATAGCTCCCATAATCCCCATGTGTCATGGGAGGGACCCAGTGGGAGGTAACTGAATCATGGGGGCAGGTTTTTTCTGTGCTGTTCCTGTGATAGTAAGTCTCACGAGATCTGATGGTTTTATAAAGGGCAGTTTTCCTGCACATGCTCTCTTGCCTGCCACCATGTAAGACGTGCCTTTGCTCCTCCTTTACCTTCTGCCATGATTGTGAGGCCTCCCCAGCCATGTGGAATTAGAAGTCCACGAAACCTCTTTTTCTTTATAAATTACTCAGTCTCGGCTGTCTTTATTAGCAGCATGACAACAGACTAATAAAGTGTATGCCCTGCAGTTGTTAGATGTTTATGTATCAGGTCATTGTTACTAACTATATTATTTAAGTCTTCTATAATAACTTTGAGCACGTTTTTTATTTTTATTTTTTAAATTTTTTTTATTTTTTAATTTTAATTTTAATTTTTTTTTTTGAGACTGAGTTTCACTCTTGTTACCCAGGCTGGAGTGCAATGGCACGATCTTGGCTCACCTCAACCTCCGCCTCCTGGGTTCAGGCAATTCTCCTGCCTCAGCCTCCCGACTAGCTGGGATTACAGGCACACGCCACCATGCCCAGCTAATTTTTTGTATCTTTAGTAGAGACAGGGTTTCACCATGTTGACCAGGATGGTCTTGATCTCTTGACCTCGTGATCCACCCACCTCGGCCTCCCAAAGTGCTGGGATTACAGGCTTGAGCCACCGCGCCCGGCCTATTTTTTATTTTTTAAAGATGGGATCTCACCATGACGGTCAGGCTGGTCTTGAACTCCCGACTTCAGGTGATCCTCCCGCCTTGGCCTCCAAAGTGTTTGGATTACAGGCGTGAGCCACCACGCCCGGCCCAAGTACGTGTTTTTTTTTTTCTTCTTTTTCATCAGCCCCAAATCCAGCCTTGTCACACTGGTTTCATTCATTTTGACTGGCACTTGTATGGTATAGCTTCTCTTCCATTTCTTTACTTTCATATTTCTAGATCTTATGAGTTAGATGTGTCTTTGTAGATACCATACATTGCTTTATGTGTTGAGTTTATTTTTTTTTTTTGGTCCAGTCTGAGAATCTCTATCTTTTAATTGAAACACATAGTTTGTTTACCTTTAACATACTGATTTTTTTTTTTTTTTGGTCTTTTTGTTTTTTTCCTTTTTGTGGAGAACGGGGTCTTGCTATATTGCCCAGGCAGGTCTCAAACTCCTGGGCTCAAGCTATTCTCCTGCCTCTGCCTCCCTAAGAGCTAGGATTACAGGTTTGAGCCACAGTGCCTGGCCATATTGATCCATTTTGTTTCCCAGATACTTATGTGGCAGGCACTGTTTCAAGCATATTATGCACATTGCCATATCAGCAGTAGTCAAGTGCAGAGCCAGATCTGACCCCAGGGGATCTGGAGTGCTTGCTATTTAATATCTTTCATCCTACTTTGTGCTTTTATCTTGGAGACAAGGTCTTGCTCCATTGCCCAGGCTGGAATGCAGTGGCGTTCTTCTTGAGATAGAGCCTTAGCTCTTGATGCTAGTAGTGAGGGTGTGTGTGTGTGTGTGTGTGTGTGTTGTTTGATTTGCTTTTCCTACAGCTGTTTTAATGAATGCACCTTCCCTTCACAGAAGCCCTCCTCCTCTGTTGCATATCTCTGCTTTATGGCAAATGGGTTTTGATTCTTTTTTTTTCCCTTTTTCTTTTTTCCCATGAGTCATAGGGAATGAGGGTTTTGATTCTTAAGCAAATAGCCCACTGCAGCCTCCACCTCCCAGGCTAAAGCACTCCTCCCCACCTCAGCCTCCCAAGTAACTGGGACTACAGGTACACCCCATCACGCCCAGCTACTTTTGTTTATTTTTGTAGAGATAGGGTCTCACTATGTTGCCCAGGCTGGCCCCTCTCTCTCTCTCTTTTGAGACAGGGTCTCATTCTGCTGCCCAGGCTGGAATGCAGTGACATGATCATGGCTCATGCTCATGGCAGCAAGGAGCTCCTAAGCTCAGGTGATCCTCCCACTTCAGCCTCCTAAATAGCTGGGACTACAGGTGCACACCATCATGCCTGGCTAGTCTTTTTCTTTTTTTAGGGGTTTTGCTATGTTGCCTGGGCTGGTCTTCAACTCCCGGGCTCCCAAGTGATCCTCCTGCCTCGGCCTCCCAAAGTGCTGGGATTACAGGCGTGAGCCACCACGCCCAGCTTGAACTTGAATTTTATTTTTAAATTTAAATTTTAATTATTTTTTATTTTTACTTTTTTGAGACAGAGTCTTGCCTATTGTGCAGGCTGGAGTGCTGTGGTGCAATCTGGGCTCATTGCAAACTCTGCCTCCCAGGTTCAAGTGATCCTCCTGCCTCAGCCTCCCAAGTAACTGGGATTACAGGCATGTGCCACCACATGGCTAGTTTTATATTTTAAGTAGAGATGAGATTTCGTCATGTTGATTAGGCTGGTCTCGAACTCCTGACCTAAAGTGATCCACCCACCTCAGCCTACCAAATTACAGGTTTGAGCCACTGTGCCTGGCCTTGAATTTCTTAATAAGTCATAATGATGCACTATACCTTTGATCCATCTCCTTTTGAATTTCTTTATTTAACTCATCGACTTTCTGCTGCAGCTTTTTCCTTCTTTGTTCAGGTGGGAGGTTGCTGAAATCCTCTGGTGTCGCGCCCTGCAGACACAAATATAAATAAGAAGCCAGAAAGCCCCAGGTACTCCTTGAAAGAAGGCCATAAGCAAAGCCTGCAGCCACGGGCAGTGCCGACATCTGCATGTGGCTTCATAAAATACATTAAGCTCTTTCCCACTACACCCAGCTGAGAGGCAAAAGTCAATGCATGCAAACTGCAAAAGTCCCCAAAACCATTCCCAGTTCCATGGATGCTGGCCAGAATGCCCCAGAAAAAGCAGTGAGCCACGCTACAGGAAAGAGAGGGAAGAACATATAGACTTCTGACTCCAGGGAGAATCCATGAAAAACACATTTTGAGACAGAGTCTTCTTCCTTTTCCTACCAAGTACTACCATCAATGTCAGTGGCAACACTGAAGTGTTAGTGAAAATTATATTTCCTAAATATAAAGCCCATCTACCACTGCATGTCTAGCTGCTGCCTTTCACATAGGCTGAGGCCAAAAGTCTCTTCACACAGGCTAAGGCCAAAAGTCTCCATCCCTGTAAAGCAACAGATGGGACATCACATTCCTCAGAGAATGTGGGTGAAAAAGGACATTAAAAAAAAAATCTCAGGCTGGGCTCGGTGGCTCAGGCCTGTAATCCCAGCACTTTGGGAGGCCGAGGCGGGTGGATCACGAGGTCAAGAGATCGAGACCATCCTGGCCAACATGTTGAAACCCCATCTCTATTAAAATACAAAAAATTAGCTGGGCATGGTGGCAAGGGAATTGCTTGAACCAAGAAGGCGGAGGTCGCAGTGAGCAGAGATCGTGCCACTGCACTCCTCCAGCCTGGGCAACAAGAGCAGAACTCCGTCTTAAAAAAAAAAAAACTCTCTCTCTTGTCCAAACCCCATGCACACTTCACTCTGCTGCCTCTAAAAGTCTAGTTACTTTTTTTTTTTCCTTGAGATGGAGTCTCACTCTGTTGCCCAGGCTGGAGTGCAGTGGCACGATCTCAGCTCATTGCAACCTCCGCCACACAGGTTCAAGCGATTCTCCTGCCTCAGCTTCCTGCGTAGCTGGGACTACTGGTGTGCGCCACCATGCCTGGCTAATTTTCCATGGTCTCAAAGTCTTGGAGGTGATCCACTCAACTCAACCTCCTAAAGTGCCAGGATTACAGGCATGAGCCCCCACACCCAGCCTAGCGACTTCTAGGCACCTTTCGGAAGCATCAGAGAATTCAGAGAGAATGCCCTCCCTGGACTCAAAATCAATTCTCCACAGTGTACGAAACTGATCTCTGCAGTTTTTAATGTGTCAGAAGAACTGTATTTTGGTATATTGATTCCCTTTTCAAAAGCAACTGCTCTCTTGACTCTGTGCCTGTGCTTGTAGGAGAAAGTGTCAACAGTTTCAGGCTTTCCCATATGCTTACTTGTTAGAAAGCTATGGTACATTGTGGCATCAAGTGCTTTTACTTAAGTGAGGCTATGTTCCTAAAGAGAGAAATTTCCGGCTGGGCGCGGTGGCTCACGCCTGTAATCCCAGCACTTTGGGAGGCAGAGGCAGGTGGATCACGAGGTCAAGAGATCGAGACCATCCTTGTCAACATGGTGAAACCCTGTCTCTACTAAAAATACAAAAATTAGCTGGGCATGGTAGCACATGCCTGTAGTCCTAGCTACTCGGGAGGCTAAGGCAGGACAATGCAAGACTCTGTCTCAAAAAGGGGGGAGAGAGAGAGAGAGAGAGAGAGAGAGAGAGAGAGAGAGAGAGAGAGAGAGAGAGAGAGAGACAGAATTTCTTCAAATAACCAGGGGATAAGCCAGGGCATTTAGAAAAGAGATTTTACTTTAAACCCTCAATTCTTTTAAAACAAGGGCAAGACTGACTTGGGGCAGGACAGAATGAAGGGACCCAGTTAATGTAATTCCAGAAGCAAGTTGCATTTGCCAAGTAGCTTACATGGCAGCTTGTGACTGAGTTCCTAGGCTGATTATGATAAATTGCCAGGGGGATGTGCTAGGAAGCGTGTGATTCAGCAAATAGTTGACCACAAAGGCCACGCAAAGAACTTTCAGCTACTGTTCTCAAACACACCCGTCAGACACACTGACTCTAATGTGTGCCTGTGTGTGTGCACATGCGTATGTGTGTGTATGTGTCTGTGTTGGAGATAAGAGTTGAGTGAAACCAGAATGGAAGTTACTATTCCTAATACCAAACTGAAGAAGTTGAATTTGACTCTAAATCTAAGATGAAGCAAAACTAACCTTTAATATAAAAATGAAGACTTGCTGTCTTTTCCATATACTATGGCACTACAATATTTATTTGAAAATTGAAAACTAGATTATTGGCTTTTCAATTTGTTTAATTCAATCATTGAGCTCAAAAGACTTTGTGCTTATGATGAATTTACTTAAGGCAGATCAGCACTGTGACAGCATCACACACACACGCTCATGCACACACACACACACACACACACACACACACACGAGTTTTCACTCACGGTTCCTGGCTCATAACTCCCATACGGTGGGTTTTTGTTTGTTTGTTTTTTTGAGACAGAGTTTCACTCTTGTTGCCCAGACTGGAGTGCAGTGGTGTGATCTCAGCTCATTGCAACCTCCGCTTCCTGGGTTCAAGAGATTCTCTTGCCTTGGCCTCCCAAGTAGCTGGGATTACAGGTGCCTGCCACCATACCTGGCTAATTTTTGTATTTTTAGTAGAGATGGGGTTTCACAATGTTGACCAGGCTGATCTTGAACTGCTGACCTCAGGTGATCCTCCTGCCTCGGCCTCCCAAAGTGCTGGAATTACAGGTATGAGCCACTGCGCCTGGCCTCTTGCTACAGTCTTGTGTTAAAACATCAGAGCACTTTCGGCCTCAGAAAGCAGAATCTCTCTCTCATCTCCCCATGCCCTTCTCTTACCTGCTAAAGGTAGCATTCTGATTGTGGCTATATGACTCTCATTCAAGAGGATCCTGCCCCATACCCTGGAGGAAGGAATGCTGCACAGGGAGGCCAAAAAGAATCTGGACAGACAGGCCCTGCTGGGTGTCCCCACCCAGTCAACTAGGATTCCATCAGGCCCTTTCTGTCCAATCTCATTCCAGCATGGCTGTCCATGCGTCAATCATGCTTATCTGATGAAGTCTCATAAAAGGCCCAAGAGGACAGGGTTTGGGAGTTTCTGGATAGCTGAACACACAGAGGTTCCTAGAGAGGGGCTGCCCAGGGAGGGATGGAGGCTCTGTGCCCCCTCCCCCATATCTCACCCTAAGCATCTCTTCCTCTGTATGTTTTGTAATATCCTTTGTAATAAGCTGGTAATTGTGTTTCCCTGAGTTTTGTCAGCTGCTCCTGCAAATTAACTGAACCCAAAGATGGGGTCACGGGAACCCCAATTTGAAGCCAGTCCATCAGAAGTTCTGGAGGCCAGCTGAGCGCCATGGCTCACACCTGTAGTCTCAGCACTTTGGGAGGCTGAGGCGGGTGGATCACCTGAGGTCAGGAGTTCGAGACCATCCTGACCAACATGGTGAAACCCCGTCTCTACTAAATATACAAAATTAGCCGGGCAAGGTGGCGCGTGCCTATAATCTCAGCTACTCAGGAGGCTGAGGCAGGTGAATCACTTCAACCCAGGAGTCGGAGGTTGCAGTGAGCCAAGATCGCATCATTGCACTCCAGCCTGGGAGACAGAGAGAGACTCTGTCTCCCCAAAAAAAAAAAAAAAAAAAATCAAACCCTTGCTTGTCAACAGCTTCCCCCTGACCCCCAAACAGCCCAAGCCCCATGTAATATTACTTCTTTAGATTTTTTGTTTTGTGTTATTTTATAGTTTTTTTTGAGGCAGGGTTTCATTCCATCACCCAAGGCTGGAGCAGCTTTGACCTCCGGGGCTCAATCAATACTTCTGCCTCAGCCTCCTGTGTAGCTGGGACCACAGGCACATATTACCATGCCCAGAAAATTTTAGTATTTTTTTGTAGAGTCAGGTTTCACCATGTTGCCCAGGCTGGTCTAGAACTCCTGGGCTTATATGATCTGCCTGCCCCAGCCTCCCAAAGTGTAGAGATTACAGGTGTGAGCCACGCACCTGATCCCACACCTTTTTTCATTTTTTTCTGTTTGAGACATGGTCTTGCTGTGTCACCCAGGCTGGAGTGCAGTAGTGCAATCATAGCTCGCTGCAACCTTGAACTCTGGGGTCAAGCCATCCTCCTGCCTCAGCTCATCATCCTGCCTCAGCCTCCCAAGGCCCTGGGATTACAGGCAGGAGCCACTGCGCCCAGCAGCACTGCACTTCTTTGCCGGCTTCAAAGTAATGGCAGAAAGCAACAGTTCAATACCAACTTGGTAAAATAATTTGTTTTTCAAACAGAAAGACGGCCTGAAAATATTACCTTTTGCTGCTAGCACCCAGAAAAACAATGAATAAAGGGTAAGAACAAAACGCTGGCAGCTGAGAAGGCCTCCTCGTGAATAGATCCAATTCCTCCCAAGCTCATACTGCTCAAGAACCTGTAATTCATTTAAGAATCTCGATCTCTTTCCTTCATGTAGAGACTTTAAAGACTCTTCTCAGGATTTTATTTCACAGTCTAAGAAATGTTTAACTTAATAAAATATTATTTTTCTTTAGGGTTGGGCCCATTACCAAATACCAAGTCATGTTGAAAAAATTATGTATATACATACATATGTATACATACACACATGTAAATATTTACATATTTTAAAATCACCATAAAATGCCATCCTAGGTTATCAATAGCATGCTTATACTGCTGATCTTATTCCCAGCTGAACTGTCACAGTTGATCACTGTCCCATTATTTTAGGATATTCTTAGCTGTGGAATTTGAGAAGACTATGAAACTATCATAGATATTTGAAGCACAGTTATAGGTTATGTTAGTTATTTTTAATAAATGTAATGATTAGTTTGCTTGTTTACTAGGCATATACAATTAAGTACAAACGACACAAAACACTGAGTAAATAATTCTAAAAAGGCTTAGGAGGCTCTTTTCACTGTCCATGAAATCCTTCTGTGGCCTCTTGAATCAGCTATGCACAAGGCACCAACATATCTATGTCGCGCCAGAAAGATTCCAGAGTTTTCCATTCCCATGGGTGGCCTCAAACCTGGGCAGCAGCTGCCGGCTGGGATCATTCCTACATGGCTCTTTCAGGCTCCCAGATTTTTTTCATCTACTTCTGTGGTTCTCAAATAGGAACATTCTTCAACTATTAAATTTACTTTTAATCAAAATGATCCAACACCCCCAAGATTTAATATTTATGTTTTTTGTTTTTTGGAGATGAAGTCTCTCACTCTGTCACTCAGGCTGGAGTGCAGTGGCATGATCCTGGCTCACCGCAACCTCTGCCTCCCAGGTTCAAGCAATTCTCTTCCCTCAGCCTCCTGAGTAGCTGGGATTACAGGCACACGTCACCACGCCTGGCTAATTATTTGTACTTTCATAGACACTGGGTTTCACCATGTTGCCCAGGCTGGTCTTGAACTCCTGAGCTCAGGCAATCCACCCACGTTGGCCTCCTAAAGTGCTAGGATTACAGGCGTGAGCCACCGCGCCCGGCCTTTACGTTCATATTCATAGATACTTTATTCACATTTGTCCTCCTCTTAAGGCCCCAGTAATAAAGAACACCAAGTCATGATTCAAGTCATGAGGTAAGTGTTAATGTTCTTAGCATCTTGAAAAGATTAAGATCACCTCTATTAGATTCTGGACCTTTGTATCCAAGAAGTCTAATAAGGAAACACCAACAGAAGCACACGTAAGAGAAACACAAACCAAGTTAACTTTGAAGATATGTTGTGCATGGCATAGCATTCACAAAACACACGCCGAAAACCTGATTAGACTCAGGACATGCATGGAATAATTGTGCTTACCAGCTTGAGAGAAAGCTTCATGGAAAAATTGGAGAGGTATGGGAAAGAGAGAGAGAGAGAGAAAGAGAGAGAGAAAGAGAAAAAAAACAACAACGCATCAGAAGAAGAGGAACTTGGTCAGTTCCACCATATTAAAATAACACACACGTCCACCCGCTGATCTATAAAAATGACTTGTAGCAGATCTGTGCAAAAGTTCACAAGAAGGGCTGCTCCCTAATGAACTCTTCTCAGGCTCCATATTGGCAGAGCAAAGATCAGATAGAAAAGGAGGGGTTCTGTTACAGGTCCGTATCAGCCCCTCAGCCTATATGTAAACTAAATAAGCTTGTAGTCGGTGACACACGACTATGAAAGAAAACATATAACCACACAACCTTTTGTTCTCCGAATTTCCCATGGGAAGTTTTACACAGACTAAAAGAAGTCTGAACACCAATTACTTCCATGATAAGCAAGTCATATTTTTATCTTAAGGAACTGTAATAAATATAAACATTGGCCAGGCACGGTAACTCACCCCTGTAATCCCAGCACTTTGGGAGGCCAAAGGTGGGCAGATTACTTGAAGCCAGGAGTTCGATACCAGCCTGGCCAACGTGGTGAAGCCCTGTCCGTCTCAACTAAAAATACAAAAAAAAAAAAAAAAAAAATTAGCCAGGTGTGGTGGCAGGAGCCTGTAATCCCAGCTACTCGGGAGGCTGAGGCAGGAGGATCGCTTAAATCCAGGAGGCGGAGGCTGCAGTGAGTCAAGATCATGCCATTGCAATCTAGCCTGGGCAACAAGGGCAAAACTCTGTCTCAAAAATAAATAAATAAATTGGCATGAAGGCAAAGCCTGAAATTGGTGAATTGCTAACAAAGGACTGACCAGCAGGTGCTCTAAAAAACTACCTGCAGGACCCGAAATGCCTCTCGCAGCCAGGCTAGAGGACAACATTCCCTCCCACACGAGCACTGTGTGCTACCCTTGCTCAGTGGATGGTGTCTGCTGAGGCTTTCTATGAAACTCTGAGCCCCATCCATAGGCGCTGGGTATTTGGAGAATTATTCACTGTGACTGCTCTTTTTAAAGTATTTACTTACTCATCAATTTACAGATTTTTGGTTTTGTTTTCGGAGACAGGGCAGATTGTACAGTGGCACAATGTCAACTCACTGAAGCCTTAACCTCTAGGGCTCAAGTGATCCTTACACCTCAGCCTCCCGAGTATAGCTGGGACTACAGGTGAGTGCCACCACACTCGATTTCAAGTTTTGTAGTTTTTGGTAGAGATGGGGGTTTCACCATGTTGCCCAGGCTGATATCAAACTCCTGAGCTCAAATGACCCACCCACCCCAGCCTCCCAAAGCGCTGCATTTACAGGTGTGAACTGCCACACACAGCCTAAAAAACTAATTCTTAATTTAAGATTGTTTCAAAGTTCACACTTCTTTGTAAATAAAAAATAACCTTTTAAAGAAATTGTCCCTATATAGGTACATGGGATTTTAAAGGAAAGAAACAGAAAGGCAAGCCTTTGTCGGGGGAAAATGGTACATTATACAGTCACATTCCTGACTGCCTGACGTGGGCTGTCTACAAGTATTTCAGCCCGCCTGTGAACTTGAGCACAGATCTACTTAACACAACTGGAATTCATTGTATGCACAGACAAGACTTACAGTGCACAGCAGAAAACTCCAAATATCTTTCCTACAAGGCACACTATCATATACAGATATTTTCTTACACATTATTGTCTAAACATTGCTAATTCAAAGAACTAACATTTCAACTAGGTATACTATTCGCTCTCTACTTGGCTACTTTCATTACGCAAAGTTATATATTCTTTCTTAAGCATTCCACAAACAGAGTTCTCACCTCAAAATATTGTATAGGAAGATTATAACACTTCATAGTAAAAACAAGTCATCAGGATTGAACATAAATCCCCATCGAATAGGAAATACCAAATTCTCAGACAAATCTGATTTTATTTGTGACGGATAATCTATTAATACAAGAAGTGCCATCACAGTACACGGAATTTCTTTTTAATCATCATATATTGGTTTTCAGTCTTAAGCTGTAAGCCAGCCAATTAGAATTTCTCTTAAAATTAGAAAGCAACATCATTGGCTAAAATAATAATTATGAAGATTCCATTAAGTGCATTGCTAGACACCTGAAGAATTAAAAAGCTGTCAGTTTCAGGCGACAGTTAAAGAGCAGTGGGAGCCACAAGCGTCAATAACACATGGGGAACACAGAGCTGGCAAGCCCATGTGTTATTGGACAGTCACAGTACTAACCTCAAGTACAAAGAAAGGGGACAGCGAAAATAAATGTATAGATACATAGAGAGAAGAAAACTCATTTTACTGTGCTAGGAAATCGCTCACGTGTCATCAATTTGTTTGTTTGTTCTCCAAGCGTTAGGGCATAACTCCCTTAGGGATCTGTTTGTTACAAACATGGATGTGGGACTGAGCTACACTGCCATCTGTAAGAGCATCACTCTCCCGTGACCACATTGCAGCTGTGTTTTATGCGTGAAATTCTGCGGTGAAGTCATACCAGTGACATCTCAGACGTCAGTCACAGTCCCAGAACCAGAATGAAAAGAGAAAAACAGGCCGGGTGCGGTGGCTCACGCCTGTAACCCCAGCACTTTGGGAGGCCGAGGCAGGCGGTTCACCTGAGGTCAGGAGTTCGAGACCAGCCTGACCAACATAGAGAAACCCCCGTCTCTACTGAAAATATAAAAAATTAGGCCAGGCGAGGTGGCTCACACCTACAATCCCAGCACTTTGGGAGGCCGAGGTGGGTGGATCACAAGGTCAAGAGATCGAGACCATCCTGGTCAACACGGTGAAACCCCGTCTCTACTAAAAACACAAAAAAATTAGCTGGGCGTGGTGGCACACGCCTGTAGATCCAGCTGCTCGGGAGGCTGAGGCAGGAGAATCAATCGCTTGAACCCGGGAGGTGGAGGTTGTGGTGAGCCGAGATCACGCCATTGCACTCCAGCCTGGGCAACAAGAGCGAAACTCCGTCTCAAAAAAAAAAAAAGAGAAAAGAGAAACAAACAAACAAACAAAACATCAGGCTCAGCTCACCACTGTTATTAGAAAGTTTGCTTCCTTTATTGATGCAAGTTTTTCAGATAAAGTTGCCTATGGATGAATTTATACAATTAGCCTTTTTTTTTCCCCTCTCAATTAAGAATTTCATTTCGTAGTGTGGAAGCATAACAGAGTGCCTCTGGGTCCCCAGTCTTGGTGCTGTGAATGGGGTTAGTGGCTGTGCCGTGACTGTATGACCTGGCCGTCACAGGTAACTTACAACATAGTCCCTAGCCTCAAAGGCATACGTGGGTTTCCCTATTGTCCTCTTCATGAGTTCTTTGTGAAAACAGAAAGACTGAGTCTGCCAATAACCAGCAAGAGAACAAGATAAAATAAATAAAATTAAAGTAACCATAAGACTTTAACATATGACAAACAATTGGTAAGGATTTTCAAAATCTTTAGGTCAACAGTGATGATATTTTTCCATACGATTAATTCTAAAATATGAAAAATGTGTCGCCGTATTTTACATATAGAAGTCTCTTGCACAGGCCAGAAAATGAAATCTTAGTTTAAGCAATAAAATCGCCCTTTGTAGACGGCAAACGGAGAACATACTATCTAGTTTCATTTTCCTTCAACTTACATAAAAATGAAACAGTGGTTAATGCTCTGGTGGCACCTTTAAAGATATTCAGTGAAACAAAATTTCCTTATAAATATCAACAGCTTACAACAAATCACATTTTATCCTGTTTAATTATTTAGAAACAAAATCAGTTATGCTGAGATACGTCTGCATGGGATTTATACCCAATGATAGAAACAAATTATTGACATCTGAATCTGAAAGCTGCAAAACATGAGAAATTAAAAGACATAATAAAATCACAGACTTTTTATTCTCTAATTAAATTATTGTTGGCATAAGTGTTAACTTAAAAAGTAGAATGAATGTGAAGGTGGGAGGGGCTGTATCATTTTGGTCACAGAACCTGTCAACCATGCTAGGTTGCTCACGACGGTCCATGCTGAGACTGCTTAAAAATGAAATCTATTTCTCCAAACTTCGGATTTTTTTTTTGAGCTTGCACTTCTTCTTTTTTTGCACTGCAGCTTCCCAGAGGAAGGAACATTAATTCTGACCCTAAGAACAGACTGACCAAAAGTAAAAGAAGCAAAAATATTTCTCTACTTCTTTACTATGGCTTCTAGTAGATATACGCATGTGGTTTAACCTCAGGAAAATAAACTCACCATTTGGGGAAAAAAAAAATTTTTTTTTGAGATGGAGTTTTGCTCTTGTCGCCCACGCTGGAGTACAATGGCACAATCTTGGCTCACTGCAACCTCCACCTCCCAGGTTCAAGCGATTCTCCTGCCTCAGCCTCCCCAGTAGCTGGGGGTATAGGCATGCACCACCACGCCTGGCTAATTTTATATTTTTAGTAGAGACGGGGTTTTTACATGTTAGTCAGGCTGGTCTCGAACTCCCAACCTCAGGTGATCTGCCCGCCTCGGCCTCCCAACGTGCTGGGATTACGGGCATGACCATCGTGCCCAGCGGGAAGTATTTTTTAACAAAGATTTGCTGAGCACAGATTTGAGGAGTAAGAAATACAATTCATATTGCTGATTACGGTAAAACAGAGATTTTCCTTTAAATCATCAAAAGAACCAGTTTCTCATTTCATTAAATGTTACATTTTTTTTTTCTAACCATCCTTTTCTTACATTTATCAATGACTGAATTCTTTGTTTTTTTTCTAAACATTTAGCAAATGCCATGAACCACAAATTCACAAACCATTTTCAGCCAACTGCACATTTCAGACTGTGTAATGTTAAGTGAAAATAGAATCGACACATAAACAAATGGTAAACAATCAATGAATATTCATCATGAGAGTTCAAAAAATAGAGATAATATATAAATATAACACATGAATGCTTGGTAAAATGGCAGAGATGGGTTAACTGACAGTTCAGACAAAACTTTCAGTCTAGCAAAAACACCTCGTCATGGAAATTCTTGGATTAACAATGAGTGGAGTTCTAAAACGCCAGCATCATTGAGCCAAGAAGCTGCAGATTCTTCAAGTCCTAATAATACAGCTTAGCTTAATTCATCATCGACTTTTTTTTTTTTTTTGAGATGAAGTCTCACTCTGTCGTCCAGGCTGGAGTGCAGTGGTGCGATCTCGGCTCACTGCAACCTCCGCCTTCTGATTTCCAGCAATTCTCCTGCCTCGGCCTCTCAAATAACTGGGATTACAGGTGGTGCCTGCCACCATGCCTGGCATATTTTTGTATTTTTGGTAGAGACAAGATTTCACCATGTTGGCCAGGCTGATCTCGACCTCCTGACCTCATGATCCTTCTGCCTTGGCCTTTCAAAGTTCTGGGATTACGGGTGTCAGCCACTGCACCCAGCCCCATCATCACTTTTGAAGCTGTACTCTGCCTTCCATCAATGTCTTTTTTCATATCTTTCAGAAATTACATTTCTAATTCTTAACCTGATATGCTAGATAGCATTAAAGCAAGATAATTCTACCAACTATAAATCTGAGATTCTCATATTAAAGGCACTCTGCATATAAGGAAATATTTTCCCCCTATTTTAAAAAACGAACAACCTTATTATCGACTATGTATTCACATTTTTTTTTTTTTTTTGGAGAAAGGGTCTCACTCTGTTGCCCAGGCTGGAGTGCCGTGGTGTGATCTCGGCTTACTGCAACCTCTTCCTCCTGGGTTCCAGCAATCCTCCCATCTCAGACTCCCAAGTAGCTAGGACTACAGGCACATGCCACCACGCCTGGCTATTTTTTTGTATTTTTAATGGGGGACAGGGTCTAGCCATGTTGCCCAGGCTGGTCTTGAACTCCTGAGCTCAAGCAATCCACCCACCCTGGCCTCCCAAAGTGCTGGGACTACAGGCATGAGCCACTGCTCCAGGCCTCTTTTTTACACAGAGTAGTTTTTGTAGAAATATGATTGTCAGGTTAACAATGACTACTGTTATTCTTTTACTGGTAACCACCTATTGATTCCAAGTCCAAGAAGGGCATCTCTCCCCTCTAGTTAATCAGTTGTAGTTTAGAATCTTTTCCCGTGCCAATGTGTCAGCTGACACTCAAGAAAAGCTGGCATCCAACTCTGGCTTTGGGGTACTACCAGGCACTATTTGGAAAGAAGTAACCCAACTGTCAGTTGACTGGGTTTTTTTTTTTTTTTTTTTTTTTTTTAAGGTAAAAAAGATATGTGAATGCTGCAGGGATTACAGGCGTGGGCCACTGTGCCTGGTCTAAATATCTGTTTACTCATTATATTCATCATAAAAGATATTTTGGGAAGGCTCAGACTAGACTGACCATTTAGAATGATGTGGGAATCAACATGTTACTTTACGCCAATCTTTCTCTATAAACCAAACCGGTATGTACATTAGATGGCTGCCTCAATTCTATTAACTCTGTGACTTAAGCACATCAATCTCAATTAGGATGGCGAACTTGAATCTTAATAACATCCACTTACGAGTCAACATAGTAGTTGCTCCCTGAAGCTGGACGTCACAGAATTGCAGACTCTGTAACCAGACTCCCTGGATCTAAATCCCAGCTCTGCATCTTCCTCACTTCGCCTTTGTATGCCTCAATTTCCTTAGCGGTAAAATAAGGAAATACGAGCACTATCTAGGCTTCATAGAGTGGATGGAAAAAAGTCAATGAGCGCACGGCACAGAGCTTTGCACACAGTAAGCGCTCAGTAGGTGTCAGCTGCTTTTATTACTGTATCCTTTAAAGAGAAATCCTGCATTAGGCCTCTTCCAATCAACAGACATTTTATGAACTCCTTATAATCTCACTAAAATTGCGAATGAAACCACTGTGACTTATGACTCTTCTCCTTTGAACCCTGAGGCATAGCTCAGGGAAGTATCTTCATTACATTCACATTGCTTCAGTAATTATTAAGGCAATATTTTTTGACTTACACAGTCACTTCCAATTCCTTATCTCATAGGTTGCTAGTTTGTTTATTTATTTATTTATTTATTTATTTAGAGATGGGATCTGACTATGTTGTCCCGGCTGGTCTCAAACTCCTGAGCTCAAGTGATGATCCTCCCACCTCAGCCTCCTAAAGGGCCAGGACTACAGGCACGAGACACTGTGCTTGTCCTATTTATTTTCATATACATATTTTAAGAGATGGGGTCTCACTATGTTGTCCAAGCTGGTCTTGAACTCCTGAGCTCAAGTGATCCTCCTGCCTCGGCATCTCAAACTGCTAGATTGCAGGTATGAGCCATCATGTCCGGGCTCAGGTCACCCGTTTTAGAAATGAAATCTTAAGTTTCCTTTTTTGGTTAAAATTAAGGTAAAAGATTAATGATTTGGATGCTTTAAAGAGGAAGAGGGGTCAAGTCCTTCCAAAATGTAACAGAAACAAACAGAAGGAGCTCTGGGATGCCCGGCGTTCTCCTTCCTTCTATGTGTCCTGCTTCCTTCTTTCTTCCCTCCTCTTTCTGGCTTTTTCTTTCCAGCTATAATGGTTTTTAAACTTTTATATGTTATGGGAAAACACAATGGATTCATTCACAAACAAAATTAGTTATGCAGAACCGAACATGCAACAAAAGCACGCCAGAGAGACAGGATTCCGGAGCGGACTTACCCCACGCTTTAGGCTCCTGAAGCAGTGGATTTTGGGTTTGGAGGTCATGAACTCGTTGAAGCGGTGGGAGAGGGGTTCCTTTTGCTGCTTGGGAGACTGGGGGCCGTTGGGAACAGCAGAGGGTGAGGCAGAGGCAGGAGGGGGAGGGGGAGGCTGATGGGGGGATGTTAAAAGGGACATAAGCTACATGTAAGAGATGGAGCCGTGACAGAGTAAAAATCAGAAACAAGAAGATAAGACACAAAACAAAAATAAGCATCAAATCATATTTGAAATCCAACGCAAGTAAAACACAAACAATTAAATTTTAGGCCATGGTCCAAAAGAAAACATGTAGGAGGTGGTTAAATGAAGAATGGATGAGAGTTGGGAGGTTTAGTAAGTAACGCGACAGAGGAAGAGCAAGAAATACCTGACAAGAAGCTCGTGCAGACTTTCCCATGCAAACTACAGCACTAGTTAGTTATTCTAAACCAGCTTAAGCCAGAAGGTCAATATTTCCATATCACCTAAGCTAACACAGCCTAATGGGGAAAAATGGAAGACCTTCAATGCTAAGGTTGTGAAAACAGTAGACAGTCTGTTTAAATTAATAATTATTAAGTCATTCTAAAGTTAAAGCAGTAATGCTGCCTTGATCATACTCTACAACCCCAGGTTAATGCTGTCATGCACCTATGTATCACACTATGCAAAGAAAATGAAAAATGTTCATGGATACGCATGTTAACATGAATTCGAAACCAAGTTTTTAACATGGTAACAGTTTCAATTACATATGTGGATAAAGTGTTACAGGAATTTCGCACTACATCCTCTCTCCCAGCCAAGGTCACCAGCAGTCTAGGAGACGAAGGAGTGGAAGGTGTGATTCGAAATGGTGGAGAGGTCAGTAATCTGTTAGTGTGGGTGTCACGGTAGGAGGATAATGCTTCTGAAATAAGACACAGGGCCATGGCAAAAATACCACCACCAAAAAGAAATACTGCCTCAAAATACAAGGAGCACACTAGCTTTTTTCTTTTGCATTCTGAAACTACAGGTCTAAGATCTCAGTTTTTATAAGACTCAAAGATCAAGTCAAAATCTCCACACTTTATAAAACTCATTTCACACCGCGTCCAACCATCAGTACCTTATTCTTTTTGATGAACGGCCACAACTTTCCTTTGGATTTGCCACCAAATTTGAGGTCTGGTTTGCCTTCTCCTCTGGAATTTGAAAGGCTGTTATCGGACACGGTACGCTTCATTGGCTGAGTGTAATCCTCAAACTCAATGTCTCCAGGAGGCTCAAACCCTGATTTATAAGCTTCTATCACCAGCTGTGAATCCTGAAATTATACCCGAAAGCATATAAATACATTCAGAAGCATGCAAATACTTTTTAAACAATGAATTATGATGACCTCATACAGATGATACCTAAGGAAATAACACTGATTGATACTAACTTTTTTCCTAGTAACTTTTTTCTTTTTTGTTTCTTTTAGATGGAGTCTCGCTCTGTTACCCAGGCTGGAGTGCAGTGGTGCCATCTTAGCTGATTGCAACCTACACCTCCCGGGTTCAAGCAATTCTCCTGTCTCAGCCTCTGGAGTAGCTGGGATTACAGATGCACACTATCACGCCAAGCTAATTTTTGTTTTTGTTTCGTTTTTTTGAGACAGAGTCTTGCTCTGTCATCCAGGCTGGAGTGCAATGACGTGATCTTGGCTCACTGCAACCTCTGCCTCCTGGGTTCAAGCGATTCTCCTGCCTCAGCCTCCCAAGTAGCTAGGACTATAGGTGTGCAACCACCATGCCCAGCTAATTTTTGTATTTTTAATAGAGATGGGGTTTTATCGTGTTGGTCAGGCGGGTCTTAAACTCCTGACCTTGTGATCCGCCCACCTTGGCCTCCCAAAGTGCTGGGATTACAGGCATGAGCCACCACACCTGGCCAGCTTTTTTCATTCTCTTCAGAAGACATCAATAATGTTCATTTGAGCTTTTAGAACACAGAACTGTCGTTTTCTGATTTTTTTTTTTTTTTTTAGACAGAGTCTTGCTCTGTCACCCAGGCTGGGGTACAGTGGCATGATCTTGGCTTGCTGCAACCCCTGCCTCCTGAGTTCCAGCAATTCTTGTGCCTCAGCCTCCCGAGTAGCTGGGAATACAGGCATGTACCACCATGTCCAGCTAATTTTTGTATTTTTAGTAGAGATGGGGTTTCGTCATGTTGGCCAGGCTGGCCTAGAACTTCTGGCATCAAGTGATCCACCCACCTTGGCCTCTCAAAGTGCTGAGATTACAAGTGTGAGCCACCACACTGGGCCAGCTGCATAACTTTTATGTTAAATATTTGGTTTTTCAAATTAATAGTAAAAGCCTATGCTGGTGTTCTAGTTTATATTTTTATTGAGAGAAATAGGTTTCTAGGAATTCATTCGTCCCCAAGCAGTATTCTCAACTAAAGAAGGCTTTGCCCTCTCAGGGGACATGCTACAATATATGGAGACATTTTTGACTGTCAGAACTTGGGAAGTGCTACTAGCATCTCCTGGGTAGAGGCCAGGTATGCTGCTAAATGTCCTGTAATGCCCCCAATAAGAAAAATGATCTGGTCTAAGATAATGTCAAAAGTGCCTGAAGAAACCCTGTTTTGGCTGGGCACAGTGGTTCACGCCTGTAATGCCAACACTTGGGAGGCTGAGGCAGGCGGATCAACTGAGGTCAGGAGTTGGAGACCCGCCTGGCCAACATGGTGAAACCCCATCTCTACTAAAAATACAAAAATTAGCTGGGCATGGTGGCATGTGCCTATAGTCCCAGCTACTTGAGAGGCTGAAGCAGGAGAATCACTTGAACCCGGGAGGCAGAGGTTGCAGTGAGCTGAGATCGCGTCACTGCGCTCCAGCCTGGGCAACAAGAACAAGATTCTGTCTAAAAAAAAAAAAAGAAGAAATAAGAGGAAAGAAGAAGAAAAGGCAGGAAGGAAGGAAGGAAGGAAGGAAGGAAGGAAGGAAGGAAGGAAGGAGAGGAGAGGAGGAGGAGGAGGAGGAAGAGGAGGAGAAGGAAGAAGAGGAAGAGGAAGAAGAAAGAAGAAGAGGAGGAGGAAGAAGAAGAAGAGGAAGAAGAGGAAGAGGAAGAAGAAAAAAGAAGAAGAAGAGAATAATAATAATAATAATCATAATCATCATCATCATCATCTGACTTACAGGAAACAAAGTCTTTCCCTTTTTCCAGAAAACAGAAACTCAATTCTGTCAACTCTCGGACAATTTACCACTTAAATGTGTTTTCCAAAAAAGGAATTATAAAGTTAAATCCAAGACACAGCATGAATGACCACTGAAAGCAACTACCCACCATGAGATGATTCAATGAGGTCATACGGGAAGGGGATGGGGAGAAATAATGGAACTGCAAATAGTTATCAATGAGGCTCAAATGGCAATACTTACATTTTTCTGATCAATGGACTCGGCTGCTTTTACTATTCCATCCAAGCACTTCCCAATGATGGGTATCACCTGCCGATCAACCTCTGCATACGTCTTCATGGAGTCTCCAATCCTCACTATCCTCCTTTCCTCCATCTCTTGTATTTTCTGCAACATTAGATTTTGTATAAAGTCAGTCTGGTCCATGATTATTAAATGAAGTTGTTTTCTGGCAGCATTGTTACCTCTAATGAGTTCTCTATGAGGAAAAACGGGTTAGAGTTAGCATGGCCATAAGTGTACAGTGCCTCCATATTAGCCAGCTGTACACTGATTTTATAAACTGTTAGGCATGTTAGGCTACCTAAATATATGTTTTGTACAATTCCATTCTAATGTTAGTAAGAATGCCAAACTCAATAGTTTTTCTGTTGTTTTTTTGAGATAGAGTTTTGCTCTTTTGCCCAGGTTGGGGTGCAATGGTGTGATCTCAGCTCACTGCCACCACCACCTCCCAGGTACCAGCGATTCTCCTGCCTCAGCCTCCCAAGAAGCTGGGATTACAGGCACCTGCCACCACATCTGGCTAATTTTTTGCATTTTTAGTAGAGATGGGGTTTCACCATCTTGGCCAGGCTGGTCTCCAACTCCTTACCTCAGGTGATCTACCCACCTACGCCTCCAAAGTGCTGGGATTACAGGCATGAGCCACCCATCATGGCCAACAGCTTTATTATTAACACTATTTGTAGTCCACTGCAAACATTTTCTCCATCTTTAATCTACTAACTACTAAATACCAAAAGCACAGTATTTAGTTAACCGTCTGAACCCAACACAGGTGGGCATACCTTCCAACTGTCATTTGGAAGTACTTGTTTGCTGTGTGTGTAGACACTAAGAAGCAAATATTTATTATTCTTTTTTACAGTTGGACTCAAAGTTGCAAAAGATCTGTAAAATGGAAGAACATATGCCTATCTTTTCTCATACCATTTTTGACAACCTAACACGGGCAAAAGAAAACAATCCAAAAGAAAGAACTGTCCTGTTCAAATCCAACAACTCTACGAATGCTGCTTTTACTTCTCTAGTTAAGCTGGTTTTTTTTTTTTTGATACATTGTCTTGCTCTGTTGCCCAGGCTGGAGTGCAGTGGCGCAATCTTGGCTCACTGCAACCTCTGCCTCCTGGGTTCAAGTGATTCTCCTGCCTTAGCCTCGTGAGTAGCTGGGATTACAGGTACGTGCCACCACATCCAGCTAATTTATGTATTTTTAGTAGAGGCAGGGTTTCACCATGTTGGTCAGACTGGGATGGAACTCCTGACCTCGTGACCCACCCACCTCAGCCTCCCAAAGAGCTGGGATTATAGGTCTGAGCCACCGTGCCAAGCCTAAACTGGCATTTTTATAACCACAATCATCCCTTTAGCAAAGACATTAATCAGAGAATCATAGTTTAAGACTGACAAATAATTGGCTGTAGGTGCAAACTATGGAAGTTTGCAAAGTTTATTGATTAATCTTGGGATTATATTTCATTCATAGTGCTAGTCAATGCTTGATCTAGATGCTTTAAAAAATGATTTATCATGCCTGTAATCCTAGCACTTTGGGAGGCCAAGGCCAGAGAATTGCTTGAGTCCAGGACTTTGAGGCCATCCTGGGCAACATAGCAAGAACCTATCTCTACAAAAACTTTAAAAATTAGCAGGGCCTTGTGGTGCATGTCTGTAGTCCCAGCTACTTAGGAGGCTGAAGTCGGAGAATCCCTTGATCCCTTGAGCCCAGGAGTTCAAAGCTGCAGTGGGTCATGATTGTGCACTGCATTCCAGCCTGGGCAACAGAGTGAGACTGTCTCAAAAAAAAAAAGGGGGCCTGGTGCAGGCTCAGGTCTGTAATCCCAGCACTTTGGGAGGCCAAGCCAGGTGGATCATCTCAGGTCAGGACTTGGAGACCAGCTTGGCTAACAGCTCTTCTAAAAATACAAAAATTAGCCAGGTGTGGTGGTGTGCACCTGTAGTCCCAGCTACTTGGGAGGTTGAGGAAGGAGAGTCACTTGAACCCAAGAGGCAGAGTTTGCAGTGAGCCAAGATCACACCATTGCACTTTAGCTGCACTCCAGCCTGGGTGACAGAGCAAGAGCAAGACTCTGTCTCACAAAAAAGAGAAAAGAAAAAGACTTAGTGGAAATTTGGAATTATACAAAGACTCATAATACAAACCCAGCAACCATGATTCAGAGCATGGTCTTTCTAAGGAAAGCAGAGCATAAAGCACAAAATCTGAGAGGTGTTCAGGACTTACCTGGAAGATGTTGGGGATGTGAGTATGGTAATATTCATGCTGCTCATGGTTGAATTTCTGGAGAATGGATGAGTAATCTGCTTTGCTGTCCTCTGCCATTTGGTGACGTATTTGAGCTTGCTGTCGGGCCTTAGGGCAAAAACATGAATACATCATCAATAAAAGCCTGGCTGCAATCAATAGCAGCCTAGAACCGAGCACTGGGATGCCCAGGGCCACATTTACCTCAAATCTATTTAGCAGGTGCTATTTTTTAATGTTCTCAAATTGAATTTACTTTAGGTAGGCAACGTGCATCCTAGTTTGCACAGAACTCCACCATTCCCTATTGTTTTCACGTGGTGTGCACTTTCTAGTTTGACATGCGATTCTATATGGTCTCCACTTGGGCCAATGCATATATTTATGTTAGTTTGCAAAGTTTATTGATTCATCTCGGGATTAAATTTCTTTGTGGGAACCTTTGCTCATACACACATTTCTTTTTTTTTTTTTTTTTTCTGAGACAGAGTCTCATTTTTTCGCCAGGCGCCAAGCTGGAGTGCAATGGCACAATCTTGGCTCACTGCAATCTCCGCCTCCTGGGTTCAAGCAATTCTCCTGCCTCAGCCTCCCGAGTAGCTGGGACTACAGGCACACGCCACCACACCCAGCTGATTTTTGTGTTTTTTAGTAGAGATGGGGTTTCACCATGTTGGCCAGGATGGCCTCTATCTCTTGACCTCATGATCCGCCCGCCTTGGCCTCCCAAAGTGCTGGGATTACAGGCGTGAGCCACCTCACCCAGCCACATATATTTTTTTTGAGGGGATGAGAAATCTATAAATTTTTTTTTTTTTTTTTGTCAAGACAGGGTCTCGCTCTATCACCCAGGCTGGAGTACAGTGGCACGATCCCGGCTCACTGCAGCCTCAACCTCCTGGGTTCAAGCAATCCTTTTACCTCAGTTTCCTGAGTAGCTGGGACTACAGGCATGTGCCACCATGCTCGGCTAAGTTTTGTATTTTTTTTGTAGCGAAGAGGTCTCACCACATTGCCGAGGCTGGTCTTGAACTCCTTGACTCAAGCAATCCACCCGCCTCAGCCTCCCAAAGTGCTGGGATTATCACTGTGAACCACGGGGCCCGGCTGGGAAATCCATACATTTTTAAACCCAGTTCTCAATGGGATTCATGAAAAAGGCATATAAACCACTGACTGAAGTAGACCTTTCTGAAGCTCTCTACCATGCTTATTTTTAGCATATATGTTAAAGAGGCAGTAAGTATGGTACCTTCTTTATGCTTTTTTATGTTTTTTGACGGTCCTATATGTTTTACTACATTGTTTTTCTCCTAAAAAATAATAAAACTTACTACTTTGTTTTTCTCTTCTAATTCATATTGTGATTAATCCCATACCTAAAAAGGGGGCAACAATTGTTGACTAGTTGCAGAATTGACTTTAAAGCTCAAACAGGAATGTCTACAAACTCTAAAGTCATCCAGAAGTACCAGAGCTCACGCTGTGAATTCATAGAGCACTGCGAATTCATAGAGCACTGTGGCACTATCTTGAAAAATACAATCTCGTGAATCTCTTACACAATTTGAGGTCCACACAAGGCAAAAAACTACCTCCTGCCAGATGAAGATACAGTTTTTGGTCTTTCGGTGACCTGGCAAACTCAATGCATTGAGCCAAAAACACAACAGGAGATGGGCTGTCTTCCAATATAACCAGGGCAACTATTTGTTTGCTTGTTTTCATTTTGTTTTACTGAACCAATGTTATAGAAAGTTAAGATCCGGCTGGGTGTGGTAGATCGTGCCTGTCATCCCAGCTCTAGGGGAGGCTTGGGTGGGCAGATTTGCTTGAGCCCAGGAGATCGAGACCAGCCTGGGCAACATGGTGAGACTCCTCTCTCTACAAAAAACACAAAAATTAGCCGGGCATGGTGGTGTGCCCTGTAGTCCTACCTACTTAAGGAGGCTGAAGCAGGAGGACTGCGTGAGCCTGGAGGCTGAGGCTACAGTGAACTGAGACTGCTACCACTGCACTCCAGCCTGGGCAACAGAGCAAGACTCTGTTTCAAAAAACAAAATGAAACAAAACAAAACATCACACAAACAAACCAAAAAAATGAGAAAATTAAGATCTAATCATGAAAGAGAGAAAATCAAAAGATAAGAAAAAGACAAAAGGAAAGCAAAAAAGGAAGGAAGGAAGGAAGGAGAGAGAGAAAGGGAGGAAGAAAGAAAAAGAGAGAAAGAAAGGAAGCAAAGAAACACAGAGAAACATTCAAATGTCAACCCGAAGGGGAATGCTGAGGTTGTTCCACTTTCTGCTTGACGGGAACATCTAGTATCGACCTCTTTTTTGTGTCCATGTTCTTTATTGGTTTCCTGCCTATGTGACTTGAAGGCTTAACCTGAATTTCACTTCACACATTTGACTCACAGCATCTGGTGAAAGCCTAAGGTAATTCACAGTTGCTTCCTTTCTTTTCTTCCCTATTCACACACGAACACTTCCCAAATGAAGGTAACAGTTTCAGTGTTTCCAAACGCACTTCCTTACGACGGAGGCTTTTTGAGTTTCTTAAGGCCTTTTGATCTCTCGGTGCCATTTTATCCTCTTGTCATCTACCCTCAGTGCATTTCAGCTGCCACATTCTTCCTCTTTGTTGGTGGCCTGTTAACTCCCTTCCTGACCATATGCCTTGGCGTCCGCTTCTTCCTGTGTCCACTAGTAAATATATTTGTCTAGCCTCAAAATGTTAAGTACTCGGCTACCCCCAAAAATCCACCCCCTTCCAATACACAGTAGCCCTCCTCTGTTTAAATAATAGCTTTCCCACCTACATGCATTCCATCTGTTCCCCGAACCCGTCCAGCACAAATACCCTATTAACTCTTCAGCTGCTGACATTTCATTGTGTATCATTTTGTTATGAAGGTTAAAAAAAATTCCCATGTAACCTCAAATTTCTAAAATAGTCTCTATTTTATTCACAGGCTTTCCTCAGAAAGTCTCACAAAAATCCGGTGGGGGTTTTCTTCATCTCTTCTGTAAAGAACAGTAAGAGGGCTGGGTGTGGTGGTTCATGCCTATAATCCCAGAACTTTGGGAGGCTGAGGCAGGCGAATCACCTGAGGTCAGGAGGTCAAGACCAGGCTGACCAACATGGAGAAACCCTGTCTCTACTAAAAATACAATATTAGCTGGGTGTGGTGGCACATGCCTTTAATCCCAGCTACTTGGGAAGCTGAGGCAGGAGAATCGCTTGAATTGTCCCAGGAGGTAGAGGTGGGCCAAGACTGCACCATTGCACTCCAGCCTGGGCAACAAGAGCGAAACTCTGCCTCACAAAACAAAACAAAACAGTAAGAGGTCAGGAGACAGTTTCCTCATTATTTTGGAGCGCCTATCTAAGTGAGTTTTAAAAATAACTGTTCTGAAACGGCATCACATCAGAAAGCCATCATCATATAGAATACGTATGTATTTACACGCACACACATATACACACATCCCACACGAGCAGATAAAAGCTTCCCAACAATAAATTCACTCACACCAATATTTTAGAATATTTACCCAAGTAGAATTTTTTACCTATGAAAGCTGGTGCCACCAGTACCCCAGCACCATTTGGTCGGAAACGACTGTGATCTTCTTCCTGTAGCTCCACAGAATCCCTAATCATGTTTTAGCTGTAGCTGCATAATTCCTTCTGTAAGCTTATTACCTCCTAATAGATTCATGATGCCATTTGCCTTGTTTCTATGCAGTAACCCTGAAAGCATAACAAGAGCCCTAGACGTGAATGGGGGAAGACGCCAAGTAAGGACTGACATGTCTATAGTCCAGCCTAGAAAGTGAGATGTGTAGAAAATAAATCAAAGAAGTATATTTTAGAGAGAACAGGTCTGCCTTTTATGTTAAAGGAATGTTGTCTCTTTGGGAGTTTTTCTTCCATGCAAAAGATTGGACATACGATTGCAAGGGCCTATTTCTACACCTCTCACTCACTCTCGCTCTCTAAAACTATAGGGAAACCTTCAAAAAACAGCGAAATATTGTGATATATCAAATTCTGTAAAGCCGCAGCAGAAAGACAGGACTTTTTCTCCGTCCCTCAATCCAGCTGCTTTGAATTAACAGCCACTTTTGAAACTCTGGCCTAGGAATGCACCATTGTTCTAACCAAGTTTCACTATGGAAAATCTATTTCTGTTTAGTAAACTGTTTATTTAGCAATGGAACTTAAGAGTCTTTCTCTAACGCTAGTGTTGAATCAATTACTCATTATGACAAAAATACCTTTAAAATATCTTGTATTTTCAAGAACGTACTTGGAGTAACTGTTAACGATATCTTGCAGACTATCTCCTAATGTCTAGGACTAACTGGAGCTAATAAGCATCACGACTCCTCATCTCTTTTTATAAGTCAGTCTAAAAATAAAAACCATTACCTCAAAGAGATAGTATTTCCATTCTAAACCAGGCCAGAAGCTATTCTTTCAATTACATTAAGTTTCCCATTCTGAGAATAAAAGATACTGCATCTTACAGCAACATCACTGCAGGGAAGGAAGATGTACAGAGTTGGCTTGTTTTGTTTTACTTTCAATGACTCAGTGTCACAGAATTTCGAGATAATTTTCTAAAAATTCCAGGATAATTCCGCTGCCTAGGCTGGGTGTCACAGACATCTTAGAATCAGATCTATACCACCTTTGTTGTCTAACAGAAAGAATTTAAACTTGATAATTTTTTGACAAACCCTTGGGAATCTCCCTCAAATAAATCCAAATAGGCCTAAGGATGTATTGCTTATATATGACTTCACTTCTTGGTAATCCCTTTTTTTTTTTTTTTTTTAGTTTTTTGAGAGGGAATCTTGCTCTGTTGCCCAGGCTGGAGTGCAGTGGCACAATCTTGGCTCACTGCAACCTCCTTGTCCCAGGTTCAATGGATTCTCCAGCCTCAGCTTCCTAAGTAGCTGGGATTACAGGCATGTACCACCACGCCCAGCTAATTTTTATATTTTTAGTAGAGATACTGGTCTTGAACTCCTGACCTCAAGTGATCCGCCTGCCTCTGCCTCCCAAAGCACTGGAATTACAGACATGAGCCACCAAG